AAAAAAAAAAAAAAAATTAAATAAAGAGAGACTTGGCAAACCTTCCAGCAGGAACACGAGTAACACCACCTAGAAAAGACTCACGAAATTACATGTTGACGTTTTTTTTTTGAAAATAACTTGGTTGCGAGTAGGAGGAAAGTCCTTACTTCTAGAAGCAACACCTGGTCTTCTAGAATTCGGATCAGCAGAAACCCGACCCCCGCGGGCACGGAGTGACGCGGACGCTCCCGCGAACGAGCCTTTCCCACAAGGTCAGGTGCATACGTAGACTCCCTGCTCTTCACCTCCGCTCTCCACTATGAACCCCTTATATCCCCCTCCTTAACGCTTATGACCACAGATGGCTACAACATGCACGCCGGCAGGAACCCAACGCCGCGATGGCGATGCAAAACAGCCACTTTACCTTTCAACACGAATACGCATGGATGGCGCACCCACCCAGACTTGCCGTATGCGAGCAATAGTGCCGTAGTGCGGGGACCAAGGTACCGGGCCAAGCTTCAAAAGACGCCTTAGGTATCAGGGGTACGTAAGCAGCTGTGGCGCCGGATGCGTACGGATTGAGGCTGGACAACAACATCGGTCCGATGGTGGACACTGCGGCGGGTCAGCACGTGACGGCAGTGGACCTGTTGGAGGGCGGTCTGCCACGGATCGACTGTTTGCTGTGTTGTCAGATCAGGCTTTTTCGGGAAAAGATGTTAAGGGCGAGCATGACGCGGGAGGTGAGCTGATGATCTGATAGAAAGCGCTTTGCGAGAGCGAATCGGACGCGACTTATGTGCGGTCCCGGCGTGTCGGGTGGGCGCGTTCACGAAAAAACGCGTGTGTGACGCGAGATGTACGAGCCGGCAGCCGTGTGTTTATTTTATAGTATCCAGCCCAGACTATCTGCAACCGAGACACGAACCGTCGAGGCCCAACGCTGGTATGCAGCCGTTCAGGACCGCGGGTCGATGAAGGCGTGCTTGGTGCGTATAGGTAGCAGCAATTCGCTATCGGCGGCGCCTTCTTCGTCGGCCATGGCCGCGCCGGACAGCCTGACTGCGTGTCCTTGGCCTATTCGTCGGGCTCGTTCCTGCAGCTCTCAAGCTCGCAGTTGTTCTCTCCGCGCCGCTCGTGATGTCGGACTCGGGGTCGGCTATCGGCTAGGTAGGTAGTTCGTATGTATGTACCTAGTTATGTATGTATGATACTGCCCAATGCGCGCTTCGTTGGGCCAGGTATGTATGTTGGGGTGATGGGTTTGTCGGCGCAGGGAAGGTAACTAGGTAGGTAGGGTAGGGACTAAGTCCGTGGTTAGGAGGACTTGCGGGCGGCGGGGTAAGTGTGGCCAGGCGGGCGTGGAGACTGGAGAGAGAGTAGAATCGAAAAATTCAACCGGGATGGATTATCTAAGGCAGGGGGGCTAGGCTTCAAGCGGCTAGCGGCACGGGCGCTTAGACTCCAGCCCCTGCGCGGCGTTGGCTGCTTGAAATACCGGCCGCGCCCGTCTTGGTGTTCTGGCTCACTCGCTCCTGTCTCGTCGCATCCGCCGCCCGACGCACCCGCCCACCATTGGCCGCTCTGACGCACCAACCACGGCTCGCCCTTGTTAACGCGCCCAGCGAATCACGTGGCCCGGCTGCTCTCGGCCCGGCATATTTAATACTTCTGCCGCCTTGGGCCCTTCTTGATCCTCGATTTCCTTCCGACCTCGCAAAGTCTCACGCCGCAGCCACCCCCACGTCATCTGTCACGAGCGCGTCATCGCCCGTCCAGCGCCCGCCTCGCGACCCTGCCCCCGACGCGACAGCCTTGTGGCTCCGGCGCATCCCCGTCGCGAAGGCCGCAAGAGCTGCCCCATCCCTCTGCGCCCTTCGCATGGCCCTCATGGCTTCACCTGCCCCGGACAAGCCGTCCCTAGAGCCCAAGGCGCAACCCGTTCCATCTGCAGACACGATGGCTTTGGATACAAACATCAACGGGTGAGTCCTGCTCCTTCACCTTCCATTGCCATCTTTCACTCTTGCTTTGTCCGCGCGCATGTATTTATTCTCTCTTCTAGTGCTTCAAATGACCTTGACACTCTTTTTGATGACGCCGCTGCGCCGCCCTTCTCCGTTGACTTCCCCGCCGACGCGCACCCCCAAGACGCGACCGCGACCAACGGCGACAACGCTGCTCTTGACGCGACCGCTGCCAACGGTGACCTGTCTGCGCCCGACGCCTTTGCCGCCCCCGTGACCGACATCGAGAGCGGCATTGCGCCCGTCGCGCCGTTTCTCGAAAACGCGCCACAAGACACGCAACCGAACCCCGACCCGCCCGCCAACCTTGCGCCCACGGCCCTTCCTCCATCCGTAGAACCTGCGACTTCGGATCTCCGCGACGAACCTGAGCCGACAAAGGCAGCTTCAGAGATGGATTCTGCTTTGTCGCCCACTCAGCCGGATAACGCGTTGGAAACCGCGCAGGACACAGTGCCGGAGATGGCGCCGGAGATGGCGCCGGAGATGGCGCCGGAGATGGCGCCGCAAGACGCGTCGCAAGATGCGCTAGCTCAACCCGCCGAAACCAACACCTCCGAGGGCAAGGTTGATGACAAGACAGACACTCCTGCGGCCACGGAATTTCAAGACCTGGTAGCGGAAGCGTCTGCGGCCGCCGACGTATCAAAGTCAGACGAACCTACTGAGGCGGTCCCACCCGTACCTGCTGCAGACACAGCGCTGGAGCCACCCCCCACTGCTGGCCAAGATGCGACTGACATCGCGACTGCGACCGCGCCCGTTACTGGTGACCAAGAGATGCGGGATGCGCCATCTCAGAACAAGGTGCGCGCGCGAGAGGAAGATGAGGATGAGATTCCATTGGCAAAGCGTGCGAAGACGGGTTCGGCGGAGCCTGGATCTGTTTCAACAGCCAAGCCTGAAGCACCCACGTCCGGCATGGCCAACGGTGTCACATCTGGGCCTGCGCCTGCGCCTTCGACAGATGTTTCAACTCAAGCTTTCGCGCCCTCGCCCAACGCGCCTCCAAAGAGGAAGTACGATTCGGAGCCATTGACCCAAGCGCAGTCCAAGTTCCTACTCGAACGTCTCCGTGGTGCGAAGAAGACAAAGTCTGCGACTCCATTTTTGGCTCCCGTCGATCCAGTTTTGCTCAACATTCCTCTTTACCCTCAAATTATCAAGAAGCCAATGGATTTGAGCACAATGGAAACAAAGTTGAAGCATCACGAGTATCAGTCTGTGGACCACTTCATGAGCGATTTCTATCTCATGATCGATAACTGTATCTTGTTCAACGGCCCAGCCCATCCGATTGCGCCTGCCGCATGGAACTTGCAAGTGTGGTTTGAGCGCGGGATGCATACGATGCCGAGACGCGATGCTTCATCTGAACACGTCAAAAAGGCGAAGAAGCCAACAGTCTCAACCGGCAACAAGCAACAACGGCGGGAGTCCAAGGTCAACATGCCGCCTGCACACTCTCCCACGAACGCTTCTGGGTCCACGTTTGCCCTTCAAGCCGATGGCACTCCGCTTATTCGTCGCGATTCATACGCGGGCGACGGGCGCCCGAAGCGGGAGATCCACCGTCCGCCACCAAAGGACCTGCCGTACTCGAACCCCAGGCCGAAGAACAAGAGGTCCCAACTCGAGTTGAAGTTTGCGAGCGGAGTGGTGGCCGAGATGAACAAGAGCAAGTACATGGGTTTCTCGTATCCCTTCTTGAATCCTGTGGATCCCGTCGCTCTCAACATTCCGACGTATCTTAAGATCATCAAGAAGCCCATGGACCTGGGCACCATCTCAAGCCGGCTCCGGGATGGTCAATACAGCAGTGCCAAGGAGGTCAAGGCGGATATCGAACTCATGTTTGCAAACTGCTACAAATTCAACCCCGAGCAGGACGATGTTCACAAGATGGGCAAGATGTTGGAGGAGGTTTACAAGAAGTCCTGGGCAGGCAAGCAAGCCTGGATGGAGGAACATGCCCCTCCATCAGAACCAGGATCTCCCATGTCCTCTGACGGGGAAGAGGACGAGGTTAGTAATGATGATGATGAAGAAGAAGCTATCCGGGAGCGTCAAGCACAGATTGCCCAGCAGATTATGCAATTAACCCAGGAGCAGTTAGCTTTGCAGTCTAAGAAGAAGGCGTCTCCCAAATTCGCCGGTAAAAAGTCGAAGATGGCGAAGACGGCAAGCAAGCCCAAGAAGCAGACAAAGCCTGCCGCCCCAATCAAGCAAAAGAAGAAGTTGCGTCCGATTTCTTTCGATGAGAAGCGTCTCATTTCAGAGACGATTGGCAACCTGGACGAAGCCCAGATGGCCAAGGCTGTCCAGCTCATCCGTAACGGAGTTCCTGAGCTTCAGGTGTGTTTTAGCCCTGTTTTTTCCCGACGATGGTCGACTAATCCCTGCAGGGCCTGAACGACGATGAACTTGAGCTGGACATTGACACTATCCCCAACGAAGTCTTGCACGACCTGCTCAAGTACATCAAGACGATTGCGCCAGCCAACCCGGCGGTAGCGACTTACGATGATGATTACGAACCGCCCTCGCGCGCGAAGAACGTCGCGACTCAGCCAAGGAAGAATAAGCCCATGGGTAAGTTCGAGCAGGAGGCCGCCATTGCGGACATCAGGAAGCAGCTTCAGGGCTTCACCAACAAAGGCTCTTCCTCCGACCATTCCCCCGAGCCCGGTATTACTATCTCTGAATCCTATTGGCCAGCTGTTCGCTTACTGATATCATGGCAGTTGCCCAACACAAGGAAGAATCGAGCGAAGATGAATCGAGCGCTTCTGAAAGCGAAGAAGAGTAGATTCGCTCTGGAACCAGGGTTTCCAATGGCCATACGCCTGCAATGCCAACATGTGTTTCCCAGGCGTGAGCCATGCGCTGGTTGCGGCTCCATCTCCAAGTCCAGGCTCTTCTTGAGATCGTCGGAAGAGATTTGGGGCGGTGGCCGACCTCGAGGCTGCAAGTCCTCGCGCGCAATGCCCGCGTGTGATTGCACGTTTGCCTTCTAAGCAGTTCCCTTCTCACCCTTGCCCCTCCTCTTCTTTCCCTTTCTTGTGCATAGAGACCGGCAACCTCCTGGTTGGCTGGTGATGGATGAATGACGTTCATGAGAGTTTTGGTCTGGAAAAGTCTGGTCTGGCTGTCGCGACGAGCGGTGACAGTTTGAGCATTTGGCGTTTGATTCTTCAGAAAATTCGGTGCTTAGTGCTCCCCTGCTCTATGGAAGCAGGACAGGTAGCTATTTGTACACTAGACAGAGCATGGGGAGGAATAATTAGTTGCGATGAGTGGTATGGAATGAGGAGATATGAGAGCAAGCTGGCAGATTAGTTGACTATATCGGTTACGCAAGAGACTCGGCGCGTGCAGAAGACCAAAAAGTGAGAGTTGAGGTAGTACGAGCGCAGCAGGCGCTGGGATACGGTTCGTCTTGGCGGCCATTGCGCGCGGGCGCCGAAGGCAGAAAAGGGCAGGGATCGGCGTCGAGCCCAGAGGTATGCGGCGCGTGTTTCCGTCGTTCCGTGCAGGCAGACATGACCTAGGCTTCTGTTGGCGTCTCTACTCGCGCATTCTCTCTTTTTTCTTCAACGCAATCCTATGGTGAAGAGTGAAGAGTGGAAGTGGGAGAGAGCAGCGACGCATTGATAGTAAGCGATTACGCATTGTTGCTCACGGTTGCGTGTCGGACCGAAGACGTACGTTGTATCTCTCTGCCACGTCTTAGCGGATCGCTGCGGCGCCACTCTGTGGACACATGAAGAAGCGATTTATCCCTTAGACGGTCGACTGACGAGCGTATTTATAAAGCGGCGAGGAAGCCGAGGGTCCCAGGCGCAACAGGACCACTGCGTTTGCGAAGATTTCTGAACCTGCAGCTATGGCCCGTCGGCTGTAACCCACTGGACAGCATACCTAGTATTACTCTGCCTTGTTTTTGCGAATAACATCAAACAGACTGGCTCTCCTGCTTTTAACGTAAGCTAAGCCGCTTTTCTTCTTCTTTTCTTTCTCTCTTTGGACCACCCCACCGAAGGGCGTGCGCGCTGCATGCTATGGAGCGGCTATTATCAAACGCCAAGTGGGCTGGCAAGGCTGAAAGAATGCTTTGTCGACCCCCACCACCACCTCGCGCTGCCGCCACGTTCTTGTCTCATTTGTTAGTCTCTCTACGTTGGAAGCGCGCCTCTCGCCAGCTCCGAGGCATGGGGGACGCCGAGGATAAATCAAAGGACCTACGTCGCTGACGGACTCGGACGGCACCGTTACAGGCCCGCCCCTTGATTGGCATCATCATTATCGTCAGCATCTGCTTCATCATCAGCATTATCAGCTCCCTGATCGTACATACCCATAATCGCATTTCCACCTAGGAGAGCACGTAAATAATAGAAGAAGAGGAGGAGAAAGAAGAAGACAAGAAGAAAGAGAAAAAGCAAAAGCAAACACCAGTAGCACCACGACCGCCACGACGCCGCCACCATGGAGATCTCACGCAAAGTCATCATGTCGCCCTCGTCGTCCAAGATCAGCGCGACCTTCGAAGTGCAAAAGCCGTCGTACGGCAGCCGCGCAAACCGCAAAGGGCCGCGCAGCGACGCCGACCTAATCTACACGACGGCGATAGCGGCGTCGAGCGGGGGCCGGTCGTCGGGCAGCTCGGAAACGTCGTCGACGGCGTCGTCGTCGGGCAAGGAGCAGCAGCACGACGACCACGACGACGCCGACGCCGACGACCCCCCGCGTGAGTACAACGAGGTCATCTACCTGCTGCCGTATTACCCCTCGCGCATCCGCTTCTGGGTCGACGAGCGCGCCGTCGACGACCCCCGCGTCGCGCGCGAACAGATCCGCGAGGGCAGGAAGGGCGACGCGGCTAATTGCAGCGTTATCGAGATCAGGTTTATCAGCGCAGAAGAGGACGCCGCCGCCGCAACAGCAGCAGCAAAGCCGCGAGACGCCGCCGCCGCCGCGAGTGAGCAGCACCTCTGGACCTGCGACATCTATATCCCGCCGTCGCGCCTCATCAACAAGATCTGGGTGTACCGGGACCCGACGAAGAACAGGCCCGGCTCGCCGCTCCACTCCCACCACCACCACCCGCGCAACCCCTACCAGCAGCACCACTTCCAGCAAGCGGGCTCGGCGCCCGCCGTCGGCGCGCCGCGCCCCAGCACGCAGCCTCAGCAACAGCAACAGCGCAGCAAGCAAGCGTGGGGACGAATGCTGCCCTCACGCCCCCGAACAACAAGCACGCCCTACGCCGACGCGCCAGCCGTGATGCCCTTACCACTAGCGCCAGCGCTCGTGCCCGCGCGCTCCTCCTCCCTGCGCTACCCGCTCCAGCAGCGGGCGCTGCCAACGCCGCCCGCGGCCTCGGCCCCGGCCCTCGCGCTGCAGCAGACCCACCGCCCGGACGCGCTGTCCTCGTCGCTGCCCTCGTCCCTGCACAAACACCACCACGCCGCCGACCCGCGCCGCGTCCGCGTCGTCGTCCCCGAGCCCGAGGGCTTCAAGAACAACTACCTCGCCGACATATCGCGCCTCGCGTCGCGCAACGGCGCGTTTTGCCTCGTCTCGGACGCGCGCTCGGGCCGTGGGGGCGACGGACGGGCGGGCAACTCGGACGACGACGACGACGACGACGACTACCGCAGCGTCTTCGACGACGATGACGATGACGAGGACGCCGCGTCCTTCAGCACCGGCAGCGACAGCGACACCCACATGGGCGCAGCAGCAGTGCAGCCGCCCACGCGCAAGCTCAGCTTCAAGGACTTTGTGGGGCGGCGCGCGCGCAAGAGCGTCTTCCACACGCATAGCGGCGGCGGGGGCGCACATGGCGCGTCGCGCATCGATGTCAGTGAGGTGCAGGCGCCGAGACAGGCGGCCGAGTTTGAGAAACCGAGTGTTATGACCAAGTTGGTTGCCAGGGCGATTAGGAGGCTGGCGAGGGACGATATCCATTAGTGTGTAGGGGTGGGGTTGGAGGGGGGAGGTTGGTGGTGGCGTTTTTTATATTGAGGGGAGGAGTTGGAGGGGGGGGGTTGTTGGTTGTTTTTGTGCGGTTTGAGGGCGTGGGGGGCGTGCGTAGGTAATGTGATGAGATGAGATTTTTGCTTTGGTTGTGGTTTTTTGTGGGTTCTTGGGTTTGGGGTTTGGGTGCGTGTAAGCCTGGTGTGTGGCTGTTGTCTTGTGGTTGATGCCGTCGTCTCTGCGCTCTAGCTCGAGGCTGTTATGGTGGCCGACTGAGTGTGAATGAGTGAGCGAGTTCAGAGGCATCTGCGGAGACGACCTAGGAGTATTGTCAACTTGCTTGTCCTCTGCTGTCTGGACTCTGGCGGCAAATCAGAGCCGTCCGTTTCGCTGTGTCGTACACTGCATAGATAGGTCCTACAGGCATGCATGCAGGTCTCCGAGAACAACATCCCTTGCCTCGTGGAGTTTCGTCGGTGCGCTGGTTGCTGGGTGGGCGGGGTTGCGTATAAACACTTCCCTGCTCGTCTCGTAGCTACTGTCCTCCTCTTTCCATGACAGCCTGCAGCTCTGTTGTAGGTAGATACAAGTTTTGGCAACCTGGAAATTGCACCCAATAAGTTCCCATCATGATGGGGGTGCTGCCGCGCACATCTCAACCGCAGAACACAAACAGTAGCAACCGCTTACCTCACAGACATACAAACCAAACTAAACCCAGCTACGGGAGTAGGTGCAGCCTATCATCCGAGGCCGGAGATGGAGGCGAACAGGAGGTGTTAAGGGTAATCATCATCAACTGTAATAGATATTAGAGTCTAGGCATGTGGAAACGACCGGGTCCTAGCTGGCTAGTAGCTGGTAGCTATTTTAGAGTTGTTGTTATTTATTTTGGTCCCCGCACGGCACCGGGTGTAATGCCATTTTGGGTCGGTGAGAATGGTGGGAATGGTGGGAATGGTGTGGTCGTTGGATGAGGTGGTTTGACGTGGTGGTAGTTTGGTGGTTGAGTGGTTGGTCTAATGCTACTACTACTTGTTGTGCTCGTGATGGTTTCTCAGTCTTCTTCACTGCGCTCTGTCTGGCTTGAGTATCTGAACGGATGAGAATTGAGAGTTAGATATATGCGTACTGCACAGTCCTCCAGGTGGTTGTTCTTCCGGACCAAACCCCCCTATGAATGGATGACTTCAACAGTGTAACCCTTTTCATGAAGAAACTTGCCGCCAGCCCTGCCATCGCTCGACAAACATTTCTGCTGGATTGCATTGGCCATAGAAGCGACATCAGGACAGTAGACAGCCTGTAAAGCCGGGCCGCCACAGATCGCGATAGCGGCTTCATTGTGGCTGACCAACGTGTCGCACTTGCTACCTAGCTGATTGCCGTTACTGCAAAGTCTATTCCCGAGCCCGTGGAGCTCGTTGATGACGTTCGTGACGGAGCCAGTGTCGGGGCTGCCTGAAGTTGTTTCGCATGTTATGCTATCTGCGAGGATGCCTGCTGGGAGGCTTGCTGCGAGGAAGAGCGTGATGGTGAAGAACTTGGTACTAGCGAGCATCTAGTATAGTTAGCATCCACTTGGTAGCTAGTTATATATGGCATTTCCATTTACTTTGATGGAGGTTTGTTTTTGTAAGCGGTGTGGAAGGGTAGAGATGATTTGTGTTTCTGGGTTTGTTTAGAACGACGTGCTTTGTGTGTACATATATATATATGTTTTTAGGTCCCCGATAACTTAGCATCCGAAGCAAGAGAGGCCACCGGAAAATGTATCTTGTTAGTTCATGTCTGTCTGTTCTCCACTCTTGCGCTTTCTGCGTGATTATTGATGATGATGGTATACTGTAATTTCACGTTCGACTGTTAGCGCGTCATAGGTATATCCACCTAGAGGCAGCTAAAAATGGGGAGGATGAAGTAAAAAGGTAGGTTTTGCGAAATTTGGGAATCATGCTGCCCTGAAGAGTGAAGACGCATCTTACCTATGTTGAGATTGTACGTTGGCAGCCGATTTTGGAAATAGGGCGTAAGCCCTAATACCCCACACCCCCACTCGCCTTTGGCTATAGCTGAAAGTCTGCAGACAGCAGCGCGGACAGTACACCGCCGCAATTGGTATACGAGAGGGGTATCTCATTCACGCTCAGGTGGCTACTAACTTACCAGTTGTTGAATCGTCAACCTTCTGAAGGATGATCCAGCTTGCCGTGCCAATGGTATGCTTGGAACCCCTTCATATATTTCTTCAATCCCGACTGCTTCATGTGAGCAAGCGGAGCTATGGCAGTTGGAGAGCCATTGTCACGGCTCGGCGCCGCATTGACTGCCTTTATGCTCACAGTGAACACTGCAACTATGACACTGTCCAGCTCCGGCATACAACGTCTTCGTGTCCCGTACTCCTTGTCCCTGGCCCAAACAACCGCTCACTGATACCGGCCACTGATACTGCTCACTGATGCCGCTTACTGATGCCGTTCGCTGATACCGCACACAGAAACTGTAGGAAAAGCCACCGCGTCGATAGCACCGAAGCGGACTTTACGACGTTACAAGTGCATGCGGGGAGCCTGGTCATGGTGTCAAGTGAAGCAGTGATGAATTCTTGGTTTCTTTTGCGTGGTCTACTGGGCGTACCTTCACGACGTTGTTCGAGAGCAGAGGTAATAAGTACGTGGCTGTGCTGCGTTGTATATGGTATCCTAACTCAGCAAAAACATTGGTTTGAGCCGGGCGAGAACATCTGGATCTCTAATCCGGAGGGGCAAGGCTCACTGACATGGTAGTAATAGATGACTGGCTAGTAGCCGACTCCGGGGAGGGAGGGAGCAAGAAGACCCCAAACCAAAGCCAAGCAAAAAAACACTATCAACAACCACCCCAAGCCCGAGCAAAAAATCAAGACCCCCAAGCCCTAGCGACGCAGCGTTGAGAACGGAACACCGAATACCTTACGACGCCACGAAGCCGGGATTCGAACGCTCACTTGAGACTGCGATGCGCTGTGGGAACCACTAGATCAGGGTGCCTTGGTTGGAAGGTAGGGCGGCGGGAGGGCGTGTTAAGGGACTGGATGCGGAGGTAAATGTGCTACGGGGGTGTGTCTGTGACGTAGTGGTTTGCTTACCTAGGTAGGCCTGACTTTGTGCGCTGCGGACTGCGTGTTAAAAAAGCTTACTGCTTTCCGCTTGTTTCGTGCGCTGTTTGTGATGTGCTTTGTTGAAAACTTCAAGTTCATGCTCACTGGGTATTGCTACAGCATCAACCAAATCATCCATTCTATCACCTACCGGACTTTCCACCGCACAGTACACGCAACAGCGACTCCTAACCAACCCATCAGGACACTGCCGTCGCCCGCACAAGCACCTGGATTCCCGCTTTACCTCAGCGTGCCACTGCCTCCCTCCACTAACTCGCCTTTCAACAATCCTCCAAGCTTGTGTATACACCCCACAGCTTATTCGCATGCGCATGTCATAAACGCGTACCCCAGGTCACAAAATGCGATTGCGTTGTGCCGGTGAGAGGAGACAAGTCTCCATTATGTGGTTTCGATAAGTCACATCGTGGACTGCTGAGGCGTGGGTTTTTAGACGCCTAGGATCATAGGCTGTGGTCGTGAAGTCCATGGGTGGATGGGGTGAGAGCTTAGCTCTTGAGCCGGCGGGGTGCCAGTGAGGTGGCTTTGTGGAGGAACAGTGTTGAATCTAGGATTAGCGGGTCTTGGTCGTAACGATCTGAGGCATGACAAGCAGGTTACGACGTGGAACGTAAATAAAAGTAAATAAAAAAGAACTGACCGAACCGGGAATCGAACTTGCAAAACGAAGAGTAGGCAACGGTTCAGGTGTAACACGCTCACGGGGTGCGTCACCCCTTCGGCTCAAACCAGTAGACCAGTAAACCAGTAAACCAGTAAGAACGGGGGGATATACTCTCAACGGTGCACTGCAGATTGAATAGCCTCCCGCCCTTATATACTAATTTTTTACTACGGACTTTAAAAGTTCAAAGTGAAGTGTGCCTGATGTTGCACCCCAACGGCGCCCACCCTATTTGGCTGTCCTTTTTACCAAATTCGACAGCCAAATTAGGCAATATCGGCGCCTGCCGTGGGCGGGCGTCGATCTGGCCAAAATGGCCGCCAATTTGGTGTTGATGTTGTAGATCGTATCAATTTTCGTACATTTAACCGAATCACCCGTGCTGGTCTGCGAGTCAGCTACAGTTCTTCGTTCTCCGCTGTTCTCCGCTATTTCACACCAAAAAACTCGGAGAATATTGGAGAAAAAGAAGACTACTAAATATCACGAACCATCTACAACTCCGCAAAAAAAAAGTGCTAAAAACCCCTCAATCGTCCCCGCGCGCGTGCGCTGTTGGCCTGCTCACCCGCCCCGAACGCGTTGTGCCACCGTCCCGGGCCACCCCACTGCCTCGTCTTACGCGCCCACCGCGTCCTCGGCGTCCTCCGCGTCCCTCTACAGTAGCAGGTGCCTCTGCAGTAGTAGGTGCCTCTGCAGTAGCAGGTGCCTCTGCTACTGTAGAGGACCCTCCTCCACGCCCGCTACGCCCGCCACGCCCGCCACGCCCGCCACGCCCGCTACGTCCGCTACGCCCACTACGTCCTCCGCGTGCTACTCCGCGTACTGCTCTACCCGCTGCTTCACCCGCTGCTCCTATAGAGGACTCACCCTGCTGCGGTGGGTTCGAGCACTGGCTCCCTCCATGGCACCTGATACCACATTCTCGACCCTCCTTTCGGCAAACACACCTGTTATTATTACACCCTCGCGTACACTGGCAACTGGGGGCAATCATGCCAAGAGAGAGGCCATTTTGCTGTGTTGCTTGGCGTACTGAGATGCGCTGATTCGCCTCAGGGGTATCAAGATGATCAGGGCGCTGGGCGGGTTGTAGCAGGGCCAGCTTGTGCGGAGGGAAAGGTCGATTAAGAACACCGAAGGGTGTTCTTACAGAATACATCTGGCCAATTACCTCATGGATAACACCGATTAACATCTGCGGAGCACCCCGCTGGTCCGCTTCAGGCACCTTCGCGCCTACAACACTGCCAATAGTGAACGGTGGCATGGCCTGTGAGGTGTTTGATTGCTTTACCATCCTCTGGCGCTCATTATCACCAAGTCGGCGGACTGTTGCGTCAGTTGCGGAGCGGTCCCACCCTCTATCAGTAGGCGCGGGTTGCTTACTAGCCGCGTGTTGAGCGAGCGGAGGCTCACTGGCCGCGTGTTCAGCGTGCGGAGGATGCTCCGCGGGGTGCTGCTCAGGGGGTTGCTCCGCACGTTCAACCCGCTCTGCTCGCTCTGCTTGTAGTGCCCGCAGCGCCTGTAGCGCCTGCTCCGCCTTCTCCGCCTGCTCCGCTTGCAACTGTAGAGCGCGCTCTGCAGTCTCCTGTAGTCGCTCCTCCTTTATCTGCTTAGCAGCAAACGCCTCTCTCTGCGCCCAGGCGAGGCGCTCCATGCCTCTTCGAACCGACTCTGGAGCATCAGGACGTCGCAGTAGCTCCTGTTCTGCTGATGGAGGAGAGATACGAGCAGCGCGGGGCGTAAGCGGCAGCGGCCACCGAATCAGTGAAGTATAAGGACTCTGTGAGGGACGCGGAGGCAGTGGGGACTGCGGAGGAGGCTGTTGTGAGACACGCGGAGCGGCCCGCGGCGGGGTATCGTGCGTTAGATCGATCGTTTCGACAGTAGTAGTTCGTACGCGAGGCCGCATAAGCGTCGAAGGTAGCGGCAGGTCCGACGAAGATGAAGAGTGGTACGGGTCTTCTTCGGAGGGCGATATTTGGCTGGGTCTTGGCGATAAATTGGAACTGCGGGTACCCGACGGGTCTCCTATCGGACCTGCTACAACCTCCGCAGCTCCCGCAGCGCGCTCTGCTGGTTGCTCGTTCGCTCGCTCGTTCGCACGCGGGCCAGCGCTCGTTTGCGAACCGTCGCCCGCCTCGTTCGCTCGCCCGCGAGTCCTCCCCCGCTCGTGCTCCGCAGTATCAGCGTCATCTGAGTCCTCCACCTCCATGTCCGCTGTAGTACTGTCATCACCGGAGCTCTCCGTAATGTTGTCCTCAACTATCACTGGCGATTCGGCCCTCTCGTGTAGGGGCCTTCGTACGCGCCCAATCCTTATGTTACGGCCGAAGAGGACTTTGTGAGCAGACATCCCAATGTTCCGCCGTGGTGTAGCATTCGACTGCAGAGTAACGTCCACACAGGCATGAGCGAAGCCAGGGTGGCCCCACGCAGTACAGGCCTTCGCAAGCTTCGTTTTAATATCCCTATTGCCTCTCTCAACACCACCCTGGCTCTCTGGGTGATAAGGAGCGCCAAGAGTGATCTTTATACGATAGTCCTCCATGAGAACACGTACAGCGCCCTTGAATTCAGTGCCGTTATCACAGTGAAGCATCTTCGGAGCGCCGAATGCCTGTATCCAGCGTAGTATCCCTGAGGCAACTGCTCGTGCGGTTTTGTTCTGTAGAGGGACTAGCTGGGAGAACTTGGAGTAGTGATCGCGTATGTGTAGTACGTATTTATCCCCTGTTACCGGGTCAGGGTGATTGGAGTAGTCAACGAGATCTACTTGTAGGCGTTCAAATATCTCCTTAGAGAGGATCGGCGTTATCCGCGCTGGAGCAGTAGGGTGGTTCCTCGTGCGAATACACACTTGGCATAGGGGTAGGAGGAACGCAACATCGTTACGGGTAACACCGTAGTGCTGGGAAACAACATGCTTATATGTTGATTCGATAGCTATACAGTAGTGTATATTAGTAGGCGGTTTTACTAGTAAAAAGACGTCTTTATATATAGTAATATACATACCAGTATGGCCAGTATCTAGGTGTGCGTCCTGAATAGCATCAAAAACCTCGCTCTTACGCAATACCTTTCTCTCCTCATACCCCTCACCGGCCTTCTTATACAGGCCTTCTTTGCCACCTTCTCCCTCATAGAAGGTGTAGTTATCCTTGGCATGACGGCGGGCACGGCGATCGACGTTAGTTCTCGTAGGCCTGCCAGTGAGCCACTGTCGAAGCTCGTAGTACTGCAGAGCACTAATGTGCCTTGTATTATCCCCAGTAGCTTCGATCATGGCGCTGAAGGACTCGCGCGCAGCGGAGGTAAAGGGCTCAGTAACCCGCTCTGGGACGTAGGGACGCGGTAGGAGCGTAGCAGTGGTGTTAGCAGGGCGGTTCTCAACACCAGCAGCAGGGCCGGGTGTAGCAGAGTGCTCAGCAGGGCGCGCGGGAGCGGCGGAGGACAAAGAAGACATGTTGTAAACCGTGCTTGGTAAAATGGAGAAAGCGTTGAAGCTCACTGACCTGCTGCTGCATTCTCAAGCCCGTTTTATGGGCGAAAAACAGGCCTCTACAATACATCAACGCGTGTTCAGACTTTTGCTTTTGCGAAGCACTACCAGGCATAGTATATTATATAACCAGCGGGCCTCCATACCGACGCAGGAGGGACTGCTGCTACTGCAGGCGCTGCTGCAGATGCGGCTCGGTGATGATAGCTGATTTGGTGTTGAACAGGGGTCGTTCAGGGGTCGAGTCAGTGGGTGGCGTGATGCCTCATGTATTTGCAACATCAACACCAAATTGGCGGCCATTTTGGCCAGATCGACGCCCGCCCACGGCAGGCGCCGATATTGCCTAATTTGGCTGTCGAATTTGGTAAAAAGGACAGCCAAATAGGGTAGGCGCCGTTGGGGTGCAACACTGACAGCCACCACCGACAATGCTGCTACGCAGATAGCATGGCTAGATAGAGTTATTTGAAGGCAATGCGAGTGCCTTGGGCGGAAACATTTGCGACAATTAAAGACCTAGTGCCTAGCCATGTCGCCTGAGCACACGTTTTCTGCTTGTTCTTTTGAGGCTTTCAAGCGGGAGACATGGCGAGGTTTGCTGTCTACTAGCAAATAAATCCTCTCAAACCACTCCTCACAAGTCAGGCAATGCCACTCATGTAAATATGCAAGTCAATTCAATTTCGGTTTTCCGCTCCGCCGCGTCATACACACCGGATCGAACCAGGCGCCAAATGTCAGCCCCATCGAATCAAATCATAAATGAATGAGAAATCCCGTCAAGTATCTTGTCAAGTATCTTGTCAAAGATACCCATGAAATGGGAAAAAAGAAGGAAACCCCATGATGCGCATCGCACATCACGGAAGCTCCTCGATCAAAGAGGTTTGTTTCTGGAACTCCGACCACAAGCAGGACAAAGGAGAAGGATAAACAAGAAAAAAGCCGAGCACGCAGCCCGGCAGCACCCACCCATCAGAGACGTTCTCTAGCGCAGAGAAAGAGAGAGAAAGAGCCTGCACCACCAGCACCCAAAACATAAGCAAATCAAACCACCACCGTGCAGACCAAAGAAGGAAAATGTAATGAAAATGCCCGTCCCGCAGAAATGCAATTCTCAGAACTGCGTACTATGTATGCTTGCAATGCTGGCTCCTGGTCAATGTCAAACTTCCCGCGTAATGTCCGTGTTCATGTCGCCGTCTAGGCGCGCCGCTATGCTGATGCTGATGCTGCTTGGTCAGGTTCCTGGGCCGGTGGGCCGATGTGTTTGTCAGTCTGGTCATCGTCTTCGTCGTCATTGTGATCCGTGGTAAGGGTCGTGGAGCGCAAATGCTCCTCCTGGAAGAAGTGCAAATCAGTTGTTGGTGTTCTGTGGCTGCATCTTGAATCGTAAAGCGAGGATGGTGACGGAAAAGTGGTGGAAAAGTGAGGAAAAAAGGAAAAAGAGATGGAAGATGAGAAGGGGATGACGGGTGAATGTTTGCTGATGGTGGCTCGAGCGCAGAAGTAGTAAGTGGTGGAATAATGCGGTGGGCACACTTCCGGAACTGGCGTGTAGGAGGCAAGGTCGTCCGCAGTTCGACTGGCGTGTGCTTAGCACAAGCAAGCAGTGAAGCCGGCGATGCCCAGCAGCTGAAGGCAGACGTGCCACTCAAGCCCACCCCAAACGCGCCACATCAAATGATCTTGTCCGGGTCAAGCGCGTCCAGCAGGTCCTGGTTGACCAGGTAGTGCTTGTCGAGCTCCGTCTCCTCGCTCAGCTGCCACATAGGGTACAGCACATCTTCCTCAGTCGGGATCTTCCAGTTCTCATCCCACATGCTCTGGCGCAGCCGCATGCGCTGGTTCCAGGGTAGGTTGTCAGGCGACGGCTCGCGCGGCAGCGGCAGGAAGCGGCCGACCTTTGTGCGCGCGCGGTCGTCACCCTCCCATTTCAACTCTGCCATGCCCGGCCACGGTGCGATGATCCGCCACTGCGCGTCGAAATTCTTGTTGCACCATATGCTGTGCATGCAGAGGACGGCAGTCTGTCCCGCCGACAACTCCTTGTCATCCATGGCCTTGTGAAGGGTAGGGTACCCGGGCTCCATTGCCAGCCCTGCCTCCGCCTCCTTCGCTGCTAGACGCCGCTGTCCGACTCGCAGCTTGGCGTCTGCCATCGCGACCTTGTGAGTGATCCACGTGCTCACGTTCCAGTGGGCTACTGCCGACTTGGGGAAGTGGCGCTTGACGGAGTTTATCGTGACTTGGTAAGCTTCCGTCTCGCGGACGCCCGGAGCGATCCACGTCTTGGAGTTAGTGTGCGACATGAAGTAGTAACGGGCTACGAGCCGTGCTAGGGTCAGAAGAGGTATTGCTTGAAGTAGAAGCGGCAAGCAAGGGCTGATTGTGAGGTTTAGCTTGGAGGATACTTGTTGTTGACGTGCCAACGGTTATGAATGATTGTTTGTTGATCGGAGGAACCGGTAGCAACAAGTAGTGTTGGAGAAAAGACCTTATGGCACGAGGGCACGCGTCCAAACTATGCTATTGTTGGGTCCTATTGTACCTAGAATGTATAGCGGAAGTTAGCTGCCTGTTCAAAGACATTGTAACGAGGAACGGTGAGGTGCATCAAGAGGTATAAGCGTCCTTCTTAACCGTCAACAATGGCATCCGCGTTTGTCCCGGGTGCTGGTGTCGGGCTAGCGCCGACTGCGGCATAGCACACCGACTAGAAGTTGTCTGGCGGTGACGGGCTGATATGTCCCAGTCACGCGCTCGACAACCAACGAGAGGAGCGAGCCCGGCGTGATCTTTCAACGTGCCAGACTTGTCATTTCCGCTATTAATATCAAGAAGACCTACCGGATAATGCGGAGCCATGACGGTCGAAGAAGTAGAAGCATGGGAGGACATATTGAAATGCAGTACCTAGGTTGTTTGATGGGCCGGTCAAGCCGAAGAGCTGATTCAAAGCGCTAATGACGCGGTAATGTGAGTTTGGTTCGCGACTAGGTGGGCTTGGACGAAACCGGTGTTATGAAAGTACTACTGCCTACTGGTGTGCGTTACTTCGTGTTGGTCTGGGCCGAAGACGGAGCGGATGTTGCGTGAAAAGGCGGTGCGATCCTAGAAGCGGTGTAGCGAGCTGTGAATTGAGGTAAAACCAAGAAGAACAAACGTTGCGATAGACGAAAGAGTTTTTGCTGAGCGGCCGGAGTTTAGGAGAGCGACGGAGAGCGAGGCTGTCCAAGAGTGTCCTGTCAACCGGATAGGTAGTGCGCTGACAGTATAAAGGACAAAAAGCTGTGACAAAAGGCGATAGGTACGAGAAAGCTGCTCATAGTTCCATGATTCTTAGCTTCTACAAAGGCTCATAGAACATGCGTGGAGAGAAGAAGATGAGGGTTGTCGGCCCAAGTGTGGGCGTCGACCATGGAGCAGCATTACCCGATTCGGTGACCGGAACAACATTGCACCGGACGAAAAGGTGAATGATGATGCTCATCATTGACATTGTAGAAGGCATTTCGCTGATCATCAGCGAATTTAGCACCTGTTGTTGCTTTAAGACGAAATGTTTGACACATCTGGGAATCTACCACAACGTCTAACACTTCTTGACAACACCAAAGAAACGTCACCAACGCAACCGTCTGTTACTTTAAAGAGCAGTAAACCTGTCTCATTTAATGACCGAACAAACCAAATTATTTTGTCAAGTCGTGTTAACAAACCCAAGGGACTAGAAGCCGCAAGACACATATCGACGGGTCTTGACCAGTGTCAGAGGTAGAATTAAGGGCATAATCAGTGTTTGACATTGTAAGAGTCTCTTTTATGTTCGTAGGGGCTTATCTCAAGGAAGCCGAGAATCGAACAATAGCAGAAGATGACTGAGTTTTACAAGGGTGTTTGGCATGGCACTATGCTCTCGCGACACCAGCGGGCCAAACAAAGAATATAAGGTCAGCGAATCATCGCGACTATGCTCGTAATTCCTACTATAAGTGCGATTACATAACAGTTGAGAGAGAATATAAGTGTGTATGCGCCAAAACATGTAGCCTATGCTTTCTGTGGTGAGTGGGTAAGTTTGAGGGCGAACGGGCATGGTGTAGTTGGAGCATATTGCCCGCGAATGTTTATGATATTGAGTCCAAGACATTGGGAGGAAATGGAATAAAAGAAGCCAGGAGATGGATATAAATTCGCGGGTCATGAGGAGCAAGATAATAACCATGAGGCGACGTCCGTATAGGAGGCATCCGTGACATCCAAGCCCATGTGCCGATCCGACGGCGATCGAAAAACCGTCTGGCTGGCAAGCACGTCAACTTTGCTGCTTCGGAAAGGTCAATGGCCGGCAGAGAGTCCGTGGGCTTTCAACTTTCGTTCAATCAATATCGAAGGTGGACCGGGTCAGCTCAACATTGGCCAAGATACGAGCCCGAGTGGAAATCATGCTCCGTGCGGGAAACCCCAAGGAATCGTATATTGCAGTTATTTTGAGAATGGGCGAGAGGCAGTTCGTAGGCGCCGCGGTTCGAATGTCGTCTGGTTTCGAATGGGTCGGAGCGGGAAAACGAGTGGCGGGGAAAGCGCCGGAGGGCGCCAAGCGCCTCCGCGGGTGGAACAACGAGAGCCAACCAAAGCAGCGGTGCCGACAGAGCCGAAACGGAAAGACTGCACGCACGGGCGCGGTCGCGACTGCCACGCGGCGACGAGGCTTGGAAGTAGAATTTTCACGTTCTCAACACCAAGATTGTGGGGTTGGAGCTGCTCACGATGGCGAAATGTAGCCTGCCATCTGCTCACACGTACCTATCCGCGGTTGGGTCGAAGAAGACCTATGGAAAAGCTATGAGCGAGATGGATGACGATGTTCTATTATAGGCGGCGTGGCGGTCGGGGAAAACAGGGTTTTTTACCGCTTGAGCCACGCACTCAGACGGCGGCGGACCGCTCTTTATTAATCCCGTCTGGTCGTCGCCGTCAAACTTCCCGACGACGAACACCTCGCAGGTGTTCCCTTGCGACCGACAAGCCCCCAGCGGCAACGGCTGGACGCGCAGGCCGCCGCGACATCGTCAAGCTCGCTTGACTGAGCGTTGCAGCGCGCCCGTCGTCCAGCTGTCGTCGCCCAAGGCCGCAAGCCTGAGATGCACCAATGAATCTCAGGAATCGTGCAGTGGCGCTGCCAGCGTGCCGCAGCGCACTGTCCAGGTCTTCTCCAGACCAGCCGTCCTCCCAGGAAATGGTTGGCTGTGAGCGATTCTTCCGCCTCCAAGGGCGGCGCCTACACGCTCCGCGCTACCACAGAGCCTCCCAGCCCCAAGAATAGAGACACAGTTGACTGGATGCACCTCGAAACGCCCCGCTCGGCCGATCCTTTTGTTTCAGAAGCCTCAGCAAGCCACTGCCGCAAAGGTCGCGCGACAGGCCATGCCAGCCTCCCGGGTATGTCAGTGCGTTGTTCAATCATTGTTCACTCTTATTGTCTCCACGCCCACTTCCACTCTTCCTCTACGTCTTCTTTGTGTTTTTTTCAGTCAGGTGCCAGGGCCGCCGTCTTTGTCGCTGCCATTGTCCTCTAATTAGACTAATACCTCGGGGCTTCACCTGGCACGGCATCCTTGTTTTCTTGCCTGCATTTCATTTCTGTTACTCGACTTCTCTTCGAGTTTACGACCACATTCACTTCACGACTGAACGACTGCATATTGCCGCTGGCTGGCATATCACCACTCTCTCTAATACATACACTCCAGGCGAGCGTATACGAACACATCCACTGTCGACATGTCTTCCTCAGTGAACCACCCCGCCACCTTTCCGGACATGCCTCCATCTTCCTCCGCTGGCGGCCATGAGATGCGAGACTACTATGCCGGACAGGATGCACCACGACCTATGACGAACCAAGCACTATACCTCACACCATACCTCGGCCTTCGAGCTAGACTCTCGCAGGTTTGGATCAACCGCTGGACCATTCTCCTCGCTCTGATCCTCGTACGCGTACTCATTGCTACTCGCGATCTTAACGACAACCTCGATTCGGCCAGGCGCGAAGCTCTTTCGGCATGCACGAGTGTCGAGACCGCGGGCAGTGTCATGGCATCGATGCCTCACTACATGTCGCAGGGCGTCAACGAAATTACGGCTGCGGGTATTGAGAAGGCTGTCCATGGACTGATGGCTATGCTCAATCTTACCATCACCGGTGTCGAAGAGATTGTTGTCTTCTACATCAACCTCTTGACCTCCACCTACGTCTGCCTCATCACCATGGCTGTCCGTGGCAGCCTTCACGTTGTTCTCAACGCGGTTGAGGACATCTCGGACGGCCTTAACAAGACCCTCGACGTTGTTGGCGATGACATTGCCAGCGTAGCCGACGGCTTCCAGGACGAAGTCAACAAGCTGATCAAGGCCATCAACAGCATCCCTCAGATCTTTGGTGGTGATGGCATGGATTCTCTCAACCTGACCAAGCAGATCGACGAGCTCAAGAACCTGCAAATTCCTTCCGGGTGGGACGAGGGCCTCGAAAAGCTTAACAACTCGATCCCCACCTTCTCCGAGGTTCACAACTTGACGAACACTGCTCTGCGGTTCCCCTTCGAGAAAGTCAAGGATCTGATCTCCGAGCACACGAACACGTACAAGTTTGACCGTTCGGCTTTCCCAGTTCCTGCCAAGGAGTCTTTGTCCTTCTGTTCGGACGACGACGGTATCAACGATTTCTTCGATGGTCTTGTCGAGACTGAGAAAATTGCCAAGAAGGTCTTCATTGCAGTGCTCGTCGTTGCAGCCATCCTTGTCTGCGTTCCGATGGCCTGGAGAGAGATTAGGGCGTGGCGCAAAATGCAACAGCGCGCCATGCTCGTCAGCACCAAGTCCTACGATCCCATGGACGTAGTGTACATCGCTTCCAGGCCATACTCGGCGACGTTCGGTATCTGGCTCGCCAACCGCTTCAGCTCAGTACGCAAGCAAACCGCTGTGCGCTGGGTTGTGGCGTACTGTACTACTGTGCCTGCACTGCTTATACTCGCGCTGGGTCTGGCAGGCTTACTGGCCTGCCTTTGCCAATATATCCTCCTCAAGACAATTGAGAAGGAGGTCCCAGCTCTGGCAGCACAGGTTGGCGATTTCGCCGAGGATGTTGTCTATGCGCTCAACAACGCCTCTGAGGCATGGGCCAACGGGACCAACACCGCCATCATCAAGATGAACACTGAGCTCAATGACAACATTTTCAGTTGGGTCAACACCAGCACATCTGCGCTCAACAACACGCTCAACGTGTTTGTTGACGAGATGAGCAACGCTCTCAATGTTACTTTTGGCGGCACTATCCTGTATGAGCCCATCACCGAGGTTCTGAACTGCCTTATCACGCTCAAGATCGAGGGCATTCAGAAGGGCCTTACGTGGGTCCATGACCACGCGCATATCGACTTCCCCACTATGGACAACGACACTTTCTCTCTGGGTGCTGCTGCCGCGCTCTCGAACGGCACCAAGGATGACTCTTTCCTTGCCGATCCGAGCAGTGAGACGACCGACGCCATCACTGGAACGGTTACCAGGCTCGTCAACAAGCTCGAAGAGGGCATTCGAATTGAAGCCATCATCAGCACCTGCGTTCTCATGCTCTGGGTTATCGTCTTTCTCATCGCCTTCACCCGTATGCTTGTTGTCTTTAATGGCCACGGCAAGACACGCGCCGAAGGCGGCCAGTCTTACGCCGTTGACCCCGAAACCGACCACTTCCGCCCTCACGACATTCCCGTCGCAGTGCCTCCCCCTGTCGCGCGTCCTGATGCTCAAATGGACATGCCGGCGCCTCCCCAGTACGAGTATGTGAACAAGAGTGCGCCGTACACTATTGTCCCGCGTCCGTTCCCCAGCCACAACAACCAACACAACGAGCCCGCCAACAATTCTGACGAGTTCCCCCTTGGCTCCAGCGAAAAGCTGGGCGAGGTGGACTCGCACAATGTGGGTATCGCAGTGTCCAGGCCGGATCACCATCGGACGAGCAGCCACGGGCGGATTGGCGCTACCACGCCATCGCCCGCGTCTGACGAGAAGTCCAGCGACGGCAAAGGCAATTACAATCCATTTTTCTAAGCGCGCGTGCTGGAGTTAAATCTCCAATCCTCACAGACCTTTCCTCGCTTCGGTTGACGGACTGATGTCTACCGAGGATGTGTGCGCCCGCTCAGAACTGCGAGAGACGTAAATGCTCAGGTTACGTACTTTGGTCACTGAGGTTATTCTTCGCTCCCCTTCGCGGCGCGAGCGAGAACCACTGGCTGTAGGTCTTCGGATCTCGCCATTGGAAACTAGTGTTTTCTCCATATTTGCACTGAAAAAGGACGGGGATGACATTGATCCACGCCCTTCAATTAATACTTTGGATACGCATTTCACGTTGCACATGTCTCCCCCTGCTCTTTCCTCGGTCTTTTCATGTTGATGAATTTCTTGGTTTATTTCATTTGCGTTGTGTTTGCCATGCTCCTATCCGGCGTTGTCGATTTTTATCCACTTTCCTGCATCCCCCTCTCAACTGCGAGAGGCTTGTGGTGCAGCGCAAAGCAGTTGGTCTCGGTACTTTCGCCCTCTCCCTCCCGCTCCTCTCCAGTTCCCCCATCACGCTGCCGGAACCTCCTCCGTCGCCAACCCCGCGTCTCCCGCCTTAGCGCTGGCTTGCCCCTTTGGCCGCAGGCGCGCGCGGTTGACGACGGACGCGAGATGAGCGTGCTTCGTGGTGGCGCGAGCGAACTGTGACGAGCCGGACAAATTGGGTATGGTCGCTCACTCGCCTGCTCGGCCTCCTCCTCACGACGACGAGGTCCTTGCGACTCCCGCTCCTAGCGTTTCGCCCGCCTGCGATGCATCGAAAGACCCAGGTTGTGGTGCGTAGCGGAGCGGAGCTGCTTCCTTTCCGATGACCGCGGGCTTGCTCGCGGCCGGAGGCAAGGTTGCGGAGTCGGGGCAGCTGCTGACCGATAACGAGCGTCCCTAGCCTCCTCCTCCCTGCTCATCGCCCTTGCGCCTCGGCGCTCGCGACGTGATGAGCCAGAGAGTGTAGTGATGGCGAGCAAGATGCTGTTGCTGTATGTTTGATGCGGGTGGATAGGGGTGGTTTTTGCGCTTTGCGACGCTGCTGTTCCTGTTGCTTTTTGCCGGGATTATTCTGGGCTGGTTGGCTTTTCTCTGGTACCTATCTGGCCACCGCGAGGCTGGCGGTGGCGGATTCCTTGTTGAGACGGAGGGATACTCATGGCTGATGATTTCCGATTGATAACGACGAATGGGATTGGATGGGTTGGTGGAAGACCGTTTGAGGGTAGTAGATAGATGTCAAGCAAGGTCTCTCCCTCATTGATGTTACAAGATGGTGAAGTGATACTGGAACTTGGCACTGCATGAACCCCTTGTCTGCAGCAGCGTTTCACAGCCAACCGTTTGACAACGTGGTCTCGGTTGACGGCCCGGGAAGAAGTTGTGGAATGCTCACTCCGGAGGATAGTATTCCATGTCGATAGGTACAAATAGATTCAGAGGACCGCGAACATGCAGGACAGCCGTGACGTCGAGTCCAACGACCACCTGCCATGGCGCTACAAAAGAAGTGTCAGACCGCGACGCACTTGACACGCTACGCCCGCCACCCCGCCTCACGAGCTCGTCGGCCGCGTCAATATGTGCTGTTGGCATGGTGCAGCAGGGCGCCGGGTCTCAGCTTGGCGTGGTTACGTAGCCGTTTCGGCACCCAATGAACCGGCCGCCTTGACGCACGCTCGCCCAGCATCGGCCGTGAGACGCCTCCCGAAAAGCTCGCCGCGCCCTCCCCCATCGCACCACCGCATCTTTGCACGCATTGCTCTCGCCCGCATGACCTGGACACGCTGAACCCGCCGTTCTGTTTGCCCTAGGCCCGCCTTCCTGCAAAAGCCCCCGACTCCCCCGGTGACGCAACAGCCGCGACTCTGGACGGCACCGCCGCGCACAGTTTCTCTCTCCCACCGCCCGCCGAGGCTTTTGAGCTCGAAGATCTTGGAAGAGCAGGACAGTCCCCGGAGGTCCGTCCACAGCGTGACTCGGAAAATACTAGAGAAAGGGAGGGTAGGAGGCGCGAGAAGCTCGAGCGCCTGCTCGACGAGGCAGAGATGAAGTTCTCCCACAGCATCCAGTTCAATGCCGTGCCAGATTGGAGTAGCCACTACATTGCATACAGCAATCTCAAAAAGCTGTGCGTTTTGGTTCCCTGCGAGACTCGTTGCTTTTCGTGGAAGTCCTGGCTTGCTGACGTCGTCGTGCAGGATTTACCAGCTAGAGAAGCAGTTCTACCAAAAGGCCGGCCCGGACCCGCAAGATGCCGAGTCCTCGCCCCTTCTCGGAGCCGCGATAGATGACCCTGACAAGATCTTCAAGAGTGCGCTGGATAAGGATCTCGAGAAGATTGTCTCGTTTTTTGAGGAGAAGGAGGTCGAGGTGTATGGGGAGCTGGAAGGCTTGCTCCGAGACATGCAACAGTTTGAAGAGGAGGATGGCACTTTGGAAGATGATCAGGAGAATGGCCCGCCTGGCTCGCGGGGTGGGAACAGGAAGAGAATGCGGTCAGGGAGCCTTTTCAAGGGGTTCTCTATGGGCCGTAGGCGATCCAGCAACTTCAGCAATGCTATCCCCGAGGAGGATGGTCTCGGCGGCGGCGACAGTGACGACGATGCCGACGAGAGTTCCGCCCTCCGCCAAAGAAAATCCAGGGATGGACGAAGGGGCTCCCGTTCGGACGACGGGAGAGCGACGTCACGAGGCAGCACGAAGAGGCGCAGGAGCGAGGCAAACGACGACTTCAACGACATGTCGTTCTCGGCGTTGTATGGCTCCGCCGTCAGCCTCAAGCAACGGACGATTAGCCTCTATGTCAGCCTCTGCGAGCTCCGCTCCTTTATCCAGCTCAACAAGACGGGTTTCAGCAAAGTACTCAAGAAGTACGATAAGATCCTGGACCGGAGTCTTAAGAGCGCATACCTCAAGCAAAATGTTGAGAAGGCTTATCCTTTCAAGCAGCCTACCATGGACAAGTTGAGCGACAACATTTCCAAGATAGAAAGAGCCTATGCCGCCCTCTGCACCAATGGCGACGTTTCGATGGCTAAGCGGGAGCTCCGCTTGCACCTGCGCGAGCACGTTGTCTGGGAGCGTAACACTGTTTGGCGCGAAATGATCGGCATAGAGAGGAAGTCCCAGGCTGCGAACTTGGGTATCCGGCAGACTATGCTTGGTCCCGACAAAGACAAAGCACGACTGCAGGGCGATGAGGCGGAAGCTCTGACAAAGGAGATCGAGACGCCCATTGGCAAGTACACTTGCCCCAAGTGGCTGTTCAGCTGGACATTCTACACATTGATTGCTATATTTGCCATCTTTGTTGTGATGCTCTTTGTTCCGATTATGGATGTACCCGAGCAGCAGAATTGCCTTGCGATGGTTATTTTTGTGAGCGCGCTATGGGCTACGGAGGTAAGGACATCCCTCGAAAGACGCACTTCAATGCTGACTGTGATTTCAGGCTATTCCTCTGTTCGTGACTTCGCTTTTGGTTCCCTTCCTGGTGGTTACGCTCCGCGTTGTGCGTTCTGATTCTAAGCCGCACGAGCGTCTGGAATCTAAAGCCGCAGCGAGCTATGTGTTCTCAGCAATGTGGTCCCCTGTCATCATGCTTCTCCTAGGCGGCTTCACTATCGCAGCAGCCCTGTCCAAGTATAACATCGCCAAGATGATGGCAACGTTCGTGCTCAGCAAGGCAGGCACGCGTCCGCGGACCGTCCTGCTCACCAGCATGTTCGTCGCCATGTTCGCCAGCATGTGGATTAGCAACGTCGCAGCACCAGTCCTCTGCTTCTCAATCATCCAGCCGATCCTGCGCAACCTGCCCTCGGAGTCCAACATGAGTAAAGCGCTACTGCTGGGCATCGCGCTGTCGTCAAACATTGGCGGTGCGGCGTCGCCGATCGCCTCGCCGCAGAACCTGATCGCGCTGCAGAACATGGCGCCGCAGCCGGGATGGGGCGTGTGGTTTTTCATCGCGCTGCCGGTGTGCATCATCAGCATCCTGCTGACGTGGCTGCTGCTGCTGGCGACGTTCCAGCCTGGCAAGGGCACGACCATCGTGCCCATCCGGCCCATGAAGGACCGCTTCACGGGCATCCAGTGGTTCATCAGCGCGACGACGGTCCTGACCATCGTGCTCTGGTGCGTGACGCACCAGCTCGAGCCAATCTTCGGGGACATGGGCGTCGTCGCCATCATCCCGATCGTGCTGTTCTTCGGCACGGGGATCCTGACAAAAGAAGACTTCAACAACTTCCTCTGGACGATCATCATCCTGGCCGCGGGCGGGCTGGCGCTGGGCAAGGCGGTGAACAGCTCGGGCTTGTTGGCGACAATTGCGCAGGGCATCACGGCGCGCGTCGAGGACCTGAGCCTCTATGGTGTGCTGGTCGTGTTTGCGGCGCTGATTCTCGTCGTCGCGACTTTCATCAGCCATACCGTTGCTGCGCTGATCGTGCTGCCCCTTGTGCAGCAGGTCGGTCAGGGCATGGCGGAGCCGCATCCCAATCTGCTGGTTATGGGGAGCGTGCTTATGTGCTCGATGGCGATGGGGCTGCCGACGAGTGGGTTCCCGAATATGAGTAAGTTCCCCTTTAATCCGCCTCCTCTCTTCTCATCTCTCTTTTTCGGTCCCTTTTTCTCTTTTCCATCTCTGCTTTTCCTTCGCTTCGTTGTAGACCTGCATACTGACACACCCGCGCAGCCGCGATCATGATGGAAGACTCCCAGACCGGACAGCGCTACCTGCAGGTCAAGCACTTTATCACGCGCGGTATCCCGGCGTCGATCATGGGGTTCGTCGTCATTATCACGGTTGGCTACGGCCTTATGCTCGCTGTGGGCTTTTAAAGCGTTTTTGGGCGCATGTTGTGGTGGTTGGGTGGTGGGTGGGTGAGTTAAGGGGAAATGGGAGAGGACGGTGTGTGGAAAAGAGAGCGCGGTCCAGACCTGCTGTAGCGCGTGCCTTGCATGCATGCTTGTCTACTTGCTTGCTCGCACTTGACCCGCCCTGCCTCGTTCTGCCTCGTTCTACTACTACTTACGACTCTTGCGGCTGCAGCCGATGTCGTTGGGGCGTGTACGGTACTGTACGATACGCACGCCTCGGCTCGGCCTCGCAATGAGAGGAGAAGGGAGTCGTGGCCGAGGTTTAAGCTATCTACCTACCTACCTACCTGCCTGCCTGCCTCCCTACCTACATACCCACTTCCCACAAAATGTAGAGGGCACGGCACGGCTCAGCTGGACGCGAAGTCAGGCTCAGGTTGTGGTCCACGCTTACGGGAGGGAGGACACGCGGTCGATGACGATGATATATAAACTGGCATTTTAAGAGTTTCTGTTTTTTGGACTTTTTGTTTTGATGTTTTGATGTTTTGGATTGATGTTTTGATTCGTATGTTTTGATTTGTATGTTTTGGTGGTTTGTTTGGTTGCTTGCTTGCTTGCTCGCACGCTTTGAGCGTATAGGGTTTGTTGTGCGTATAGATGGATGGATGGTTGGGTTGGTAGGGGAATGAATGCATTTGCAGACGACGACGTCTACATACATATTACTTGCTTGCTCGGCTGACGTTCAGTCGTGGACATACTCGCGGTGATGCTTGCGGTGGTTGCATGAGATAGGTAGGTAGGTATAAGCTGCTACCTTTGACTTAACTATAGGAGGGGAGTGTGGCTGTGTTGTACATACGTGGCTGGTTAGCTGAGCGTTTCTCTCTCTATTTAGTTAAACCACTCCCTCCCTCCTCGTCCCCCTCTTCACCCAGCACACAAAGCACGCCCCTCGCGCGACCCTCACCCCAGCCCACGCCCGCCACTAGGATACGCTACCCGCAGCGTCTCGGCCTGCGTGGACGTGAAAGGCGCGGTAGACTGCGTTCCTATATACGCACGGCCCTAATCAGCACTACTATACATACTTGCATACACACAACACTCACACACATCACCACCATCTCAAAGCTAAAACCGCACATGCAAGCAAGCAAACATGCATGCATACATATATCTATCTCGGTTAAACTGAACTTAACCAAACCCACCCTACCCTACCTAAACCGTCCCAAGCCTAAGTAAGTAAATAGCATATCCGTATATAACCCCCACCCAGCCCACTAACCAACCAACCAACCAACTCAGCCACACAACAAAAACGAACGTCCAGAAAAAAACCCACTCAAACACCCCCTCCCCCCAACCCCCCACCTACTTCCCGCCACCCAAACCAGCACCAACACCAACCCCCCTCACCAACTCACCAACCTCGAACCCCAACCGCCGTAGCGCCGCCTCCTCGACCTCCCGCCCAACCCCCCTCTTCACAACCAGACATTTAGTCGCGCCATCCTCTCTGACCTCGACTGCGCGCCCAGGGCCCGTTCCTACGCCGCCCAGTCCCATCCCCCCCAGTCCCATTCCCACGCCCTTCCCACCACCCGCACCCTCATCCCCAGCACCACCAGTTCCGCCTACGGCACTGCCTGCGGCGCTGCCACCGGCGGAGGCAGCGCCAGAGCCGGAGCCGCCAATATCCCGCACATACACGACCACGTCCGGCCCCACGATGCCCCGCCACAGCGTCGCGATCCACTGCCAGTGGTCGGCGGGGGAGTAGTTGTCCGCGATGGGGACACGCGAGGCCCACGCGTCGGCGGCAGCGAGGTTGTAGGTTGGGAGGATGAGGACGGGTGTTGGCGTTGGTTGTTGTTCTTGCGCCGTGTCCGGCTTTCCCTTTTGTTGGTGCTGGTCTGGCGACATTGTTGTTGTTCCTCCCTCGCCATCCTCATCGCTCTTGTTTCGGTTTTTGCCGTTACCGTTACCGTTACCGGTCTTACCACCACCACCACCAAACGCCCCCGTCGTAATAAACTCGACCATCTCCCCCGCCTTGGCATGCCACTCGGCAATAACGCCGATATAATCCCCCAACGACACGGGCGGCCCCTCGCCCACCGGCGGCGGGGCCCGCGGCGCCTCCGCAACACGCGCGCGGTACTCGCCGGTGCGGTTGAGGCTCTCCTCGAGCCAGGCGGCGAGGCGGCGCGCCGCGGCCTTGTCGTCGCCCTCGACGGCCACGACCGCGCCGCGCGCCAGCAGGCCCGTGGACTGCGACAGCGATGCCGACGCCGACGATGGCGTGGCTGTGAACGTGGGTGTCGCGCTGCTGGGCGCGGAGCCTGCTGTCCCTGCTGCTGCTGCTGCTGCTGCTGCTGTTGTCGCTGCCGCCTTCGCATTGCCCCGGTACGGCGGCGCGATGCGCCCGAGCACGCGGATCTTGCCCCAGAACGGCATGCTCATGACCATGGCCTCGAGGGAGCGAGACGCCGAGGCCGACGCCGACGCCGACGCTGAAGGCGGCAGTCCCGCAGAGTGCGGGCCCGGGTGGACGGCGCCGCTGGCTGGGGAATGAGGGTTAGCGTAGGCGAGGGTGCGGGCGTGCAAGTCGGGGGTCTGCAGCGGAGGCAGGGTGAGGCTATCATGGGGATGATGGGGCGGAAGGCGCGGGCTCGGGCCGCGTAGGAGCTCCGGGCGCAGCAGCGGCTGCGAGTGCCGGCGGCCGACGACGTCGTGCGGGCCGGCGTTTGTGAAGGACGAGGGGTACGGCGACGGCGGCGCGCCCCGCGAGTACGCGGCCTGGTTGTAGCGCCGCCGTTTGGCGTCTGGGCTTAGCGGCGTGAGCATCTGCACGTCGTCGTCTGTCTCGTCGCGGTGGCGGACTGTGTGGATCGCGCTGAGGCTGCTGGGTGCCCGCACGCTTTGCCGGTTGTGCCGCACCTGGGCGGGGTTGATGGCGAGGTTGTTCATCATGGGTGGGAGATAGCGAGACGTGGGTGTAAGGGCTGAGGATGGGGTAGGCGGAGGGAGCATGGGCGTGTTGACGGCGGGCGATGAAGGGGTGGTAGAGACGAAAGTCGTCGCGGGAGTTGCGATGGATCGGCCACCGCACTTGGCGCAGTGGTGTTTGTCTGATGCGGCGTTGGCGTTGGACACGCTGCCTCTACGGCCGCCGCGGCGTGGCTGGTAGCGGTATTCCGGGTACTGCTGCTGATGTCGCAGCTTTTCTTCTTCAGCGAGTATCTTCCACTCGTTGCGGACTGAATCCGACTGGGCGCGCCACTGCTCGCCGATGATCTTGGATATCTCAGGGTTGGCCAAGCCAGGGTGCTGGGCCACGATCGCGGCCTGGTGATGCTGGCGATATAGTATGAAAGCTACAAAGGAAGGGTCAGTTCTTTGAGCCATGAGGAGCCTATTGACAAAGCTATCGCCAGATCACGTTGGGCCGTGCGTCATCGAGAGGCTTGAGCGGACAAGCAGGCATATAAAGACGCGTCGCCAAAGAAAGTTTGCTTTTTTGTTTGTGAGAGAGAGCAAGCACTCACCGTTTCTCGGGCGCGGTATTTTTGGGTCGGGCTGGCACAAGCAGACGTGACTGGCAGCAGATCCGACAGAAGCTCCTGAGCCGCCAGAACTCATGCGAGAGTGGGTGCCATGGCGCGCGGCAATGTCGGCGTCTTCGTCTGCCTCGTCGTCCTCAGCTCGCTCGTCGGCCGTCTCGGCCTCTTTATCCGCCAGCGAGGCGGCACGTTTCCGCGTCAAACGAAAAGGCGGAGACTCTGGCGTCGGCGGCGCGTCATCGTGTTTCGACGAACGGGAAGGTCGGGAGCGCGTCGAGACAGCGGTGGAGGGTCGGCGGGAGGGGTTCCTCTCGCCCTTTTGCTGGTCTGACATGGTGGTGTTTTTCGGCTCGACAGACGGGCGACGGGCGTGTTGATAGGGCATGCGACATGGCGCGGGTTGGGGCTTTGTGCCTCGTCATCTGGAGTGGGCTTCTTTGTGTCCTAGACAGTTGCGGGCTCACGGCTGTTCGCGACGGCCAAATTCCTTCAGGCCCATTCCTCGCATGCAAGGACGCGGGCACAAAGAAAGCTCTTTTGAGACAATGCAGACAAACGCGGGAATTGTCTTCAGGCGAGGAATGCGGCGTGGTTGAGCGTGTCGTTGCGGGCGACGAGGGCCGCGGCTTCGGCGCCCACCAAGGCATGAGCGCGGCCGGAAAGATGCATGGGGTCCCTGGTGCAGTCAGTATTTGACTTCGTTTGTTGTTGACAACATACCAGAAGAGGTGGCTTGGCTCGTCGCTGCAGGTGGGCGAGCTTGCGTTGACACACGGCTGGCGCACCTGAGCAAACACGCCGGATTCAGCCGTGATTCCCAGCTGGTGCGTCTGCTGCTCGCGGATGCGGTCCAGCAGCCACTCGTCAAGTTCGAGCAGGTGCACAGCGCCGCCCTTCCACGCGGCCGCCGCCTGCACCAGCGCAGCATTCCACTCCTCTGCCAGCCACACGCAGGCGCGCTGGTCCGACCTACTGCTGTCGAAGCCGGGCAGAAACGTGATGTCGGGCACCTTGACCAGCACCACCTTCATGGGGGAAGTATTCTCGGCCAGCACGTCCAGCTGCGCAACCAGCGTCTCCATGCTGGCCCGCACCGCCGCGCGCGCCGTCATCTGCTCCAGACCCGCGTACGCCCACATGTCGTTGATGCCGAAGAAGAGGGTGAAGAGGGTGCGTTCGCCAGAGGCACCGCCGCCACGGCCCGGCATGCCGGCCTTCTGCTTTTCAAACGCCAGCCACTGCTGCACCTGCGCCTTCAAGTCGGCCACGAAGCGCCCATCGTCGGGCCTCCCCGCCCCCGTCGCATTCGCAAAGACATCGACGTCCAGCACCGCGTCGTGCGACGACCGCGCAAAGTTGTCGATGTAGTCGCATACCAGCTGCAGCACGTAGCCATGTCGTCAGCGCGCCTTCTCTCCCGGCCACTCTACCTAGAGCATGGAACTCACCTCGGAGCACAGCGCCTCGGTCCACAGCGGCCGGCTCGCGTTCTGCTGGCCGCGCCCCGTCGCTGGCACCGCTACCCGGTACTCGCCCGTGTCGGACCACGAGTCGCCAAACACGACGACGCGCCGCTTCGTGCCGTCGAGGGCTTTGGCCACGCGCGTCCGCACGTGCAGCGACGGCACGATCCAGCCCACGTAGAGCATGCAGCACACGGCCAGGCCGGCCAGGGCATGGAATCTCGACAGCGTGCGCATCGCCTTGACGGATCCGGATGGATGGATGGATGGATGGATGGGTAGGTAGGTAGGCCGGTAGGTAAGGAGCTTGGTAGCCAAGTAAGTAGAGAGGCAGGCAGGAATCCAAGTCCTAGACTAGACAAGGCCGATGCCCTGTATATAGACAGACAAGCAGTATCCGTGATACCCGCCCACGTCCGTCCGAGGTCCGTACGTAAGATCAGCGAGGCTGCGAACAACGAGCAAGAAGAAGAAACGACAAAAAAAAAGGCCCGGCAAATGAGCACCCCGTACTAAAGTAGTTGTAGCAGCAGCCTCGCAAAAACCAAAACCCAAATTGAAATAACAAGCGTCGTCGTCGTCGTCCGTGGCGGAGCAACCACCCACGCAAAAAAAGCCGCCTCGGTACATAGCTAAGGCTAAGGCTAGGTAAGGTACCTACCTAGCAGCCGCGCGTCCCCCCACGACGGCGCCGACGCGGACACCGACGACGACGAATCGTCCACGTCGTTTCCCCGCACCGACGCCCGCACTCGAGTCTCGCGAGCGGCCCTGGCGGGCGCGCGGCGCGTACTGTCCTGTGCCGCGATCCCGATCACGCAAGAGCTGGGCTGCAAAGCTTGGCTTTGGCTTTGGCTTTGGCTGCCGTGTCCGATTGTTTGTGTGGTTGGCTGTTTGACCTACTCCGTACCTATCTAGATGCTTACCTACTACGTAGTTAGGGTGCTTGCCCGGTTTACGAGCAAGAGCTTAAGTGCCACGGCCAGAGCTAATTACTTACATACCTACATAGCTATTCCCCAGCCAGCCAGCCACACGCGTCCCACCAATGCTTGCGTTGCCGCTAGGGAAGTAACTATGTACGGTATGCGTTGGAGTAAGAGTAAGGTTTCCTGCTAACCGCCGCATGCGGCATCTCTAATCTCAATCTCTGGCCTCTGACTCCTGATCCCATAGCCCAATCTTTCTCCTTTTCTCTTTCTTTCTTTCTTTCTTTCTCTTCCTCCTTCTCGTGCTCCTACAGGCAGTTGACTTACGAGACACACACAGGCACGCACGATCTAGGATCTAAAACGCACCCACTGACACCCACCAACGCACCCACGCACGCGCCCGCGAGCGGAAACACCTCCGCGCACTGCATGGCCTGACCCTGACGGCAGCGCGCAGACAAAGAAGCAGCAGCGCTAACGGGGTGGCTTGCTGGCTGGCTGGCTAGCTATTGCTGACGGGGTCCTTGGCCCTTGTTTCTGGTCTCGCGTTCGCGCGTGCTGTGTTGGTATTCGCTATGTATGTACATGGTATAGTATGTAAGTATGTGGTGGACAAGTGGATGGGTGCATGGGTGCATGGGCTAGCAGCTGAGGACAAAGAACAGAGACCCTGCCCCTTGTAGGTATCTCACTCCTCGCATCCCATGTCCAAGCTGCCGGCCGCCTGCTGTCAGTCACGGAAGTGGAAGTGGATACATACGGACATGGAGGAGGGAGGGGAGGACTTGCTGCGCATGTGTGTGGGTATGCATGTATGTAGGTATGCATGTACGCACGCACCCACCCGCTTCGCGAGCAGCCGCACCGGGCGCGGCCATGCATTGTCTGAGTGAGTGACTGACTTCTTCTGACGCTGGCTGACGGGTTCCTGACTGACCGACTGACTGACTGATTAACTAACTGGGCACGTCAGACACGCCCTCCACCACCTAGGCGGAACCGACAAAGGCGCAATCGGCAGCGTCAGTGTCAACATCAGCGTCGACGCTATCGTTAACGCCCGTCAACATCCAACTGCAACCACACAAACACCTCCCTCTCTTGCACTTGCACCCCACGCCCCCGTCAAAGCACCAGTTCCATGAAGCCGTCCCAGTACCAGCCGCAAGCCGCAAGCCAGCACCCAGCCGCTCCCCAGGATTTCCGTCTGAAAGACTAGACTAGACCAGAGCAGACCAGAGCAGAACAAAGAACAATAACAACCTCGCCGATCCAGATCCAAGCCAGCGACAGCAACAACAACAACACAGCACTTTACCGCGCCGCAGCACTGCACCTTACCGCCAGCGCGCCTGGCCACGTATCCAGGTATTGCGTAGTACCCAGACGACGCGTACCTACCTACGCAGCGCGCAAGGACGAGAACGAGCACAGTAGTACGTGTATGTATGTAGCGCGCGCGCGCGCGCGCGCGTGTGTGTGTGCGTAAAACAGGATTTGGTATCTGGTATTTTGGGCTCCGTGTTTGTCTGTAGTCTGTGTTTGTTTGTCCGTTTGTTTGCTACCACCCACGCACACGCGCATGCACGTATGTACAAGCACTCATATGCACGCAGCCGCGCCATTGTCCATCCCCCGCGCAGCGCGCAAACACGGCCCAGCGAAGCGCTTGCAAGGCAGTTAGGTAGCCAGCGCCAACCCTAGTACGGAGACAGGCTGACGATGGATGGATGGGCCGTCCTCCTAGCGATAGCGGTGGTAGTGATGGCGTGTGGGATGTAGGATACGGGATGTAGGTGTAGGCCTGCGTGCGTCGGTTTCTGGATTCTGAATTCTAGAGAAACGAATGGATGGGTTGACGTTCTGCACGGTGTAGAGGGCAGAGGAGAGTAGAGTAGAGCATCAGCGTAGTAGGTATATATCTACGTACAGTACGTACTGCACCACCACCAGCACCCAACCCCAAAACAAGCACCCAGCCCTACAAGCCCCCCACCACACGACCCTACTGCAGCCGCACGCCCGCCTGGCGATTCTTCCTCGCCGTAGCGCCCATAGCGCTATTCATGCCCGAGCTCTGACTACTATCCAAGCTACTCATAGCCTCACGTTTCTTCTCGTCCTCAATCTTCTTAAGGCGTTTCTCCGTCTTCTGCTTGCCAGACCCCTTGCCATGAAACTGGTGCGACAGGTGCTTAAACGCCTCCTTCTGGTTCATCGCGCGGCCAAACTCGTCCACGTACTTCAGGTCCACGTTCGGCTTGTACTCCTTGTTGAAAATGTCCGCCATCTTGCGCGACTCGAGCCGGTCGCGGTCCTGGTTGCTCTTCTGCGCCATGGCCTCGCGCTCGCGCGCAGACATGTGCTCGAGGCGGCCGCTGCGCCGGTCGCGCTCGCGCTGCATCTTGGCGCGCACCTCGGCGTCTGTTTCCAGCCGGTGCTTCTCTGCCAGGAAGCGTTGCTGTTCGATGAACTTGGCGTTGAGGTCCCCGCCGTTCGCGTCGCGGATCTGCCCCCGCTGCTTGAGCAGTGCCAGCGTCGCCCCCAGGCCCCGGTCTACCGTCTCTTCCTCGTCGAGTCCCGTGGCTGTGATGTCGGCCGGCGCGCCGGAGACGCTGCGACCCTCGCGCTCTTCGCGCGCTCTGCGCTCCTCTTCCTCCTCGACGGCCGCGTACGACTGGTCCATGTCAATATCGCCTTCCGCGTCCATGGGGTTGGGCGCATCCGCTGCTTCCGAGGCTTGGCGTGGCTGCGACGATTTCCTGCGCTGCCGCTCGGGACGCTCCGCGGGTCCTTGAAGGTTGGCGACGAATTCGGTAGTCTCGTCGATGACGAGGCCAGGCTCTTCGTCAGGTGCTTCGGTGCTCTCGACGACGCCGGGAGTTGCGGATTCTTCTTCGCGCAACTGCCGGGCCAGGTCCTCCGGACGGACCTTCTTCCTCTTCTTCAAGGCTGCTCTCCGCTGCATTGCGAGCTGCGCCTGTAGGTCCTCGTCATCGATGATGTTGTCGAAGTTTTGCTTTTTAGGCGCAGGTTTCGCTACAGCCTGGTCCACGTCCATGTCCCCGTTTTCCTGTGCGGCTGGAGTTTCCGTGGCATTTGGCATGGGGAAAGCGTCATCTTCATCAACTGCCTTCTTTCTCTTTTCCTTCTTCTTACTCTTCTTCGGCTTTTTAATCTTGATTTGCGAGGGATCGATGTAGTCTGAGATAGGTGTGTCGTCCTTGAGTATATCCAGACTGATCTTGACGGTCCTTCCGCTAGAACCCTCCGCCGCGGCCATCTCAGCTTCCTCTTTAGTACGTCCTTGGCCGTCGAGAGTGAAGACCTTTCTCTTCTTGCCATCAATTTCCTCGTCGTATTGCGCGAGAATCGACTGCCCGCCAATATCTGCGTTCGGGTCATAGGCGCGCTTCCTTTTCTTGGATTCCAGCCGTTCGTTGGCCTGCTCAACATCCCTGAGGTTGACGTTCTCAAGTTCGTCGCCATCCTCCTCGTCATCAACTGCCGTATCCTTCAACGTCAGGATGTGCTCATCACCCTCTTGAATTTGATCCAGCTCGTGCGCGACCTTGACACCAGCCAAGTCCGCAGCCGTATACTGCGCCTGGGCCTCCGCTTCGCGCTCAGCGAGTTCCTGCTCCATGCGCCTTGCCTTGTCAATCTTCTTCTGGCGCTTCTTTTGCCCCGCCAGCCAGGTCTTCGCATCTACATCATCATCGGCATCACCAAGACCTTTGCCCTCGAGCTTAGCAAATCTCTGAGCTTGGTCGCGAGCTTTCTTGATAGCCTCTTTCCGAGCCTGCGCCTTGACCTTGGCCTCCTGCTCTTCCTGCAGCTTCTTCCAGTTGTCGAAGCCCGCCGCTGACCGTGTCTCGAGCGTGCTGGCGGGCTCTTCATCGGAGTCGCCATCGGCCTTGGGCTCCTTGAAGACGGGTCCGCTGGTGTTGTCTGCGCCGGGCACCGGGAGGGGTTTCATGCCCATGGCAACCCGGATTTTGTTCGCCTCTTCGATTGAGATGGCGTCCATTTTGAAGGGCGAGCGGGTGGTTCGCAGCTAGGTGAATGTCTTGCAGAGGGCGAGTCGATTCTTTGGGATTTGCTTGAGAAGTGCAAATGGCTCGAAAGTTAAGAGGCCAAATTGCGCGTCGTCGGTACGGGTCGCACGGGTGGCGGTTCGCAGGTCGCAGGCCGAGGTCTCGATGGCAGCAGCAGGCACGCGCGCGCGCAGTCGTGAATCGGAAGTTGGTGGTGTGGAGAAATCAGGCGCGGGAGCAAGAGCTGTCAAGAACTGTCGTTGATGATGTTAAGAGCGGGCGCCCGCAGTCGTGAAGTTGACAGTAAAAAAAAACAAAGCGCGGGGATGGTTGTCGATAGCAGGAGCGGACGCGCGCTGTCGTAAAGTCTAGCAGCAGGAGTGGAAGGCCAAAGCGCTCAGCCGCGCCTCACCGCCAACCCCCAAACGGCCTAGCGCGCGCGGCAGAAGGCGCAATAAAAAGTCATCTTGCGCCGCACGCTCTCTTCTTTTCTTCTTCACCAAACCACGGACCTGTGTCCAGGACTCCTATCCGCGCTTCGGTGCGTGACGGTCGAGTGCTGCGACAGTTCGACTGGCAATGCTTGGGAGCGCACTCCATCCCCCCCGGGGATGCGTTCTTCTGAGCAGTCGACAGGTTCCAGAGAAACATCGGCGCTGTCGCTCGACGAGATCCCTTCGGGTGAGCTCAGACGGTGCGGCGTTCGAGGGCGTTATATTCCATCTCAGTTTCCCCGAGGGAATTTCCCGCTGAGGGTCTGAAAAACCATAACTTGCCTACATACCTTCTACCATTTCTTCCCCGTTGTTGCTCTGGCTTTATGCCGGTCCTCGAAGGGGGAGCTGCGAGATTGCTCGGCTTGTGCTAGCATCTTCCAGCTTCATTGTTTCCACGATCCAACCAAGTCGCATGTTGATGTCAGATGCTACACGCCTTTGTCCGTCCTTCGTTAAGTTATCCAGAAGGTCGACCGACATATCAGTCATGCGGCCGCTGGGCTTGATAATGATATGTCTTCGTTGTCTTCCCGGTCCCATGGTCTAGAATACAACCGTGATTTACATGATCCTCGAATGAACAGTCTTTGCGCCTTTTGAACAGAATATATTCTGCCTTCTCAGTCACTGCCAGAAAAAATTTATGCAGTGTCCTTCGCCTTCTCCAATTCCTGCACCTCAGCCCCCGTAACAATGGCCTCTGCCTCATCCTCGCTCACCGCAACAGCATCTTCCTTGTCCAGCTGCTGGTCGTAACTTGCAATCTCCTGCGCAAGCTGCTGTTCCGTGACCATCTGCCCGCGCATGCCCATAAGCTCCTCAGCCAGCGTAGTAGCAGGCAGGCCCAGCTCAGCGCGCTGCTTAGCAAAGCGCCTCTTAACGTGGTCCGTCTGGAAAAGGCGCCATCTGAGTAGCCAGCCGCCCATGCCCAAGTCGCGGATACGGGCCGTCTTCTCGCCCAGCAGGTACTCGTCGATGCCGCCGACCTTGTCGATGGTGCGCAAGACGCGGGTGGACAGGCGCACGCGCACGAAGCGGTTCAGCGCCTTGGAGTAGAGGCGCTTGTGCTGGATGTTGGGGTGCCACCGCCGGCGGGTCTTGAGCTCCGTCTTGTCCGACACGTTGTTGCCGAATTGGATGCGGGCGCCGCCGTACAGGCCGTGGTTCGACTGCTTGTACCAGCGGTTGGGGCCGTAGGGGTAGATGGGCACGTTGGCGTGCTCGTCGCGGAGTTTGGCGTTGGCCGATTTGGCGCTCAGCGCGGCGCTGGACGTGAAGGTGCGCGCTTGCTGCGCCATGAAGCTCGGTCGTGCCAGCCGGAGTGCCATTGTGTCGGTCGGTGCGATGCCGGATGGCCCTGCGGTCGTTGTTGCGCGGGTTGAGCGTGTGCTGCTGCGCTGGGATTGCCGCTCGTCCTCCGCGGCCGTGAGAGGTCCTGGAGATTTCGCGGGTTTAGCCGCGCTAGGGCTGACGTCCGCGGCCCTTCGTCACAACACAATTGACTGATTGACATTTCTTCAACCTTCCGAGTCCACCCACACCACGCTAAAAAATATGGCTACTCTTGAACGTGGTATCACGCTCACTCCAGCCATCCTGTGGACCGTTGGTGCTGGAATTCTCACCGGCGTTGTTCTGTCCGCCAGAGCGATATACGAAGCCGCGTACGCGAAAGGCCTGGAAGAGGGTAGAGCAGAGGAGAGCGCGAAGCAACGCGCAGAAGAAGCGGAAGAGGAAGAGGAAGAGGAAGACGTGGCCGATTCAGAAGATGAGGCTATTCCAGCCAACCCGCAAGATCTGGACGCGTTCGCCGACCGCAATGAAGAATGCAAACTCGTCCTCGTGGTCCGCACTGACCTGAAGATGGGCCAAGGTAAGTCTATCTTTTTCTAATAAAGCTTTCAATACTGATAAGTACCACAGGTAAAGTCGCTGCTCAGTGTGGTCACGCAACCCTTGCCTGCTACAAAGCCATGCTTCGCTACGCGCCCGATTCGCCTGTGCTCCGTCGCTGGGAGAGAGCTGGCCAGATGAAGGTCGCCTTGAAGTGCACCAGCGAAGAGGATATGCAGATGTTGCAGGCGCAGGCATTGAGCCTCGGCCTCAACGCTCAAATCATACACGATGCTGGTCGCACGCAGATTGCTGCAGGCAGCGCGACGGTTCTTGGTATTGGACCAGGCCCGGTTAGCGTCATCAACCAAGTTACGGGACAGCTGAAGCTGTTGTAAGAGCACGGTTAGCTCCATGCAATTAGGATTACCGACGGACGGGACTAGACATGATCAAGCGAGCATTTCAAGAGGCGTTAGGATGGGTGTAATGACTGAGCGGTTCTTCACGTACTCCACGTGCGCATTTCAGTGAGTGGGGGACAGCCCTCGATTTTCAGAGACAGCTTGAATACAGGTTATAGCATCCCACTGCTCGCACCATACTGTCATCAACTGCACTTCGCCGTTCGGATCACATACTCCTGCTGGTTTTCGGCTTCTCAGACTCAGAGCCCTTCAGAAATGCGTCTCCTTCGTCGCGAGTGTCCCGCAGGAGGCTTTCGACACTTGGAGCACAAGAATAGCCGCGAGTCTTTGGAGTCGGAGTCTCGGGGTCTCTGTGCAGCAGGTCGCCTAGAAATCCCCATTCCCGCAGAGCATGAGAAACATTCCTCGGACTACCGCCCCTCTGAAAGCGCCGTGACCTGGAACCATTATAACCATTGTTTCGGCGAATAGGCATACCCCTAATTCCAACGACTCTCCGTCCACGTCTACGCCGCAAAGACAGCAGAAAGACACCGAGCGCCACAAACGTCAATGTAACAGGCACCCCCACAAAGAGCGCAAGGTGCGTGTTAGAGCTGTTTGAGCTTTCGACAGGGATCATGTCTGGGTTTTTGACGAGTCGAACGGTTGCGCCAGTGTACAAAGGAGGCTTTTTGTCGCTTTTGAAATCGTACTCCTGGGCGTAGAAGGTCAAGTCGCGGCTCTTCTGGCCCTGCAGCCACTCTCTTTTCGCCTCGAATGCCACCCCACCGCGAAGGTTGGGAACACGCGGGAAGGACCAGACCACTTTGCGCGTGTTGTTGTACCAACTGAGGAAGACGTTTATGCTGGCATCGTAAGGGAAGTTTTCCGGATTCCACGTCACGTAATAGGTCTTTTCATCGTACAGGTCGCTGCCGTTGGTGGGAAGACAGAACGGATGGGCATTGAGATCGGTGCAGGCGGGAAAGTCTTGGTCGATGGCGCCATGTTTCAAAGCCAAGAGATGGGCCGGAGGGCCGGATATTGCAACGGGAGTGATGACATTGTTGCTGACGAAAGGTCTCGCGAGAGCTGGTGTGGAGAGATTGAAGGTAGGCGAAGTGGAGTTTGCTGGTGATTGATTGTCAGTCCGCGCGGGATAAGGGAGCTTGGACACCAGAGATCACTGACGGGGCTCGGAAGCGCACAAGACCCGAGCAGCTGTCGCGAAGAGGACGGCCAAGGCGACGCGGGACAGCATAATACCTAATCAGCTTAAACTAGGTAACTGTACAATGCTGGTGAGAGAGCATGGGAGACGTGGTGGGAGTAGCAGCAGCAGCAGCAGCAGCAGCAAAATGACGAGCACAGGAGCTGGTCTATGGGTCTATGAATGGGCAACGCAGGAGCGCAGGAGCGCGCATACGCGACACAGACGCGCATGCCATCAAGTGGTGGAGGGCGCCTTGCTTGCCCGCCCTTGTTCAAGTCGCGAGTCGCGACACGAAGGGTCCGGCACTATGCCGCATTGGCTCGACGCGTCCACCTTTAAGGGATCCCCTCGTTCCGCAGTGGTAAACCTGTCCTCTTCCATCGAGCCATTGGTTTAACCTATTTTACCTTACATTCTTGTAATCGCGCCAGCACTAAGCCTCCACGCCAGCTGTTGCACACGCCCGCGCCTCTTTGTTGTTATCGCCTGCACGATTACCGCATCGCCGCACGCGCCTCTTTCCGCACTTCTCGCACACCTTCACCTTCGACGACACCCTCCTTGCCGCCACCATGCGCTTCGCTCAGTCGCTTCTCGTCGCGCTCCCTGCGCTCGCCGTCGCCCAGGAGCAGGTCCCTCTGGCCGATAGGGTCAAGGGCTGGTTCAACAAGGCGCAGAACTATGTAACTGAGTCCGTTCCTGCTGTCACGGCGCCTGTTGACGCCGGCGCCGCCAAGGTCGCTGAGGTCGTCGTCGAGCCGTTGACGCTCGAGAACTGGCGCTCCGTCATCAACTCCAGCAACGTCGCGACCGTGGATGGTCCCGAGGAGTGGATGGTTTTCCTTACCGGCGGCAACAAGACCTGCTTCGGTCTTTGCGGCAACGTGACTGAGGCCTGGAACGTAAGTACCGCGTTGCACCCTTCTCGAAGCTCCATTCTGACCCTCTGCGATATAGAAATCCGCGCCCATTATTGCCGCATCCCCGAGCCCGCCCAAGCTGGCCACGATCGACTGCGACGAGGAGGGCATCCTTTGCAACACCTGGGCCGCTAGCCCGCCTTCCATCGTCCACATGCTCCTCCCGGCTCCTCTCCCCGACCAGTCCAAGCCCGCCACGACGGTTCGCTACATTCCGCTGAACAGGACCAGCACCACGGCCAAGGACATTGCCGAGATTCACAGTCTGAAGAAGTACGAGGAGGTTACACCCTACGAGGGTGTCTTCCACCCCTTCGACGGCGCTCTCGTCCAGTACGGCGTTTCCGTCCCGGCCGCCTACTTCTTCTACTACTTCTCCAAGATGCCCAGCTGGCTGCCCATGGTCGCCATCTCGCTTCTGAGCAGGACCTTCATGTGAGTATAAATTTCCCTTGCGCACAGAATGTTCCTGTGGTGCTAACATTGTATGTAGGGGCCGTGCCACGAGGCAAGCTCCTAGGGCCCCGGCCGGTGGTGCTGCCCGCCCTGCTGCTGCGCAGTAAATTGCGTCGAAGCCTGGATATGGCTGGGTGGGGTAGGTGCCGTTTTTGGAGGCGTGGAAAAAGAGACTAGGGTCTCTGCATTGCGAGAGTTTGGTGCTTGACGGAACCGGATTTGTACACGAGCATGACAAAGACGGCGATACGACGTGACTAGGATTAAATAGCTCAAGGCGTTCATAGTTAGGATCAATTGAACTTCATTGGTCATTTGGTGGTGCGTTTGGCTTGAGTACGATAGGATCAAGAATTTCCTAAGCTTCAATGGCCCATCGTTGACCGAGTCAGTAGTAGGCTCTTCCGGACCGAAGCATGTTGCACAAAGTTGCCCGGGCAGAGCCTTTAGCTTCATATCGACATTGCCTGATGGAGCATTCGATACGGCATGAGTCAGCAAAAACGCCGATAAGATCAAGGCAGGTCCGAAAAGATAATCCGACGTCAATTCTCGCGGGAAGCCCAGGTCGCCGACATTGGAAGAGCAGCGACACCTAGGTCCCGTCCTCTCTCCACACGCGCCAAGATGTCGACGATAGGGAAGCGCATGTTCAAGATGAAGGAGGTTCGTAGCGCCACACGCACACAAACTCCCACTCACCCACATACACACATACTTCGCCAATGCGCACGCAAACGCTAACCTCGCTCCGCCGCTGTAGAAGGTAAACCACCACCACCACCGCGATTACCACTGTGGCGGCCACGCGCGCCGCCCACACAGAAGCTCCGCTAGCTGACACGACCCGCTCCGAAGCTCCTGGCCATCCGCATCGGGCCAGGAGCCGCAGTGCTCCCGAAGGATGTCTCGCGCATCCGGATGCGCTTTGCGCGGAAGATTGACGATGGGCACCGCGGGCCTAAGTACGTCCTGTTCTGTCCTGTCCTGTGCCACCTTTCGTCTTTGCACGCACACGCACACGCTAGCTGCCTGCTCGCCCTTCCGCTGCCATAAACACATCAAGAGCCGGAACAGAGCAGCAGCAGCAGCACGCAGCAACCACAGCAACACCAAGCTAACGCCCACGCGCTTGCCACTAGGCACTTCTGGCGGGAGTACATGCCGCGGCTCAAATTCCGCAACCCCGCCATCCCCATGACAGTCGACCGCAACGCCGCGCAATCCGACCCCGCAATCATGAGCGTGTACTTCAGCACGCCCTCGACAAACTCGCCCTCCCAAGCCAAAGACACAGCGCCCACCTCGTCCACGTCCTCCGACACCGCGACCTCAAAATACAAGGCGTCGCAGCGCGTCGTCGAGATCCAGATGAAGCACCGCTCCGAAGACGAGATCTTGCAGCGCTTGTACGAGGTCACGAACGCCGAGGTCGTCAAGCCCACGGATACCGAGACGGAGGAGCTGAGGGAGTTGGTCGAGAAGAAGGAACGTAGTCGCAGGGATAGCGAGAGGCAGGCTGCTATTAATAGGCAGCGGAAGAGGGAGGCCGAGTTGTTGGCTGCGGCGAGGGGCGAGATCAACGCTTAGGTTGGGGTGCGTGCGTGTGTGTGCGATGGTGGTGGGTTGGGCTGGCACGCCGTTCCTGGGATATGGAACGAACGCTTGGTGCCATGGGAGTTCGAGGAGGGGACTGACGGACTGACTGATTGTGCATGACACTGGCAGCGGCGGCAGAAAAGCCATTGAGTTTTTTCTTTTTTTTGGCGTGGAAAAAGACAGACGATGCTCCCGTCTGCCTATTGTACCATAGCTGTGAATAACAAAAGCAGAAACGAGTATCCTGCCAAGCAAGCCAAGTCATCATATCTCATGCCTCGTACTGTACGTAGTAGCGCGTAGCGCCTCGTCACCGCCAACCCCAGCCCAGCCCAGCCTAGTCCCCTACCTCCCTACGCGACGACCAAGTCCTTCCACCACGCCATCGCACCCAGCACAAACACGACAACCATCGCATCCGCCACCACCGTCGTGTAAATAGTGCTGTACCGGCCCACGAGCCTTACATAGCCCGCATAGGGCTCGGGGATCAAGGCGCCCAGCGTGCCCAGCAGCCCGCTCGGCGGCAGCTGCCCCTTCTCGAGGAAATAGCGCGAGCTCTGCAGCACGACCTCGAAGGTCGCAAACAGCCAGAACAGGCGCGGCCCGATGCCGCCATCCGCTCCCTCCCCTTCTCCTCCACCAACAAACGCAGACTGGCTGCGGCTGAGCGCCGACCCGTTGAACGTCGATGCCAGCGCGATGTACGCTGCTAGCGCGAAGCTGAACACGGCGTGCACGACGCGCCAGACGTAGGCGGAGCTCGTGGGCTGCTGCTGCTGCTGCTGCATGTCAGGCATGCCCGGCATGCCGGAGAACCCGCCCGCTCCTCCTGCTCCTGCTCCCCCCATCATCTGCGCCATCAGCTGCATCATCGGATCCTGCGCGTCAGCGCCGCTGCCTCCACTGCTGCCGCCAACATCCCCCGGTCCCCCCGCCCCGCCCATCATCTGTTGCAGCATGCGCATCATGGGGTCCTCGCCGGCGGCGCCGGGGCCGGGACTCGGGCTCGGGCTCGGGCTCAGGCCCCGCCCGGGCGTGCCGTTGTTGCTGTATGCGGGCGCCAGGCTCGTGCGCCCCCCCGCCGCTGCTGGCTGGTAGTAGTGCTCGCTAATATCGACCTCATCAGGGTCGGGGTGATGCGCATGCGCGTCACTGGGCGGCGCGGCGGCGATGACGGGCGCGGGGGGCGGGTTTGGCGGCGGAGCTTGCTGCTGTTTCGACGGGGCTTGCGACGCTAGAAAACAGGCCCCGTTAGCTGCGCGTTTTGGCGTTGGAGGGGAGTGTGTAAGTAGGTAGGGCACACATACGCTCCTCAGGCGCCGGCGCCGGCCGCCCGCTCAGCGACGTGATGGCCTCGAGGCGCGACGCGCCTTGGGCCTGGATTTTGGCTTGGCGACGCTCGCGGCGCTCGCGCGCTTGCCGCTGCGTGGGTGTTTCGTCCATCGTTTGTGCGTGGATTTGGTCGGGCTGTGTTGTGTGAGGTTGAGGGAGCCTGCCTGGTGCTGGCTGGAGTGTGGAGTGTGCGGCGAAGGTAGAAGCTAGCTGTGTATTGTGAGGTAGCTGCCAGCTGGCTGGAGGGTAGGTGGGTGGGTGAGTGGGTTGATAAGTATCTGGCGGGTCGTCTGCGCGCTGGGTACGTCAACCGTGATCGGTGGCACGGCGGGTGGCACGGATTAGGGCTTTTTGTTACCGGCCGGTTTGTTACGGCTGGCTGGTGCGCTGGCTTCACTAACCCAACTCAAATCCGACTACATGCAACGTCGACTATTACCCCACGATCTCGTGCGAGAATGTATTGGCTTTTTGGCTACGACGCGCACGGGACGGCTATGGGCGCTGAGTCGGTCGGTTGGTATACTTTAACTCTAGCACGCTATGCGAAGGAGTCAGTCAGTCGTCTTTCGTGGTCAGGTTGACCTCATTGGTAGAGTAGCAAAGCCATAACGACGCTACCTACTGCAGTCAAGTACAGCGCTTGGAAACCGCTTGCTTTTGGTTCGTAATGGTATGCAGTGGACTCGGACAGGTCGTGTTTGTTTGAGCAATACTGTGAGAGCAAGAATCCGCACAGCCAGGCTGACAACGGAATGATGAAATAAACACCACACGCCACCCAGCAAGAATGAGTCCCGCCATTACTCATCATTTGAGCTCCCGACACCGAAACGCCGTAGCCGTTCATTCCCGTATACAGTTGTTCAGTGTCCAGTCGTTCAGTCGTTCAGCCGTTCAGTTATCCAGTGCCCAGCCGTTCAATTCAGTCATCCATTCGTTCAGTCGTCCGGTCGTCCATTCCCCCCTCCCCCTACCAGCGCGTAATATACCGTCTCACGCCCCTCCGCACATACCGCTGAGGCGTCATATCAGCAGCGCGGAAGACAAAATGCAGGCACACGAACGCGCTGGCGTAGAGTACTGCTAGCGAGAGCAGGAGGGGCAGCGTCCATGGCGCTGGTTTGCTGTTGGTCGGGCAGTGGTGGGCGGTTGTGGTTGTGGTTGGGTGGGGCATTGCTTTTGTTGTTGGTTGTTGGTTGGGTGGTGGTTTGGTGGTTTGGTTGCTGTTGTTGTTGTTGGCGGGAGTGAAGTCATTGAAGCGCGCTGCGAGGTCCTGGAGTGGGGGTGTCTTGCTTGGGCGTTGAGGCGCGTGCTGTGCTAATGGTGGCGGGGTGGGTTCTGTGTTAAGCTGGTGGGGCGGGAGTGAGGTGAGGTCGAGTTTGGGAGTGAGAAAGAAGAGGTAGTGGTGGTGATGGTATAGAAGTCCGCGCAGGTGCGGCACGCCGGCGAGACTGGACTGTCGCAGACGGGTTGCTGTAGGATCACAGCAGATGCGAAGCGAGAGAGAGAGGCAGTGCCCTCATAGGTAGTTCCCACGTCACGCTTTCCCAAACGGGCATTTGGTAAAATCAGACACGACCGTTTCAGTGACTGCACAATGTGCAGGATTCAAGGGTAGTCATTCGCCATCCCTACCAACCAAATACTAAAATGATCCCAACATGCAACCGCCAAACTCAAAGCACGTCAACAAGACCAGTCTAGCCTAGTAGGTAGACCGCGGGAGCATTCAACAACCCGGACACGGACAAGTGGTTAGGGCGTGTTGCAGCTACCTATGTACCTTACGTATACTCACGCTTCGACGTGTAAAAGAAAAGTTTCAGCAATTGTTCAGCTGGGCAGGTTGACAGCCACGCACGCAAAGCAACTTACCTCGTCGTCACTGAACAGTTATACACACACACACACATACACGACCCAGCAAGAGCCCCATCCTCACTCCAAAGAAACATATCTCCATTAAACGCCCCAGCCATGATATCGTTCCTACCTATCAGCATCAACCCGACCCTTTTTCTACCCCTCGTTCCACCTCCCCTCCCAGCTCCACCCAAACCCCCCACAAACAACCCCCTACAAGCCCAACCCCTCACCAACCGCCAGCCCTCTCGCCTCCCTCGGCCAAACCCGCTTATACAGGCTAACAGCAACCGCATCCTGGGGATTAATCTTGCCATCAAACGTCGCCTTGAAATAGCCATGCGTACCCAGCGACTCGCGGATGAAGCCGCTGCGCCCGCGGCGCGTCCACAGCTGCAGCGCCTTAAACCAGGCCACGTCCTCGCTGTTGAAGAACATGTAGCGGACGGTGACGAGCTTCTTGTGGATCTTGTAAGGATGGCCGGTCAGAATAACGCGCTTGGCGACGACGCGGTTCGTGCTCGGCGGCAAGGACGTGCCAGTCGCAATCAGCTGGGTCGAGGGCGCGAGCTGCGGCGCGTCGGAGCCGTCGCCGTCGTCGGCCATTTCGTCTGCGTCGGCCGCCGGTGCCGCTGCCGTCTTCTTGAAGAACAGCGCCGGCACCGACCCCCATGTCAGCGGCCCGATGAACGTCGCGATGGCGCTCCGGCCCGGGTGCAGGAACCGGTCGAACTTGTGCACGTCGTTGGGCGTGTTGCCGGCCGCCGAGAACAGCGGCTTGATGACCATGCGCCGCGGCCCGCACTGCAGCACCAGCTCCTCCTTGCTCTTGATCGGCACCTCGTAGTCCGACGACAGCGAGATGCTGTAGTTGACCGCCGTGCGCTTGTGCTCGTGCCGCAGCAGCGAGAAGACGCCCAGCGCGCCCGCCTTGTTGTGCCGTTCTTGCAGCGCCAGTGGCACGTTGCGCAGGTGCACCTGCACCCGCGTCCCGGGCTTCACGCCCCCGGCCAGTGCCTCGCGCAGCACCCGCGCCTTTGCGCCCTTGTAGTCCGCGATCTCGAGCAGGCGCCGCCACGCCTCGGGCTCGTGCGGCTTGTCCTCGTCCGTCTCCCAGTGGCTCGTCCGCAGGCTCTTCAGTCCGCGGTACCGCGCCAGGCGCTCGCGTGCCAGCACGTTCGGGTGCAGCTCGATCTCGTCGGGGAACTCGAGGTCCTCCTCGGCCTCGTTCTTGCGCTGAGCGCGGAAGGCCGCGATCTGCTCAGCCTCGTCTTCGGCCGTAGGGTCCATGAAGGCTTCCGACTGCGGGTATTCCGAGGGTCCGCCGTACTCTGTGGGCTCCCGGCCGTTCATGTCGATGCCCTCCATGCCGTCGGCGGGGTTGGCTGCTGCGCCTTCCATGTCCATGTCCTCTTCGTCCTCATCGTCGCTGTCAACCGTCTCGAGATCAGAGCCCGAGTCGGAGAGATCGTTGAGGTACCATGCCGACTGATACTTGGACGTGCCCTTCGGCAGCCTCTTCGGCCGCGGAGCCTCCTCCTCTTCGTCCGAGAAGTAGTGGTGGTCGTCCAGAAGCACACCCTTCCGCTCAGTAGGTGCCAGCGAGACCGGGTAGTCCTCGGCATCCTCCATGACCGCCTCTTCGGGGGCGAGCTCGGCCAAGTCGTCCTGGTCTTCCGTGGGCTGGTCGAGCACGGCATCTTGGCCCTCGGAGTCGACAGCCATGTCGTCGCCCTTTCCTTTCCTCCTCGTCTCCAGCGGAGCGGCGGTGATCTTGTCGATCTGGAAGCAGCCCCAGTCGCCCACCTCAACCAGTCTGTCGGCCTTGAGGCCCTTTCCTCTGACGTGGCCAGTGAGAATGACCTCTCCGGTGGCTTCGGCGTCAGTGGCCGCCGCCTTGCCGCTGGGCCACTTAATATCCTCCACCATCATCCAGCTGCGGTCCTCCCTCCACCGGATGCCCTTGGGGGTGGTCGTGCACAGCGACCTCGTAACGTTGAGGCACTCCTGCCGCGAGTCGAGCGAGTGGACCTTTTCTTGCGTCGGGAAGAAGTGAGTGATGAAAGACTTGAGCGAGCCGACGACCTGGGTGCGGCGCTTCGCAGGCTCAACAGCATCAAGACCCTGTGATATACGTTAGCCAGCAGTCCAATCTTGAGCACCCCCAACCCAAATCCACGTACCTGGACAACCGTAAGAACGTTCGACACGCCCTGGCTCTCAATGCTACGCAGCATCAGCTCGCCCAGTTCATCCACCTCCTGCTCCGCACTAAGCACGAAAACGACAAAATCCGCAACGCGGCACGCATCCAAGGCGCGGAGCAAATCGCGACCAACAACGAGGTACTGCAGCTTCTGCTTGAAGCGGTCGACAACGACACGCGACCAGCCCTCCTCAGGCACGTCCTCCTCCAAGTCCAAGCACCCGTTCAAGCTGCGCACCGCCAGCTTGCCCGACACGTCCTCGGTCAGCGGCACTACGGCCACGAGGCGCGGCGCGCCATCCCGCCCCGCGAAGACGGACGTCGCCTTCGCGTGGTCCGCGTCCTTGGTGTTGCGCTTCTGCTTCGCCTGGTTGCGCCGCCCTAGCTTCGACATGACCTGCTGGTGCGGGGTGCGGCGCGTGCCACGCTCGCCCTCGACCTTGCCTGTGCGGAATCGTCAGTGTCGGAGTCCTGGTGTGGCGAGGTGGTGGCGGGCGGAGCAAACGCGCCTTTGGACTTTTCCTTGAGCGCGCTCTTGGACGCATGGCGCGACTTGTAGGGCTTTTGCGCCACCTTGGTGGTGCTGCGGTGGTGGTGTTGGCCCTCCATGGGTGCCATGCTGCCCGATTTGAATCTGTACGGTATCGAAGCCAGCTTTGGTCGCGGAAAGCTGTGTGAAAGCGGGAAAGCGGTGACGGCGATTGCTGCGCGCAATTTTTGGGAGCGAGAAAATGTGGGTGGCTTATCGTTATCGCCGACGCCCGACGCTTCCGGGTCGCGCCCACGTTGAACTTTTCAACTACATCTATATCAAATATCCAAACCCCTCAAACGCCCGGTAAATGGCACACATACAAATCACGACTCTTGCATCTCCTCCTGGCCCTTGGTCCCAGGAACAGGCTCCTGCTTCTTGAAGACGACGTTCATCGCCTCCTCCAAGATCCGCATGCCCTCCTCAATCTCCTTCTCGCTGATGACGAGCGGAGGCACGAACCTGAGCGTGTTGGTACCGCAAGTAATAATGAGAAGACCCCTCTCGCGAGCCGCAGTAATGACGGGCGTGGGATCCTGCGAGAGCTGCAGACCCAAGATCAGGCCCTTGCCCCTAACCTCCGTGATAACCTCGGGGAAGCGCTGCTGCAGCTTCTCAAAGTGCTTGCGGAATATCTGCTCCTTCTTAAGGACACCCTGCTGAAGCTCCTTGTCCGCTAGCCTGTTGACAATGTAGTGCGCTAGGCGACACGCCAGCGGGTTGCCGCCAAACGTGGTACCGTGGTCTCCAGGCGCAATCTTAGTGACGACATCCTCGTTCACGATGGTCGCGCCAATGGGGAAGCCATTGCCCAGCGCCTTGGCCGTCGTAAGAATATCGGGGTGCGCCTCCTTGGGCAGCGCAGCGTGTGCCCACAGCTGTCCCGTACGGCCAAGGCCGCTCTGGATTTCATCGTAGATCAGCACGGCGCCGACCTCAGTGCAGCGCTTGCGCAGGGCCGTCAGGAACTCGGTCGTGGCAACGTTTACACCGCCCTCGCCCTGGATGGGCTCAATAATCACACCGCAAGTGTCCTTAGTGACAAGGTCAGGGATGGCATCGACATCGTTGTAGGTGCCGTACCGGAAGCCGGGAACCATGGGCGAGAAAGGCTTCTGGTACTTTGGGTTGGGCGTCGCAGAGAGCGAGCCCATGGTGCGGCCGTGGAAGGAGCTGTGGAATGACACAAACTCGTGCTTCGCGCCAGACGGGTCAAGCGACTTGCCGACCTTGCGAGCAAACTTGATGGCAGCCTCGTTGGCCTCGGAGCCAGAGTTGCAGATGAAGGTCTTGGAGGCCGTGTGCATGCCGCCAGCCTCGACCGTCTTCTCGACTATAAGCTTGGACAGGGCGCCAGTCCACGGGTTGTAGTAGAGGTTCGAGGTGTGGATGAGGGTTTGCGCCTGCTCGGCCATGATCTTGGCCATCTCCGGGTCGCAGTGGCCCAGCGCATTGACGGCAATACCGGCGGTGAAGTCGAGGTATTGGCGGTTCTCAATGTCCCAAAGGTAGCAGCCCTGTCCCTTTTGGAACATGGGTGGGGGGCGGACATAGGTGGGGACCATGTAGGGAATCTGGTCGTTCACCAGGCGCGTGGTCTGCGAGTCGGCGGCCGGATCGGCGTTGGGCAGCGAGGCTTCTTTCTGACATTGTGGATCAGCCGCAGCCGGTGATGGGGCGTGAACAGGCGCAGAGAGTGGTAGCGAACCTCAATGGCATTCTTCAAACCCTGGGGCAAGCTTGAACCTACCGTCGCCGATGACGCATAGCTGCGGAAAGCAGCCGGCGCAATGGCAGAAGACCTGGGCATGCGCAACGCAGTGGTCGCGCGCTTGGAAAACAACCTCAATGCCATATCGAATAAAGATGCGAAGGAAAACAGCGAACGAAAAGGACGCGAATGGGGTATAGGAAGGAAATGGTGGAGGAGTCAGAAGCTATGACGGGCCAAAATTTCTATCGATAAGCCGGCCGATGTCGCACCGCTCAGGAACCCGCAAAGTCGACCGCATCCACCCCCGCGCGCCCCGAGACTTTTCCTTGTTGCTTTGTCTCCTCGTGTGTTGTCTGAAAATTATCGGCTCATCGGGACTTTGTTTCCAAGGCCTTGTCCAATTTCCGAAACGCTGATCTCACGGCCGAGTGGTGCAAGCCAGGAAGCCCTGGACATCGGCGGCAGCCATTTCCGGACCAGGAAATGGTGCGCGCTGAACTTGGAAGAGTGCAACCGAGTGTGTGCCCAGGGTCAGAGGAGGACGGGAGAGAGAGAGAGAGCGGAGAAGGAGAGTCACAAGACCACTGTAAGAATAACAGAAAGAAAAGCATGTACTGTACATGTTGAGTACAAATACCTACCTATCTCTCTTCCCTCTCTGCACATATTCGATACTTCTAGGATGAGGATATCCATACTAGCGGAGCGGTAAGGTAGTCCGAACGCGACGCCGCCCACGTCAAGCTTTCACCAAGCCTTTTCCTTGGGCGAGCCGAAGCGACGCGGACGGGCGGGCACACACACACCGCACGCGCACATCGCCCATCACACATCTGCACATCGCACACCGCACACCGCATACACAAACCACTCAGCGTTTGCCAAATCAACACTGTGACACGCCGCACTTTGGCCTGTCTAAGGTTTATTACTTGCTTGACCCCGCGCCACCACCCCGCCTCGACTCTCCGCCATGACCATGGAGACGAGCCTGGGCGCCGCGCGCGAAGCCCGCCGCTTCCTCACCGATCGCGTGCGCAACGATTGGACCTTCCCGGCCCCGCCCCTCCCCTTCGAGCACTCGGACGAGGAGCTGCACGGCGTCAGCGAGTTCCGCGAGCGCTACTACGGCACAACGTCAGCGGGCGAGCGCGAGGCCGACGAACACGACGACCACGACTCCAACTCGGACCACAGCGCGGCAGACGAACAAGAAGTAGACGAGAAACTAGCAGCAGCAGCAGCAGCAGCAGAGGACCAAGGTCAACCACCCTCCAACGGCACCGGGCCCTACAAGTTCGACGCGCCCGACACTGTCGGCCAGACAATAGAGGCGCGGGCGGCCGCGCGCGCAGCCCGTCGCAAGCGCAGGCGCAGGCGCGCTCTAGAAGAGGAGATGCGCTGGAACGAGGGCATGGCGGTGTTTGTGCGACAGCGGGACGCGTGGACAGGCGCAGCCAGCGTGCGCAAATACGCGCGGCGCCGCAGCCGGGCAGACGAGCAGATGCACCCCGCAGAACTGGAGGCGCAGCGCCAGATCGACGCGGTGCTGGAGGAGACGGCCGTCGTCGCGGTGCCTGCGGCCGTTGACGGCAGCGACACTACTACCACCACGCCTAGCACCGCTACTGCCGCAACAACGAACGGCACCTCCCCCTCCTCCTCCTCACCCCCTCGCCCCATCATCGACATCAACATCCCCGCGTCCGAAGAGCCGCTCGCGCCCCTCGCGCCCCCGCTCCTTCCTCACAACTCAATCCGGCAGTCGATCACGCCGCGCGCCTACCCCGACATCTACGCGAAAATCGTCGTCGGCGGCCAAACGCCAAAAGTGCCCATCAACCTAGCCGACATGACGCGAGCGCTCGTGCAAGGCTGGAAAGACGACGGCGAGTGGCCACCCAAAGGCAGCGCGCCGGACCCGCTGATGGGCAAGCGGCGCGTGCAGGCCGGCGCGACTGGCGCCAAGAGCGTCATTGCTGCGGCGCTGGGGGGTGGCAGCATGGGGCCCGGTGCGGGCGTTGTGGTTGCTGGTGGGGGAGGCAGAGGCGTTGTTGGTGGTGGGGTTGGCGGGGGCGAGTTTTTGGCTCATCATCCGCATGTTAAGCGAGGGGTGGAGAGCGTCAAGAGGGTGTTTCGCCTCAGTGGCCATCATCATGAGAATGGGGGTGGAGCGGCGCCCGGGGCCTTGGAGCAGGGCGGCGCTGCGTAGGACGTCGCTTTGTGAAGCGTTTTGTGGGTGTTGCGAGGGATGTTGGGCCGGTATTTTGGGGTTGGTGAGCGAGATTGGCGGGTGCGTGTTTGTGGGTGGGTGTTTCGGGGGTTGGGATTGGTGGGTTTGTGAAGCGTGAATGCGGTAGGCAGTCTTCTTCTTCCGGACTCACTTCTCTGCTTCTTCTTCATTCTTCTTATTGTTATTATTCTTTCTTCTCTCCTTCTTCTTCTTCTTCTTCTTCTTCTTCTTCTTCTTCCTGTTCTTGGATAAGCGGCGTAGCGGGGCGTGGTATGGAGCCTTGGACGGCAGGGCACGCTAGGCGGAGATTACCTTGAGGGTCTAGTGAGCGAGCCAGCGAGCCAGTGAGTGGGCGAGCTACCTAGCGAGTGAGAGAGAGAGAGAGAGCGAGCGAGAGAGTAAGGGGGTGAGCGAGTGGGTAAACGAGCGGGCGAATGGGTCAGTGTGAGAGTCGCAAGCGCGCAAACGACCAAGAAAACAAGCAAACAAGCGCACGAGTACAGTGAGTGGTGCTGTGCGGGAGAGCGGAAGCAATGCGGACGAAGCTACGTGAGAAAGCGAGAGAACGCGAGAGTAGTACACGAATGAATGAACGAACGAATGATCAGATGTGGCAACGAGTATGACACGCAGGCAAAACAAAGCAAAGCAAGCAAGCAAGTAACAGAGCAAACGGAATAAGAAACGCGGATGTGTTGTCTGTCTTTTCTTCTTCTACCGATCTCGTCTTTCTTTCTTTCTTTCTTTCTTTCTTTCTTCCCTATTGGTTGTGTTGGTTGTGAGGGTTTGCTTTGGTGTTTGATGTGCTCTTGCTTTTTCTGGTTTTCTTTGGGCTGCTGTTTCGTGGGTGCTGGGTTTTAGTTCCTTGTGGCTTTTGGTGGGGCGTGGTTTGTGTGGTGTGATGTTGTGTTGTGTAGGTTTATACCCTTTTAGTAGGTTTATTGTTCGTTTCTCTGGTAGTGTTGTTCTGTTGTTCTTTCGTCGTCGTGGTTTTGGTCTTCAAGCTGTTTACTGCTGTGCTTTATGGCTTGTTTCTTCGTTTTTCTTTTCTGTGTAGTTAGGTACTAGCGTCGTCTAGTCAGCAATTAACGAACTTATGATGTGTAAGTGCATGGGGTCGGTGTTAAGCTATTGAAGTTCTATTGCTTGTGCTGTTTACCGCTTTTACGTTTTTTTCTTGGGTCTTTCTGTTTTTGATCTTTTTCTATTTTGCTATCTTGGGGTGGTAGCTTGATCATTATATCTTCTTTGGAATGATATAGGCGTGCGCGGTGGCACCTATCTAAAGACCGCAGCAGCGACAGTAGCTGATGATGCTGGTACAGTAGCGACTTTATTTCTGCTGCTATGACGGTGTGTGTACTCTCCTCAAACTCGCTCTTACGCTGTTTCTCCCTCGAGTCTACAGTTTATATATATATATACATATATCGACTCCCTACCTATTACCCATCCAGCTACATATCTCAGTATCAACGCAGTACAGTGCACCACAGTTCAGTTTATCCAGCCGCCGTATATGAATACTGTTTACAGAAAGGGTAGGCCGCCAGTGAGCTGGGTATGAAGAAAACACTTAACCTATGAGTGGCTTTAGGTATACCTGTTTGGTTCGACCTATTTGGCCCCCCCCCTCTACCTAATCGGGTAACTACCTAGTAGAAAGTTGCCTTCGCGTAACCCGAGCGCACTATTCGCTCGTATAGTACCGCGCGAGGACGCGCTAGCGGGGAATAGTACTATATCTCTAAACCTTACTATTACAGCACGGTACTATAAGTAGTTATAAACGTTACTTTTTCGCGCGCGCGAGCGCTCCCGCGTCCTCCTCTACCGCCTACTCTCTAGCGGGGCGGCAAGATCTATAGCGGGTAGTATAGGTATTAGCGAAGAGGTATTATATAAGGTCGCGAAGTCGCGATATCGCGATAGCGCGAAGGCAACTTTCTACTTGGTAGTTACCCGATTAGACAGAGGGGGGCCGAATAGATAGTTAGGGGGGGCCGAATAGGTCGAATCTACCTGTTTTTGGGTGTGTGTCTATAGATCCGTACACTAGTTGGCGATGCATAAACTCCTAGAATGGGTTTTGTAAACAGTGTTGTCGTGTAGGGCGGTCTTGGTCTTATTTCTTGAGTGATATATAGGTTGCAACTTTTTAAGCGTGCGAAGTGTTTTTTGAGGGGATAGTGTATGGAGGGGCTGGCTGGTTGTGGGGTGGGTTGGGTGTGTAGGTTGGTGTTGGTTATGGGCTGAGAATGGAAGCGGAGGGAAGAGAGGAAAAACAAGGGATAATGAGGAGATATGAGTTGTATGGGTCTTAGCTGGCTATGTCAAGTCGTGGCAGCGCCTGCAGGCAAAATTCTTGAGGCTGTGTTAGACGTTGAAGTGTTGCACCCCACTGATCTTACCCCCTAGCTAAATTAATGTTGATTTGGCGTAAGGCTAGTGGGGTGCGACACTTCCCATCTTGGCTAGTCAGCCTTGCCAAAAGATGTGACTGGCTCGTAATGCTGGTGGCGGGTTTGTTGTACGAGGCTATGAAATACCACTTGATTCATAAGCCACATACAAAGGGTCCTCTCGATACGTATAAGTACTACCGCTTATTCTGAGATATATGGGAGGTTTTTTGAAGAACTTGACTGATATTAGAACTCGCACATAACGACAGTAATATTCCAATAGACAACCCTCCTATTGTATGATGTCAACTTTGAGGAAATCTCCATTCGCTTCGAGAAAGCAGTGAGTCTCCTTTCTCAATACAGAGTCTTGCTTACTTGCTTACTCTTGCAAATTGAAGTTCACCCATAAGATTTCATGGGGAGCCTAATATGAACCAACGGATCTACAACATGATGACACGCGAATCCCACGACGATTTTCCAACCGCTGATCCCAAATACCCTTGCACCATCGATCTTAATGTCAAATGGGAACTTCCATTGTTCTGCGAACAGGAAATCGATACCCCGAAAAACCTTTCATCCACATTGACGCTCAGCGGAACAGACCAGAGCGCTTTTGCCTCCACTTGTCTCGAATACTCGAAATGGTGCTGGTCAGACCTGGGAGAGGGCGTACTGCCTCTGTTGGAAAGATGGCTGGTTGGGGGACAGCCTTCTATTACCAGCCAGATCTGCGACCGGTGCAGAATATTCTTCGTAAAGGCAGGAGACCATCCTGACAAGACATCCGTTGATATACGTATGTCCGGACTACTAAAAGACTTGATATCTATTACGCAACAACTCGCTTGGCTCACAGCAACATTTCGCTTGCCTAAAAACGGCCAGCTTTTATGTTCCGAAGCCCGGTTCTCTTGGAACAACTTCGAACTCGAGGGAAATATATTCATGCAACCTCTTGAGCCAGCAAACCATGGCGCACATACATGCTGGCATAGCATGTTTGCCGGCCAAGTGCTTGCAGTTGGTTTCCCTGTACCAGAACGCTTCGAAGGAGAGCAAGGCGTCGAGCTGCCCTTCGAGGTCATGGCAGCCCTAGGGTTGATATGGTATCCCTTCGAACACAATGGTGGAACTATACTCAAAGGCCACTCAACAGCGCTTTTACCAGTCAATATCACCAAGGGATCTGTTCAGTGGCATTTCGTTACCAGCGGAGACCAGTGTGTAGAGCTTTCCCCGGACGAAATCCGCGAGAAATGCCCATTCAATGTGTCCCACAAAAATATGAAGAAGAACATCACTGAGATAGTACGGGATTTAGTCAGCACAGAAATGCCGGAAGACATTCCTATCTGGATAGGTAAAAGAGCTTTTGTCGGATACTTCGAGAAAGCCGAAATACACCTTGGGACAAAAGATTCAGGATACGACAAGATAACAATCTCGAAAGCGCGGCCTGAAAAATCGCAGCTGAGGATTTCACGGGATGTCACGATGACTGCTGGCACAGAAGGCCAGGGTGTTTTCGGAATCAATTTCGGATCCAGAATTACGTACGGCAAGACAGCTCTTGCCAGAATCCGTCTTGAAGATGGACTTACCCTCGACAAGCTACGGAACTCTATTCAGGTGCCCATTCTTATGTACGACGTGGCCACGAAACGAGGCTGGTTGGTCCCTGAGATAAACACAATCCTTCATTTATGCCTAGCCTGGGCTGCGGGTCAGGATGATCCCGATAATGTATTGGGGAAAATGCCCTTCGCAGAACCTTCGACTGGAGGTCAATCCGCATACGATGCCATCAAAAGCGCCATTGCCACGGATTTGCCTACAAGCAACGACGCCAGCACATCCGTCAAATTTATTGAAATTGTCAAGTATCAATATCGCCAGTTGTGCTACATCAAGCAAAAGCAGCTTGAGGAAGTGAACCGCGGATTTGTACCGATATTTGGATTAAGAGTACCATCAGCACTCGGGAACCCGGATAGACAACTGCACGGTTTCGAGTTTATCGACATCTCGCATTCTCAAGAATTTATTCGTAGAAAATATGTCGAGGTGGGTTCACTGAAAGGGGGAGAATGGCCGTCGGTAATGTCTTACAGACCTGATATGGCTGTTTTATTCTGCGAGAACCTCGGAGAAGCAATACGGCCTGGTGGGGACCAGGCGACGTGCCTGTCATGGTCTTCAGTTCCTGCCGACCGTTACTACCTGACGGCCATGACATCTTGCCTCAAACATCTCTCTGTGCAGGATGGCGAAGATGAACAACATATCAAGCTCTCCCAGAACCTCTACTGCACTCCGGTCGAAGAAAAGGAAACTCCATGTAGCTGCGCGAGGGGTGCTTGGCCATGCTGTAACCCACTGTTTAAACTAAGCAGCCATGCACCGAAGCATCCGCCTGACATTAAATCGGACAGCGCCGTTATAATAGGGGGGGTTGAGGGAAGATGGCGGAAATTTTGGGGAAAACAACTTGCGCGGGTTAAGTACGTCACCAGAGGCGACAAGGTACCGGTAGATGATGATCTTTCCACCGTTTGCTTGCCTCCTTCGCCGTCAAGACGATCTTCGAATGACTGCCACCGGGGCGACGAATCAATGATGACGGTCTCCGCGAGAAGCAACACTGCTCAGCCAGAAGATGGATCTCCGTCAGGAGAGGAACTACCGGAAGATGGAGAACCCCCGTCGGACGAGAGATCTCCGAAACCCACGGCCCAGACAAAGGGTAAAGAACCGCACAAAGCATCCTCACCAGCCATGATCTCGAGCTTTGAACCAGTGGAGCTCTTGCCGATTGCCAGTCAACAGACAGAATGTTCCAGTCCCTCTCAAAAGACTCGGATACTTTCTCCAAAGGATAGTCTTCAAAGCCCAATCCCTGTCGTCGCGTCAGGGTCAGGATCCAGGCCTACAGACTTGTGGGACATAGATTAAGAAGGGAGATTATCAGACAAGGTACATTTTCAGCTCCATAACAAGGACATATCTGCTAACTCTTGTCAGCCTGCCGGTACATTCGACCCGCACTCATGACACGACATACGCAATGGAAACAGGAACCCAGCAGCACTCAACCAGAATTGAAACAGCAACGATAAATGGAAAAAGGCGTAACGACAGAATGAAACAAGAGAGGTAGAGAGCCGTTAAAGGCTGACATTATAACGACGAGATGAAAGAAATACTTTGAACATACTCCTACCAAGCTGGCGTAACATTCATCACCTTCTAACGAGACAGGGAACGATACAAGCAGTCCCTACGGACTACTCCTTGTCTAGCCACAGGCCTAAATCCTTGATGAGTAAAAGGGTCTCAGAGCACACATATACTACAAACAACTTAACTGGATTCCTTCTTCCACTCCGTACAAGCGTCATTATCTCGTAAAGTGGTGAATCTTGCCTGACGGTGACGGACGTTATGTCATTTCATATGTATATTCGATAGCAACGCAATCCAACTTCTTCACGACTGAAAGACGAAAGTATTAAAACAAAAGTGGAAAAACAACTCACATTTACCCATTCACCACCATCCCGCTCACCTCCCCAGTCCCCAACCACACTCCACACCATCACCATCAGACACCCAAGCAAATGATCACCCACGCTCTCCACACCACAACGGCACCCCGCCCACCAGGACAACCTCAGCATCCAACACCATCCGAGGCAATAACCCGCACCCCACCAATCCACCCCACTCTTACACGCGCAGCCGTTCGCCCGCCCGCTTGTCCGTCCGTTTCGAGCTTCCGCGTTGCACCCATTTGCTACTGTAGTTACAGGCAGGCGAGAAGAAGAGAACATACCTAAGCATCAACGCCCCATTGCCAGGACGGACAGACCCTTCCTCTATCATCATCACCAACAACACAAAGCTCAAAGAACGAAATCGAAATTGGAAGAAGCGTCGTAGGTGGTAGTAGTAGAATCCAGTGCTTTTTTGCATTTTCAACTCAAGGAATAGGTAAGAGGGTTTTGTGAAAAGGGAAAAAAGCGCGCCGGTATGTACAGTTAAACGATCTTTCAGGTATACCACCCGCAATAATAAAAAAGAGGAAAATGTAAAAGTGAGAAAACTCCGAATATCACGCCCCGGCGCATCGGATTTTTCGTGGTGATGGTGGTGGTGCTCGTAATCCAAATGCCTTTTCCGTCCCGTTTCTAAAAAAATGCCCTTTTCAGTCGTTCATCGCCAGAATTGTGGTTCTACAGTGAGCATGCGTTCGTGGTCCCGTCACGGCTCAGTGGAGTGTCTTTGGTTCCCTCCATTTTTGTTAGTAAAGACTTTTCTTTTCGGCTCAAGACTTGAGAAAGGCGTTTAGGCAACGGTCTCAGTCTTGGTCTTCTTGGCAGCAGGAATCTCGGCCTGCGCGTCGGCCGTGGCATCGAGCTCCCTCTTCTCCTTCTGGCCAGTAAGCTCCCTCTCGGCCTTCTCGAACTTGGCCTGCTCCTCGGCGGTCATGTTGGGCAGTAGGGGCTGCTCCTCCTTGGAGTGCAGGTTCAGGTGGAAGGTACGGATAATCGAGTCGGCATCATCGATGGCGATGGGCCTGACGTCAGCCATGGCCTTGATCTTGGCGGTAACAAGCTTGACCTGGGCGTCAGTCATCTCAAGGCCGAGCTGCTCAACACGGCTCTTGATGGCGTTCCAGCCAGTCAACCTCGAGGCGAAGTGGACGTAACGGCTCATGCCGAAGTCGGCAGGGTTGATGATCTCGTAGGTGCTGGGGTTGTTGAGAATGGCCTTGGCGTGGATACCAGCCTTGTGGGTGAACGCGCAGAAACCAGTGATGTAGTTGTTGAAGGGAACGTTGATCTCAACGGCCTCGGCAACCATATCCTCAATCTCCTTGAGCTTGGACAGCTTGTACTTGCCGGTGACGTAGTCGTGGTCCGCAACAATCATACGGGCCATCAGACCACCAAGAGGGGTGATACCGTTACGCTCACCGATACCAATGACGGAGGTGTCAATGTGGGTAGCACCGGCCTCAAGGGCGCAGTAGGCGTTGGCGATGGCACATCCAGTGTCATTGTGGAAGTGAGTCTCAATGTCGCAGCTGACGACACCGCGGAGAGTACGGATGAGGTCGTAGACCTGGCGGGGAGTAGCACAGCCAACGGTGTCGGCAATACCGACACGGTGGACACCGACCTTGTCGACAGCGCTGTAGATGGAGAGAAGGTCGACCAGGTCGGAGCGGAAAGAGTCCTCCGAGGAGAAACGGATCTCGAGACCCTTGGACTTGACGAAATTGATGACCTCAATAGCAGTCTGCTCCCGTTAGGTGCTGCACACGCTTGACATGCTCGGAAACACTCACGTTCTTGATGTAGGTCATGTCCTTGCCGTGGGAGTGCTCCCTCAGGTAAGAGGAGGTACCAATGACAACGTCAACACCATCGACACCAGTCTCGACCGCGATCCTGGCATCGTCCATGTGGCAGCGGACGTGGGTAAGAATCTTGGCCTGTTGTGGGTTAGCCAAACCGATCTCGATGACCCGCCTGAAATTTTTGGTAATAGTATCTGACCTTAAGGCCGAGCTTGCAGATCGCCTCGCAGTCCTTGCGCGACTGCTCGGAGGCAGCGGGCGAGGTGAGCTCGATGTAGTCGACGCCAAAATCATCCAGCGCCTTGGCAATCTTAATCTTGGTCTCGGTGTCGAAGAAAGCGTTGGCGAATTGCTCGCCCTCACGCAGGGTCGACTCAATGATCTTGAACCTCGAGACATTGCTCAGGAAGTCACCGACGGGCTGGTAAGGGTTCGACGGACGGGGGTTCTGCTTGGTCTGTGGCGTAGGTCAGAGTTTATGTGAGAAAAGGTGAGACGTGAGTCCATGATGTTGCTCACGGTAATGCCGGTGAAGCCGGGGTGGGCTGCGTGGGAGCTCAAGTCAGTCGTGTGCGCCTTCAGGTATGACGGCATGGGGGGAAGAACATACAGCTGGTGCCGTTGGCGTCGCCGTTGAGGCCATTGGAGACGCCATTGCTGGCCGGAGCATCTGCGGGAGGAGACATTATGGTTGGGACTGAGGTTGTGGTGATGTAGAGGGAGTAGAGAGAGGCGGGCGTTTCTATTTGAAGTTTTTTGCTGATGACTGGAACGGCCGTCTCGCTTTCTTGCTGCCACCAGGCGCCGATCTCGGCTAGTGCCTAAAGGCCCGCCAAGGGCCCAAGCCGCTGAGGTAACGTGCGGGGATAATAAGCCGTTCGCCATTTGTTGCGGAAGCACTACTGCAATTGATCTCTCCGCAAGGAAAAATGGGGGAATCGCTGCAGTTTGGGGCTTTAGGGCGCGTCGCGGCCAGCGGGCCTGCGGGCAGAGAGCGAAAAGTCTGGGGACACGGAAGCCACACAGCGAAGAGCTTTCCTTAGGCCCTGTTGATCCGCAACGTCATCTTGCCGCCCTGCCAAATTTTTTAGATCCAGCCCCAGATTCATCCACAGCCCAGTGACTCATCACAGACAGCAATTTGGACTCTTTGGACAGTCACTTCATCTCAGATGCTCGCGGTGCTGCTTCGGTCCATTGTATCGGCATCTTTGCCGGGAATCGGTCTGTCTCATGCGTCTGCTGTCAATCGGTGATTCAGAACGACGGTCTGCACTTCACTCGACTTGCATGCGGCCTATGGCAAGCAATGTGGGTATACCTATGTTTAATTCACCGGATATATCTTCTGATGCAGGTACACGGTAGTACTTAAAAGCAGAAGTAGTTCCTTGAGTCATTCTACCCCATGATCATTTTCTGTTCTACCTAGCACGCGTTTCGAATGGGGGTCTTGTGGAACACCCATGTCTATCGAGTAGGTCTCGTCTATATGGTTAACTTGACTACCATCTCGCCCGCGACCTCCGGCCCGACACATGCAACCAGCTCAGAAATGTGTCCCTTCAGTGAGCGCTTGTCCGTCACCGCACCCTGTTCCCAGGCCACAAGGTCCTGTTTCGAGTTAACCATCGGTAAAATGATGAAGAATGGCCGGACTACTTACTGTCATCTTGACAATCAAGCCGGCTTGGGGCACCGCCATTTGAATGTTGTCAAGATCAAACTTCTCCAAAAGTTCGCTTGGCGATGGCACGCCAGGCATGCCTAAATCAAGTATGGATACACCCTCATCCGCAGCCTGAGCCGCACGAGCGGGAGAACTGGAGAACTTCCATTCCTCTTCAACATCAGTTGCCTCCGCCCCCCTCATAGGAGTATCTCCCCCGGCAACATCGGTTTGCCTTTTCTTCAGCTTGTTCTCCCGCGCCATCGACACGTACTTCTTTTCGTCCATCAAGGCCCGCAGTTCGTCATCCAGAACAGCCCACTCGTACGACTCAGGATCGAGCACATACTGAGGGCGGTAATCGCCCTTGTATCGCATCTTTCTACAGTTGTGAATGTAAAAACCCATGTAATAGTACTCGAGCCCGAGTTCTTCGGCCAGCGCTGCTTCACGCAGTGCGCTTATCTTGCCGAAAGAATATTTCTCAAAATCCGAATGATAGATGAAGTAGACGCCGCTAACAGCGTGTGGGAGAAGGTCAAGCACGGCTATCGCGATGAGACGCCCGTCTAACCTGTAGCACTGATGAAAGGAACCCAGCTTTGCAGCAGTGGAATCTTTGTCTGAACGATGATGCCGAAGAGGAGAATCGCATAGAAATCTTGTGAACCCCTTACGCGTAACCTCTTCGGGCTTGTCATGGTGGACGGCCTGCTGATAGTTGGAAAACAACTGAAACTTCTCCTCGGTGAAGTTGTCGGGTTCCAAAGTCACCTCGAAGCGGTGGGCTGGCTCAGGTGGCCGCTTGAGGTTGGAATACTCCGCCTCGTGGACTGCTTCAAACAAGTCGAACGTGTTCCGCTGCCGAGTTTTGTCCCTGGTGAATAAGTCATCAGTCATGTGCAAGTCTACCTTATGTATGCGCTGGCCGACCGCTTACTCTTTACTCTTCGGGTATCGTTTCTTTGCTTCACTGATGTACGGTTCCCCAAGGACGAACTTATTCCATCGACTCACCGCCTGCCTTTGATCCCTGGCCGGGTGGAACTCCACAGTCGGGAGCCTTCCAGGCGTCAGCATAAGGAGTTGTCGTGCAACCCCAGAAACCTGAAACTAACCTGATAGTATAGTGCGGGCAACAGGCCCTCAACACATCGGGCTTGTAGAGCAGAGTGCCTGAGCTTCGCCACAGTCAGCTACGTATGCTCGTACCTCTTGTACCACGGCTGAGGTGAGGAAGGCAGGTTACATCGCACGTGGCGATAGTAGACGTTTTTTCTTACCGCCTCCATCCTCGGTCCACCAAGGCCTGATAGTGTTCAACGTTCAGCTCCTTTGTGTTCGCATAATACGCGGCGCCTGGATTAATGCGTCAATGGACTAAACTTTGCCAGTGGTGCTGTGATCGGCGAGATTGCAAGCGGTTCATCGGCGAAATGAGAAGCTCTAGAAGCCCAAAGATCTCCACACCATCGTGGGGAGACTGGGGGGAAGACTGGGGAAGCATCGGGCACGTGACGGGGTTTGGAGGTACGTGGGTATGTGGAGGAGAGAAGCCGGCCCAGGAGCCAACGCACGGGAATTGGGGGTTCTCTGACTCGTATCTTCATTCTTGCAATAGCCGCAAGAGCTCGACTGATATCCTGTTATTTTAAGAAGTCAGGCCGTGGTAACAAGCGGTGGGACGGCATCCAGCCAGACGGCCACGGGACGCGGAAGCGACCGATGACTGGCGCGAAACTCACCGAGCGGCGTTAGGAAGGAGGCGGGCCCAGCATATGCGTCCAGGGCTTGCATGGCTGTACCTAGCATAAGCGCGGGAGGTCGCGGGTACAACTCAGTGGGGGAAAAGCTCGACGGAGAGGGCAGCTTCGGACGGAATTTGATCTTCCCGCCGGGCGGCGCAGGTGACAGTCGGGCGCGCGTTCGAGGCGAAAGGAAGCTCTCCGCTTGGCCTGGTCGAGGAAGGATTGCAGGTGCCACGGTGCCACGACGGGCAGGCGGGCATTGATCTTCAAGGAGACTCCAAGGAGGAGGTGCGAGTGGCCTCACTTTCTCACGCCTGCTCGTGGATGGTGAGAGGTCCCGCCCACGTCACGGCACAGCGATGTCACGCAGCGGAATCCGAGTGAATGACATGTCTAGCCGACTCGTGGGACGGAGGGGAATCGGCGCAGAAGACGTGGCCGGGCGGCGAGGGTGCGGGCGCGGCGACGGGCGGCCACGAGATGGCGCGCGGCCCCCATCGCGCCTCGCAGGCGGCAGACGCATGCAAGGCGCCTGCTTCTGCCTCTGGCTCCGTTCAGCCTACGCGGTGCCTCGCTGCTAAGAGGCAAGGCCGATTTCTGCGCGGATGCATCTCGTCGATCAAGGCTCTTGGCGCCCATCTAATTAGTTCTCCCACTTTTTTTGGGCTATGCCCTGTCCTTTCACGCACGATGCGAAAGAGGGACTAACTACCCACGATGCTCCGCTCCTTTCACCTCCTCAGGACATTCGCCTTCTCTCAGCCCCGTCCTCCGCGGGACTGAGCTTACCCTCTACGCAAGCACCTCAAAACTCTTTCTGCCTCCGCTCCTCGCTCCTCTATCTCGCCAGCTCCGCCGCCGTCCGTGTTGCCCGTCTTCAGCCTCCTCTTCCTCCAGCTACCTCACTAATTTCGAGCCCACGCGAGCTTGTCCGTTCCTTCTCTACTCCCGTCCCTTGGTAGCCCGAAGCAAAGAAGAATCGACGTCATCGCAGCGCGCCTAAAAGCACCAGACAGCATGGCCCAACAGACGCTCTCCATGCAGGCCAGGACTGGTCGGAGCAACCAGCGTAAGTCCTCCCACGAGACATTGTCGCGAGCCGCGGCCCTCGCGCGCCGCCCGTCGAGTCGCGCATCCTCAAGGTCCAGGCTAATTTTTTTCTCCGGTTTCGCAGGCTACGGCAGCAACGGCGAGCGCCTTGTCGCAGGTGTCGTGCCACTGTCCGCCGACAAGTACTACGTCCTCCTGATCCAATCCAACCGCAACAACAACTGGGTCCTCCCCAAGGGCGGCTGGGAGACCGATGAAGCCACCGCCCAAGACGCCGCCTGTCGCGAGGCCTGGGAAGAAGCTGGTATCATTTGCACCATCACCTACGATCTCGGCTTCATCGACGAGAAGCGCAAACCCGAACAGCTCACAAAGGACGCGCCACGCGCCAGCTACCACTTCTTCGAGGCCACTGTTGAGAAGATGGAGAAGGAATGGCCCGAGTCTCACAAGCGGAATCGCAAGTGGTGCACCTACGCCGAGGCTGCCCAAGCATTGAAAGACCGCCCGGAGCTGCTCGCAGCGCTCAACAAATGCACGATGCAGCGGTAGCCAAGGAGCGCAGAGACCGCCCGCTCTCACTGAACACGACATACCCTGCTGTTGGCTCCGACGGGCGGTCTCGGCAGACGCATCTTTTTTCCTAGCATTTTCTTTGTTCAAGCATGCTGGTCTCGGTTTTCTGGCTCGACCAAAAATTGGGGTAAAGGAGGCTCATAGATTTGATTTTCCCCCTTGATTCCGGCGTTTGTGTCACGGCTGCAGCAGCTAGAAAAGACCGCCTCCTATCCAAACAGGATGGTTCGTTGGAGCACCGCTCTAGTCCACTCGACTCCTCAAATTACATACCCGCGCTGATGGCTTTGCCTGTGCTGAGGACCGTCTTTTTTCGAGCATCGAATTTATCGATGCATCAAGCTCTATTCCGTCTTTACGTGATTGCTACACTGTCATGTTGCACGCACTAAAGGGCAGGATGACTGCATTCGATGGTCTGATGTGTTGTCCCCTTCTAGCCATGCCGGTGTACATTGGCAAATGGACAGTTTGCTCCTACAACAGCTAAGTATCGTAAAGCCAATTTCTTTGTTCACGTGGGTATTTCTTTGTCTTATTCTCTACTCGCACAAGTCATATCATCGGGACTATCATGGCATCATTGAAGTCACTGTTCAAGTCTTGAGCATCAGTATGGGGGCTGCTGGAGGCTGACGTCCACGGCATGTCATGCGGAACGGATAACGCCGAAGAAGATTGCTTCCCCTGAGACATGGCAGTAAATCGTATCCGGGTGATGACATACTTTGGGGTACCTAGGCAGCATGTGAGTTGGAGATGGCGACTTGCTTCCCCTGGACCCCTTAATAACGGCTGGTCCGCCTCACGCAATGGTCTGTTTTCATTATAAGCATCGTCGAGTCATAGCGGTTTACTCGCAACACAGGTGTCCTTTGCATTTTGGCTTGGCCCCATCCGCAATGAGACTTCAAGGGGTAAGCAGGGGTTGGAGAATGGGGAGTGCCCATGGGGCAAACGAGATGAACATCGGCTAATCTCTGGGGTTTCTGGGCATACGGGGTGAGGGGTGAGACCTATGATAGAACATTATGGATGACGAGCGGGAGAACACTTCGACAGAAGTCTGAGAAGATGGTATATTCAAACATGGGGAGAGCGTCCCAAAGCTGACGCGAAATCGAGAATTACCAAAAGTATGCAGATTTGTGCGATTTGTGGTACTCTGAGAAGGAAAATTAGTCAATGGCCAGTTGGCATCACGTGGAGCAGCTTGATCTTCTGAACGAAAAAATTTCTGCAGCTCAAAGTTTCGCGATCGCGACGCGCGACAGGACTTCGACGCGGCTCACGGGTTTGGTGTTGAGGGCTTGACTAGTCCACATGCGGAATGGTGTGCAATTAGCGAGCAACCCACAATCCCTCAGAAAAGTTCGAAGTGCGCACGCACTGGACGACGACAACCACGACATCGCCCACCCGACCCCGACCACCCTCCGGACGAAGATACCATACAAGGTCAGTCGACGACCGGCACCGTTTTCGCCATCGCGTGCAGCAAGTTCAGGCACCGGACAAACTGGAGCAGCATCTGGACTGGTGGAGACGGGACTACTGCGTCGGGACACGAGGCGGGCAGCATTGAGCTTCCAAGGCCTTTTGCTCCCAGATATCGCGGTCGCCGCTAGTGAGACTACGAAGGCTCGAAGTCAATCTATCGAAAGTCCGCAGCCATCGCCATGGTTGTCAGTCGACACGCACGATGTTCCAAATCCCGTGAAGCAGCCTCTGGTGCCTGAACGCGCGAATCGCCTGGATCACATCACATTGGACGGAAAAGAACAGAAAGCTGACATTGATTGCTCTGCAGTAATCTTCGACCACCGCAAACATGGGGTACATATCACATTCAAACCTTTTTCTTCCAAGACTAGGCGCTAACATGTCTGCAGTATCTCTCGCGACTCTCGTCACAAGCGCGCCGCTACCGGTGCTAAGAGGGCATACTACCGCAAGAAGAGGTATGCATAACCCGATCGCTCCTGTTTAACCATGTCTGACATGGCAACAGGGCTTTCGAGAAGGGCCGTCAGCCCGCCAACACCCGTATCGGCACCAAGCGTATCCACCTTGTCCGTACCCGTGGTGGTAACCGCAAGTTCCGTGCCCTCCGTCTCGAGGCCGGCAACTTCTCGTGGGGCTCCGAGGGTGTCGCCAGGAAGACCCGTGTCATCGTCGTCGCCTACCACCCCTCCAACAACGAGCTGGTCCGCACCAACACCCTGACCAGGTCCGCCGTCGTCCAGATCGATGCCGCTCCCTTCAGGCAGTGGTACGAGGCCCACTACGGCACCTCCCTCGGCCGCAGGAGGCAGAAGGCCGCCGCTGGTGAGACTGAGGAGGCCAAGAAGAGCAAGAGCGTCACCAAGAAGCAGGAGGAGCGCGTCAAGGCCACCGGCAAGGTCGAGTCTGCCCTCGAGAAGCAGTTCGAGGCTGGTCGTCTCTACGCCGTCATCTCTTCCCGTCCCGGCCAGTCCGGCCGCGTCGACGGTTACATCCTGGAGGGTGAGGAGCTCGCCTTCTACACTCGTGCCATCAGGAAGTAGAGGATTGGCATTCATCGTGCGGGTTCTTTACGGTTTATGCGGGGTCAAAATTCGGTCAATGGGCATGTACACGGGCTGCAAGGAGTCTTGCTTTAGCAGTCACAATTGAAGTGGGTATGAATAATACCAAATCAGCAAGTCATGCCTGTCGCCTCGCACATCTAGTCAACGTGCCTTTCGTTGTAGTGACGCCTTCCGCTGTGTTCTCTCGACTGCCTTTAACCACGGCATACAAATATAGGCGCCGTCTAGATTTCCTCGCCCAAAAACTTTCATTCACATGCACCTCACTGCTGCAGAGACCACCATCTGCCACACCACAAAAAAGCTCACCGAGCCACCCACGCACGCACGCCTGCCCCTCTCCCCTCCACGACCACGCGTCCCGCGCCTATCCCTCCCCACAACGCCCACCACCAAAAATCGCGCTGCCGCGGTCCTTTTCTTCCAGCATCGTCATGGCCCCCGCGCCAGCTCGTCCGACAGATAGCTCTCTAGCGTCTGGGTAGTCTGCTCACACAGACCAGCGCACCGTGCGTTGCGGATGATGACTATGTACTGTGCTTGCGGCTCCGGTTCACGGTGGCTGGCTGTCTGGCTGCTTGCTGTTTGGGTTTGTTTGGCTCAGCTGCTTGGGTCTGTTGTGGCGTGTGCTGTGTAGGGTACTTCCTTTTGCCCGAAGTAGTTAAGGAACTGCGAGCGGATTGTGCTTCATGAACGCGGTGTTTGCTTGCTTTTTGGATAAGTGATGGGCTTTAGTAGCAGGACGGAAGAGACGCTTGAGGCGGGGCTGAGATGAGAACGCGGGGAGAATGCGGAGGTGCGGGGGTGCTCTGGTAGCTTGGGATTGAGGGACGGCAGCGGCTGCGTCTGCAGTGTGGTGGATGTGGAAGTGGGTTGTGTGCGAGGCGGGTTCGGGGTCTTTGGCACAGGGAGAAGTTATGAGAATGTGGCATGGTGGCCTTTCTCTCCGTGGTGAAGAGGTGGTGAGACGGAGCAATGCTGGTGTTGTTCGTTTTTGTGCTGCTTAAGATTTCTTATAGCTGCTAGTTTCTGGTGCCGCTTGCGTGCACTGATATTTCCAAGAGTGGTTCTGTTCAACTGAAAGGGAAGAACACTGCAGGAATTAGACAGTGGAGCAGAATTTAGGAGATTCATGAATGTTTGTCGAGAAACACGCAAAGATAAATTGGTGCTAGCAACGGCAATGTGCGCTTCTAGTCATGAATGACCAATGACAAGCAGTTCTTTCGTGTCTCCAAACGACGAGACGCTGTCGCGAGGATGCTAGGTAAGAACCGGATATCCTGCTGGTACAATTGCGGGCTGCAAATGACTGCACAAGCATGAAGACGCGCACGAAAGGAAATTTTTGGGTGAAGTATTGTCGATAGGTCAGGGCCTATCTAGAGCATACAGGGGTTCTCATCTTCTACCTCAAAAATCTGCGACATCGGAGCGAGATATTTACAGAGTGTCCTGGAGGAGCTTGTTCATCTTGGCGAGCTTGGAGGAAACGGAAAGGTCAATGGTGCGGTCGCCGATCTCGACAACGAGACCACCGCGGATGTCGGGGTTGACCTAATTGCGCAATTAGAACTCTCAATTGCTTCACTGTTTGTTGCGCGCACTCACCTTGGAAACGACCTTGAGCTTCTTGCCCTCGCCGGCGTACTGGGACTTGGAGATGGCGCTCTCCAGGCGGCTGAGGGTCTTGTTGTCAAGGGGCTATATCTGGTCAGCCTGCAATTCCCAATTGGGTTCCTCCCGCCCGCGATTGTGTATAACGTACAGCAGCGCTGGTAATAGTAAGCTCGACCTCGCCGCGGTAGGCGCTCATGAGCTGAGCGAACTTCTCGGTGACGGGAACGAGGACGGAGAGCCTGTTGTTCTCGGCGAGAGTCTCGAGGAAGTTCTTGACGATGCCCTCCTTGTCGGCGCCAACATACTTCGAGAGCTCGGCGACAACGGCCTTCTTGTCCTCGGCCTTGAGAGTGGGGGAGGCGAGGACCTCAGCGAGCTTGGCGTCCTTCTTGAAAACACCCGCGAGGCTGTCGAGGGCCTTGGAGGTGCCGTCGAGGCTAGAGGTCTTGGCGGACGCGGTGTACTGGAAAGTTATAGCCGTCAGTGACACTGCGCTCAACTCCAACAATTCCATCGCGCGCATCCGGAGGCCCAGCAGTCCATCAACCCGGCCCGGTATATTCCCCAATGACATACCAGAGCGCTCGCGTAGGTGCCGTCAACGCCGTACAGGGCGACGGGCGGCCTGGTGGAAGCGGGAGCAGCTTGAGCGTAGCTCCTCAGGACGGTGCGGGGCGCAATTGCGGCGCGAGGAGCGGCGGACCGCGCGGTCTGAGCGACTGCCCTGGCGGTGAACATTATGGCAAAGAGCGGAGAGCGAGATGGCGGCGTGTCCGATGGGGCTGTTGGCGGTGTTGCAAGTCCTGACTTCCGATGAGGTTCGCTCGGCGAAAAGCATCGCGGGCTAGCAAGTCTTGGCGGATCTTCACCCGGCACGGCTGCCTTTGTCCTCATCCACTTTCAACGTGCGATTGAAGACATTCTCGACCTACAGCTAACACCAAACGTCTACTGGATAGCGATTGATTGAAATGGCGATGATATGCCACCCGATTGCTGCTCAAAAGACGTCTCAACTCCATCCCCTCAAACGACCGCCCCGGCTATATCTGAAGCTGTCTACAAACGCAATCCGGTCACGATTAATCCAACTGCGCCTCGTTCATACTACTTCTGCTCCAGAACACATGATGTTACAGCTTCACCGGACATGTCTACCGCCACACAATCATTCATTCATTTATACTTGCTAACCTGCTAACCTTGCTTGGGCTCCTCAAAAGGCGTCTCGTACGGACGCTCCGCCTGGGGAGTGATGCGGGCCAAGTGACGCCGGTGTCCATCGTCCCAGTCAAGCAGCGCGCTGTGGGTACTTACGCGGTTGTCCCACACAACGACAGTACCCGGCTCCCACTTCACGCGAGCCTGGAAGTCAGTGCCAAGCGCGACGTGGTTAAACAAGAACTTCAGCAGCATGTCACTCTCTTCCTTCTTCAAGCCCAGGATACGACGAGTGAACTGAGCGTTGACGAACAACGCCTTCTCGCCAGTGACGGGGTGCGTCCGGACGAGCGGGTGAGTGTTGGCGACGGGGCTGCGCCGCACGACACCACCGCGAGAAAGGCTGTTCTCGGCCTGCTCAAAGCCAGAGTGCAGCGCTTGGAGGCCATGAAGCCTCTTCTGGAACTCTGGAGAGAGGCGGTTGTACGCTTCCACCATGCTGGCGAACACCGTGTCACCGCCAGCCTCAGGTCCGTCGAGGACATAAAGGAACGTGGTCCCCGGAGGCTGCTGCTCAAAAGTGACATCGCTGTGCCAGGTCACTGAGTTTGTCCTTTCTTGGTAGTAGTCTCTAGCAGCCGTGTCTTCAGCACTGCGGTGGACCAAATGGATCTCCGGATAGCCAGCCGGCGCACCGCTCGAGACATGAATATGATGCCGACCGAAATACGATCCAAAGTCTAATGCCTCTTGGATGGGCAGGTCTGCCAGGTCCTGGTCGCGGAACGCTAATGCGACGTTAGCTGAGCTTTCAACAGTCCGAACGGATTTCCTTACCAACAACTCTCCGCTCTGCAACGAAGCGTGCCAATTCATCCTTTCCCTTATCAGACAGTTTGCTTAGTTGCACGCCATGGACCTCGGACCCGATCTTGGGCGTCAGCGTCTTTGGCTTGACGTCCGCAAACAGGTGAGGGAACGACAGATCGGCATCTTTGCCGTGGTCGTAGTGGGTAAAGGGTTCGAGTGGTGGGTATCTACATCTCGTCAGCTTCCTCCTTTCATCTTTCTTAAACTGAGTCGCATTCTCATACGTCTTCGAGTCCCAAGTGGGCAGGTAGTTGGGATACTTTGCAGGAGCTTGGTGCGCGCTGCCCTTTTCCTCGTACTCCTTGTTGTATGCCTTCGGGCCAGTGATGAACGCCTCCTTGTAGTCGATGGGCCCGCGGACGGGTGCCGGCTCAGCAGGAGTCTGGACAGCGACGGGAGCCATTTTCTTTTGCTTCAAAAAGGTATGCTCTTTTGGTTGGATTCAAAGATTCCTGGTTCAAGCTGTTGCAAAACTGGCAGACTGCACATATATCAATCCTTCCTCTCGGCACGCCACTCTCCTATCAGAGAGCGCCATGGCGACCCTTTCACGGAACGGATAGAGTTCTCTATGCAGGAAGCGGGGAGAGAGTCCAGTCTCCTCATTCTCCACCATCCTCAGTCCTACAGTGCAAGGGAATGCGCGCCATTTTCATCCTCGTCTCCCAATCAGCGACTGCAGAAATGGCATCACATGGCCTTGATATTGGCAATGCTCCGACGGTCATGTATACAGATGTTATGTTACGCACAGCTCGCCTAACGACCCCTCTTGTTTGGCTGTTGTACTATTGGACAGAGCACAAAACCCATGTTCGCTGATGCAGATAGGCCGATTCTCAACTATGCAAGCATCATAGTCTGTATTCGTATTCTAGTTAGTGTGACGCGACGCCTAGCCCCTATCACGTCACGCGCATCACTTACCTAATCGGGGAACGCGGGTATCAGACCGACAACTTGTTTTGAGCTCACCATGGCCCGACCGGTTGACGTGATCCGCTTGGCACCGGGAAATGCTGGAGCATACTTTGCCCCAGGCATTCGCTGCAAAACACGGAAACCCAACCACCATCTTTTTTGTTGTTGTCCAATTACCATTTTCGGACCACACAGCTTCCATCGATAGCGTTGTGTCTTAGACATTACATCGGCTCAAATTCCCGTTCACTACATCATGGGACGCCGCAACCCATCGTGCCTCCGCGTTGCGACCGCTGGTCTTAACCACATAGGTCCTGCGACGGAGTCACCGTTCACCTCGACGCAGTACCAGTTTATGGCCTCGGAAGCCAGCGCGTATGAGGAAATGGCATCCCCACAGTTCGACGCGCTCGCGTGGTCGAAGAAGACGGACATCCAGCTCGAAAGGATCCTCAACCCTCAGTCGGACGAGGATTTGGCCTTTGACGCGTCTGGATCTGAAAAGCAAGACCAGTCCAGCGAGACATCTGAGAGCACCGAACGCTCTGATTCCGAGTCGAGCACTCGCCAGGTCCCACCAAAGAGGAGAGCAACTCGCAGGGTAGGTTTGCTTTCTTGACAACGCGTGTGCGCGTCTAATAAATGAACCAGCGGACATACACCCAGGAGCACCAATAGCTCTCTGAACAGCAACTTTGCAAACCAAACCAAACCAAACCAAACCACGTTGCCAGGGGGTCACTGCAGCCATTGGTCCGATGGAGGTCAGTCGGAGGCCCACATTTTCTGCAGATGCCCCGCACTCCTCAGCAGTAGTGGGTGTACGCCCACATCAGCCGTGAAGCGGGGGTCCTCCACCCAGAGACAGGCGGACCAAAACCTTACAGCACCAGCCTTTCCAGCTGTGCTGTAAGCTTTTTTATTCTTACAGCTGCATTTGGGTACACCTATTCCCGGGACCAGAGACCTGAGGGCGCAGACAGATTGCAAAACGACCGCCCTCGTCTCTGCGACTGAAATTGCCGCGAACACATCATCAAGCTGCTCCACCAAAGCTTGAGTTCTAAACCACAGCTCGCAAGCATTTACACCGCTTTTGCACGCACGTGAGTACGGGTACATTGGGAGCTTCTGTGGCGATGTGCAGCGGTGCTGTTGCATATGCACTTGTGCAAACGTGTCTATGCAGATCTTCCAGCTGGGGTTGTTGACGATCCGGAGCGGAGTGGGGTTGTAGTGGAGGGAAGTCAGGGTGAGAAGAGAACAACAGCGCTGGCGCAGCAGTGGTGCTGCACCGCTGTGTCTAATACCTGCCTACCAAAGCATACACAGCACGCTAGCAATTAATGCTGAACAGACTTAAAAAGAAATAAAAAATCGAGTCTTTTTTATATTGCCGTCCCTTTTTCTTCTACTTTGTTCTTCTCATCACTTCTTCTCACCTATCATGCTCCCTCTTGACGCGACGGCATCCTTTGTTATGACCTTTCCTGTCCGTGGAGTCCCTGCTTTCAAAGAATCCTGTCCGGTTCGTAATAGTAACGTCCTTGACGATTATATGAGATTAACACTCACCATCGAGACTGATTGGCTATCTCGCTGAGCAGTCGAAGATATTCTACACGTAACGTCTCCTACCGTCAAACGAACCTCACCGTTCAGCGAACCCCACCAATCAGAGCATGCTGTGTGGGTCTCTTCCGCGCTCTGGTTGGTGCGCTCGCTTCGCCGTACCGGACGTTAACTACTAATAAACATAATTTTAGTACATTTGCCGTCTATCACTAGACTTCAATCCAAACGTATAAGGTATAAGAATCCAAGATAATTCAAGAAATTCCATCGCTACCAAATTCGTGCCGAGGAGACACTCGAGGAAGCCTGAGAAACTTTTTAAGTCATAAAATGCCTAATGATAAATTTAAAAGGATTTGTTCAGTCACGACTCCCACTGAAGTTCGAAAACAAAATGCTTCACATGTTTCATGCTCATGTAATGTCTCTCATCGGGTAATTGTTACTTCATCTAACTATTAATAGGGAGGCCGCTGAACGGTGAAATTCATTTAAGAATTAGGGCTACACGACTAATGTCCCTTACCCTCAACCCGCTTGATTTCCGCCAGAGCATCTTCAATAAACTTCTTAGTCCTCCCGTCGGTGAATCGTGACTGGTATTCCATCAGCCGCTGTCTCCAGGCATTCCATTTTTCGCGATTAAAGTCCGGTTGCTCTCCTTTTGGGACTTTCCCAAAGTTGAAGCCGGTTTGGACATTGCTCCACAACACCTCTCCAGCGTACAAGAACCAAATACAGGCGGCGCGCACCGCAATCGGAGTCGGCAGGTTGGAGACAGCATTGCCTGGGCCTCTAGGTTCCACAAAGGCGTAATGAAAAGCAGTGAGAGACCAGAGTGACCAGTTGGTGCAATCGGCCGTAGAAGTACCTGTAAGCTGTGCGAAGAAGACAGATAGGTTCTCCCAAGCCTTTTCATCCTCTGGCAATATATCGGAGTCCAGAGGGTCTTGGTTTTGTTAGTTTAGACGATTTGTTGGGCACCTACTCGTAGTCACTTACCAAAACTTCCGAGTGTGTCGGCAAAGACGGGCCCAAAGCCGCCGAGTTCGGTATAGACAAGGCTGTCGCAAGATCTTACTGGCTGGCCAGAGTCGTCTGTCAAAGCTACTTTCCGTAGCTGTTGAAGAAACTCCACGAGCCAGCGCAGTCGCATGGGGTCGTCGGTTCGTTCGACAACTTCGAGCACGCATAGCGATAAAGCGTAGATCTGATCGCCAAGCGCATCATCACCTGGTATACGAGCTGGAGCCAAGTCCACGATTTGCTGCACGGCATCCGGGAGCGATTGCTGGGCTGCACTTTCATGCGGCTGCTGCACAATCGCGTTCAATATCTTGAACTCTGGCCTGGGTTCCAGATAGGCATGGATTTTCGCTTGGCGGTCACGCCATGACTTCGCCCCGCCGAGTCTCGACATCGTGCAAAGAGAAGGTGAAACAGAAGATGGAAACAGACAGGAAAGTGGTGTGGATGGAGGTTGTGTCTGTTTTTAGGTTTCCTGGTTGGCCCCCGCCCCCAAGCTCCGCCCCCAAGCTCCGCCCTGTGGCCCCCGAACTCCGCCAAGTAGCCGCTCCACCCGTTGATCTTTGCGCCGGCAGTTCCGCCCATTCTGCCCCCGCAGGATGCGTACATAGGCCAACCTGGTACATTTGCTCTCTATTGGACCCCATCGGCAATATCCCTCAAACTAACATTGTTCTTGCGTAGGTCAACGTTGATTTTGGCCATATCAACTGATTACATTGCGAGAATGTTGATACTATGCTAAATCAATGTTAACACTAGGTAGGATATTACAGATCTATATACGCAGTAGGGAATGTAAAACGGGTCTCGGTCGTGAGAGCACAAAAATCCAGGAGGCAAATCCGCCAAAGGTAACAACACAATACTAAGATTAGCATTCATTGGTCCTAAATAGTGTTAAGTTTAGCCGCATAAACCGACTACACTGTGGGGATTGCGATACTATACCAAGCCAGAGTGGATCTATACAGAAATAGAGTTGGTCTGTGGGGTGCAGTTGAAGGATTCAACCACCATGCGAGGGGCGATTGGGGCTAAAAGTTTCCTGAGATCAACACCGTGCCCCAAGGCCGTGCAAAAGATTGCTCTAGCTTCGTACAATACTTAAAGAGCCTTCATGGCCCTCCAAGAACCTCACCAAACAACCAGCTCTACTTCCACTTCCACCTCCACACTCATTCTCAACTGTCGCTCTCTTCGGCATCCTCCTTCAAACACAATCCAAAATGTACTTCGACATCAAGTCTATCTTCCTCCTCGGCCTTGTCGCCGCCGCCACCGCCTCTCCTGTGGCCTACCCCGGCGACGAGGATGGCTCAGTCTCCCTGCACGCCCGGATGGCCAAGCCGCAAAAGGTCAAATGCCCCGACGGAACGGTGTTCGAGGTTGAAGAAGTCACGGCGGGCAACGGGCACTTTAGAGAAGCCGCCAAGAAAGCTTTCGAGCCTTCGTACAAACTGAAGTACCCCGACTATTTCGGAAACAAGTCGGGCGGCAAGCAAGTGATCCCAACGGCGTCCCAGAACGACTTGTACGAGTGGCCTATTTTCAAGGACAAGTCTAACTGGACCAATGGTAAGTTTGATACAAAAACTTAATCAGGCGGGTTCAGTTGACTAATAAATGTTATAGGAAAGCAACCTGGCAAGTACCGCACGGTGCACTCCGAAAAGCCCGTCTATGAGAAGGACAAGAACGGCCACCCCACCAACAAGATTGTGTCCAGGAACTGGACCTTCGTTGGTATCATGCAGCACGTTGGAGGTCCATCCAATGCTTATGAGGTGTGCAATGCGGCTTAAAGGCATCTTCGAATTTTGCATTTCTACCTTCCTGCTATCCTCCTATAATCCTCATTGTATCCCCTTCTTTCATTTCTACATGTAGATTAGATACACCATCTAGCTAGTTTCAATCAGCCCACACTCGTTTTTCACAAAAGCTTACAGCACCTACTCTTCTATGCTCGAAAAGGGAGATATTATTATCCATATCCCTTCAGTGAAACCGTTCTCCATATAATCGAAAGCAAACTAAGTTACTCCGAATTTGAACATTATCCCACCTACTTACAGGTAGTCTGGGTATGCATACATTCTCTCCCAAAAACTCCCTATAGATTATTCCGTAGATGGACATAGAGGCTATGTTCATATTCAGCGATATCGCTCACAAGGGGAAGTGGTACTTTCACCCCTATCACTATAACTTACTCCGTAGATGTATATAGAGACTACGCTCGTATTCGGCAGTATTGCCCTCAAAACGCTCCCTAAATCACACTCCACAACCAGCCCCAGAAGCCTCTCGCGCTCTCACAGCCAAACAACACAACCCCCAAAAACACCCACCCCCAACAACTCGCCGTCGCACTCGTCTGATACCAAAGTGGGGCAGCACAAACACGTTCTGATCGACCGATCCGCATCCCCGTACCCCTACACTTCCATATTAGGATTGGGATCAGATGAGCGGACCTGCCAATAACTGCCTGAATAGTCTCGCAGTCAACAGCTGAAGTGTTAGCTAACTAGAAAAAAGCTCGCCACGTAAAGGCGAGGCCGAGTATGACCCAAAACTCTGCAGATCACAAATACTCAACCGCATCGCCAGCACCAGCTCCAACCAAAACCGCATGTGAGAGAGAGAGAGAGAGAGAGAGAGAGAGAGAGAGAGAGAGTGTGTGTGTGTCGTTTCGTACCTAGCATCTAGCAAGTTCGCTTTATGTCTCTCCTCCTCTTCTCTTCTTACGCTCGTCTCTCACCCCACCACCACCCAACAACCCCAGCCCAGCCCAGCCCCAGCCCAGCCCCGCTGACCACCACCCCACCCCACCACCATGACGCTCTAGAGTCTAGACCCTTCACCCCTGCTCCCTGTCCCCCAACCCCCTATCCCTGTCTCTTATCCCCGCTATACTGTACCCCCCGCACATGCGCGATAAGACGTCAGACGCCAGACGCCAGAAACCCACTGACTGCTTACCACACCAGCACACCACACCACACCACGCCACAAACCGGTTAGTTAGTTAGTTAGTTAGGTATGCAAAACCCGACATGACACACTCAAGCAACGTACTATGCACACCCGCGCCCTTGAATAAATGCTTTCCACAACCACCACACCAACCACCATACCAGACAAGCAAACAAAACAGACACACACCTTAAGGTAGCAGCAAAGCAGTACTCTAAAACATCGTAGTTATAAAACGCGTGTATCCCACGCATCGATGATAGATATATCTGTATGTCGATATGTAAATGTGTAAATACGTATATAAGTGTATATAAACATATAAATATGTAGATATGTATATATATGTATAAAAGCATCACGCCCTCAACGATACCCCACGCGCGTGCTTATCTGGCGCCCATGCTGGCATTACCATCACCACCACCACCACCACCACCACCACCCGCATAACCGCTTCCGCCATCCACGGCCCACCTACTTATCCAGCTAGGCTAGGCTAGGCTAGGCCGCACCCGCCGCCGATGCCAGAGCGGTCGCTAATCGAGCTTTGCCGACCGCGCCTACTCCATCTGAGCACACACGCGCGCCTCGCCGCAGCACCCGAGTGCACGCACAGAAGCAGCCGCAACGACCAAAAGCAGGGACATTGGCGGACGAGTGTGCAATGGACAACCACTTGCCGATTGCGTGGGTAGACAACCAACCAGCCAGACAAACAAACGAACAGAAAGAAACAAAGAAGCAAAAAGCATAAAAAACATAAGATTATAGAGGACACAGGAAGTTATTATTAACCACGCTACCACAAACCTCAAGTAAAAGTTAAAACCTGATTTTGAATCCGAGCCTGAAGTATTAGAAGACTCCCAACGCCAGCGCTGCAGTGCGCGCACTGCCTGCACGTGAAGTAAAGGGAAATAAGGGCATCAATTCCTGATCGTGACCACGGGACCGAGGAGGAAGGGCTATCGACAAGCGGGAGAGAGAGATGGAGAGATAGAGACATAGATAGATAGATAGAGCCGCGAGCTGCTGCCACGCCGAGACGAGACGTTGCCAGACATGTGCGTCACACGCGTGCGATGGCGCGTCAGCCAGCTGCTTCCGTGCTGAATGGAGAAAGCTGGGGAGCGCTGCGCAATACCATACCGCTGGCACCCCAAGTCCGAGTTTCGTCAACGAAATGGCTGTGGCTGTGATTGCAGTGCAGAAAGGACCCGAGAGCGTGAAGAAGAAGCCTTGTGCGCCTGTTGTGTGCGTCACTAAGGGCATCGCTAGTGCCTCGGTATATCGTGTGTTTGACGGCGGAGGCATTATGCCGCAGCGCGTCGAGAGTGCTGTACAGATGGTGCCGGGCGGAGGAAGGATGGGGTAGGCAGGAAGGGAGGCCGTGCTACCCTCAACTGAAAAACGCATTTTCATGCAGTCTACCCCTTCGCCAGGGCGATAATTGGCCGCTAACATGGTGGAAGTGACGATGCTCGTGGCCTCCGGTGGGGCTTTCATACCTCGCCCAGCGCGCGCTTGAGAATCTCGTTGCCGTCCACCAGGGTCTCCAGGAACTTCGCGCCCTCCATGAGAACGCTGCTCTTGCTGAAGCCGCCCGTTTTCAGCCCCGGAACCAATTCGTTGAGCTCTTCGAAGCCCTGCTTGATCAGGTTGCGCCGCTTCTGCTCGCTCAAAATGTGGTTATTCCGCTTTTGCTCTTCGGAGAGATTCTCGCGCGTCGGCTTTTGCGTGCTCGACGCCTTGCGCTTTGCCGACGGTACGCTGATGGATACGTCCTTGGGCTTCTTGCTCTGGGCTACGCTAAAAGAAGCGGCGCGAGGCGCTGCGGCGGCAGCGGAAGCGGCGGAACCGAGCTTGTGGGATTGGAAGCCGTTTTCGCCAGCAAGGGTGCGACGTCGCTTGGGAGCCCTTTCTCTGGGGCTTGCCGAGTCGTCTGATGATGAGTCTTCTTCGTCAGAGGCAACAGGTGTCGGCTCAATGGGTATCACTCCAAAGGGCACCTGAGGACGAGGGCTTGACGATCGCTTCGGCCGCGGGACTTCTTGGAAATGGTTGTAATTGGACGGCAATCGTTTCTGAAGAATGGGGCTGGGAGGTTGCGTGTTCGTGCGCGTGCTCGGCATGCTATTTGATGGCTGCAGTCCCTCCATGTCCTTGTACAACCGTTGAAGCACGGCCTCTTCGGTCTCATGGTGGTGCTGAGTTGCAAAGCCATTGCCACGGAAATTGCTGTCGGAGCCGAAGCGTGGCAGTCCTGCGGGGCGCTGGAAAGATGAAGCTACTTGGGTAGCGTAGACGCTATGACGGGCGGAAAGCGGGGGACGCGGGGGGTTGAACAGCGGCACGCCCACGGCCAGACTTCCATCGTTGGCCGATGCTGTCAGGCTGTGCTGGTCTGGTGCCGATGCCGGAGGGCTCGGCAGGCCTATGAAGTTGCCCCCACTCAGATACGCCTTGTCCATGTACATTTGTTCCTGGGGTTGTGCGCTCGAGAGGAGAGCCGTCGCAGCGCCGATCACCTCATCGGAAGCGCCACCATGGAGATCGTTGTTCCTCGCTGCGCTGTAGCTCGGCCCAGGACGGGGCTCGATGGCTGGAAACAGGTTCTGGTTGTGCGCAGGCTCCGGGATGGCGGCGGAGGTGCCGTGCAGGGTAGTCGGGGCATCGTCGAAGAAGGAGAAGTCGAAGTTGTTGGAGGGATCGTGGGCGGGGTCGGGGAAGGGGATGGCGCTGTCGAAGTTGTTGAACGGGCCGCGGTCGAAGAAGGACTGGAGCTCGTTGAACTGGTAGTCGCTCAGCAGCGGCGGGCCAGCAGCCGTGACGTTTTCGGAGGCGGCGGCGTTGTCGATGTGGCCGGAGAAGGTATCTGCTTCAGCATCAGCACGGCGTCGAACGAAGGCAGCGGGCGACGCACAGCCGAAGGGACTATCGTCTTTGGCTGAATCTTGATGCGAGCTCATCCCGGGCGGGCGCGCGAGAGCCAACATGGAGACGGACCAGCGGGCTCAGTGCGGCGGCATCACGGGGGCGGACACGGGCGGAGAAGCGATGGATTTGAGCGGAGGAGAGGTGGGAGAGAGGAATCGCGGGCGGGCATGTCTTTGGCACAATCACCAGGTGTAGTCGGTTGGTCTGGTGCGGGAAGGCGGGAAGGCCGTGGCTCGATCACATGCAAAAACCCACCATCCCTGCCCTCATCCATGACATGATCAAATCACACCCCGCCGCCAGGAACCAGTCCTTGATGCTGAAAGCCTCTCCGCCCTGCCCGTTTCGGCCTCGAGGCCTGCCGTGTCCCGTGCCCCCTCCCCAACCATCCCCGTATATTCTTCACCCCCTCTTCCCTCGAGAGCGCCTGCCGGCATTACATGAACGAATTCCGTGCTCTCTGACACGGACAGCTGCCTAGAACCGCTTCCCCGCCTCCGTCACCCTTGAAGCCAAGAGTAGCTGACGAATATAAGTCGGTGCGTAGAACAACGCCAGTGCCTGTCGTGACTGCCGACGAGAAAGAAAAAGACGACCATGACCACCCCTTCAGCCTCCCGTCGGGAGGAGAGTACAATAGAACTTGGTCACCGGATCCCCGTCACGAGCCAGCCTCCTCGTCTCCAAGCCCATGGCGCCCGCCCTAGGTAGCTACTCCGTATCTTCACCGTCGTGCACGCCTGGATTCCCTCCGTCTCCCGTGCCATGCAAGAGGGCACACACACACCCGCACCAAGGCCATGGCCGCAGCTGTGAGAACAAGAATGCCGTCCGGCATCTTACAAACGGGTGGTTCTTCGCCGTGCATCTGTATGTTCGTATACCTCAAACGGTGGCGCAGTCGCAATATCCATCTCATAAGCAAAGCGGTCCAGATCGCATCTCACAGAGCGTGCCCTTTCACTGCCTCCTTGGGAATAGGTTGTCAAATGATGCGGATGTTCAGAACCTGATTCCGTTGTCTACGGAACAATCAGCCCCCTTTCCTTCGCCGTGTTCAGTGGCCTGCTTTCATGGCACACTGCCTAGATCGCATTGCTTTCTTCAATAGTTTTGCCCAGATCACTACAACCAAAAGGCCTCTCCCATTGAAGCGGCCATTTGGGATCACTATTCCCTGGCCAAGACACCAGCTTGATCGCCTAGGCTCCGCCTTCACGACTGCCATATCAGCCGGCCATCTTGCGTATCTTGGTATAGTTAGAACGCCCGCCTGAGGGGCGCGGAGCTGGGCCTGTTTGCTGCGCTCAGTTGGTCCCGAGCTCGAGAGCAGATCACCTCGCGTTCTCAGCGCTGAGCTCCGCTATAAGGCCTCCTACGTCCCTCTTCTTGGCATCCTCCTCCAGTCTGCGTTGGATGTACTTTGTCATGGCTTGCACCTTGTTCAAGGCAACATTGGTGCACTGAAGCAAGCTCAGAGGGTTGACAGGCGTGCCTCCGTACTTGGCAATCTGACAAACCTCGCCGTACCTGTTCATCGTGATAATGATCTCGCCTTCACGCACCTGCTCTTCCGCCAACGTCGCATCGACCAGCATTACCTCTCCAGTGTTATAGTAGGAGAATGTCACACAAAGAGGGTGATGCAGCATAGATAGCGGCACCGGCTCTCTTTCCCTCGTACTGAAAACGGTGACCTTTTCTCCCTCCACTGCAACATCCGAGCGTCGGAAGTGCTGCAAAGCTGCCACGACGGCAATGCAGGAAGCGTCAATCAGACCGCCATCGTGATCGACAATGTGGACGTCGGCTCGAACAGAGAAGCATTTTGCTCCCGCGATGATACATAGCGATTCGGTGTCGAGGGCGCCGCTGCGACGGATAGCCTTTTCGAGGATGCGGGACAGAATCACTTCAGCGTCTGTCTGTCTGGTAAGCTCAGTTAGGGCCATTGAAGTCGGTTATAGGGTCATTCTCAGAACAAAATTAAACATACCGGCCAACTTCAAACTGGGGCGAGGCCATGGGGGAGAACTCGGTGCTGATATTGAAGATGCCGTCAAACTTCCGGTCAGCGAATGGAGCTGTCACCTCCGCAGAGATGCGCGCAATCACTCTGAGGACGAATTAGCGCACGCCGCTCTCCAAGCGTATCAAACACATACCTCGTCTTGCCCAAGCGGACATCTGCGACACCATACTCGTCGCCGAATGTCAGGTCCAAGTCGCGGAACGCGTCGAAGGCGCGACCGTCCAAGCGCACATTCTCCCCGAGCGCTTGGAGTAAGAATTCGCGCTCATTGAGCGACAGCTCCGCTTCACGAGGCATGTCTGGTTCTGGCTGGCTGGGTATACTGCGTCCAAAAAGTTCGCGACGAGCTTCACGATGACGGCGCCTGGGCGGCAGGACGGCCTTGGCGGTCGGCGAAACTGCTTCGCCGATCTATGGTGGGCACGGCCCTCATGCGGCGTTAAGCTCGGGTAAGGCCGCGGCGCCTTCCCGCGCGCGGCCAGTCGCGTCGCCGGCATTCTTTCAACACCAAGACGCGTTCGCCATGGTCGACTGCCCAATCTGCTCCAAGCCAGTCCCCGAACGCGACATCAATGAGCACATTGACTCCAACTGCGAGAAGTTTGTCATTGACCCGAATGCCGCCACGCAGAAGCCGCCCAGCAGCTCCGTCGCCACCTTTTTCCAAACACCTGCTGCCAAGCGCGCAGCAAGCTCCTCTACCCAGCATGTAGCTTCCACTCCCTCCTCGCCAATTCCTTCGCGAACTGCGCAATCAAAGAATGCTCCATTGTCCTTGTCAAATGGAACCAAACGCCCGCTTGAGACAGATCTGGCACCCGCGCCTGCCGAAGGATCATCTGCCGAGGGACCATCCCCGCCGTCGCCCAAAAGAGCCAAACCGAGCGCTTTCCAGAAAGTCGCACCACTCGCTGAGCGAATGAGGCCAAGGACATTAGACGAGGTCTGCGGGCAAGAGCTCGTCGGAGAAAACGGAGTGATAAGAGGATTGATCGAGCAGGACAGAGTGCCGTCAATGATCCTCTGGGGAGGACCGGGTACTGGCAAGACGACAATTGCGAGGCTGATTGCCCATACGGCTGGGTGCCGGTTCGTGGAGATCAACAGCACCAGTAGCGGGGTGGCTGAGTGTAAGAAACTGTTCGCAGAGGCAAGAAACGAGTTGGGCCTGACGGGGAGGAAAACTATCATCTTCTGCGATGAGATCCACCGATTCAGTAAAAGTCAGCAGGACGTATTCTTGGGTCCGGTTGAAGCTGGCCAAGTTACGTTGATTGGCGCGACGACCGAGAACCCCAGTTTCAAAATCGTCAACGCCCTTTTGTCAAGATGTCGGACGTTTACTCTGGAGAAATTGACCGAGGATACTGTCGTCACTATCCTACAACGGGCACTTGATCGCGAAGGAAGTCACAATGCCGAGTTGGTCGATGATGAAATGCTTACATATCTCTCGGCGTTTGCGGACGGTGATGCGCGAACGGCTTTGAATCTACTAGAGCTGGCCATGGATTTGTCGAACCGGCCCAACATGACAAAGGAAGACTTGAAGAAGTCGCTGACACAGACACTGGTTTATGATCGGGCCGGAGACCAGCATTACGACACCATTTCTGCCTTCCACAAATCTATTCGCGGCGGCGACCCGGACGCGGCCCTGTACTACCTAGCGAGGATGCTCCAGTCAGGCGAAGATCCACTGTACATCGCTAGACGACTCATCGTGGTTGCCTCAGAAGACATTGGCCTAGCAGACAACAGCATGTTGTCGCTCGCGACAGCAGCATACACTGCTGCGGAGAAGATTGGGATGCCAGAATGTCGCATCAACCTCGCTCACGCCACCGTCGCCTTTGCCCTCTCGCCGAAAAGCACCAGGGTTTACCGTGGTCTTGGCAATGCTATGGCGGCGTTGATGGAGCCTGGGGTGGCTGGGCTGCCTGTGCCTCTGCATCTACGGAACGCGCCCACGAAGCTGATGAAGGAAATCGGCTATGGCAAGGAGTACAAGTACAATCCCGACTACGTCGACGGTCAGGTTGTCCAAGACTATCTGCCCGAGAAGCTGTTGGGAAGATCGTTTCTCGAAGACCGCGATCTGGGCACTAAGGTCGACCCGGACTTGCCCGAAGGATTTCATGAGTACGACCTGGGATGATCAGAGGCTTGACTGTGCAGTTACGAACATTGGTACAGTCCGGACTGGTTACAACGTTTGCATTGGTCAACAAACCCTGGCCATTAAAAACGCATTCATCGGTATATCCGGCTAAAGCTTGCGTAGACTTCCGCGTACCTTTGCCAGTACAAGAAAAAAAAATGTTGCGAGTAGTCAACGCTAATTTTAACAGTCAGAAGCTGCTGACGGGCCAAAAACGTTGTAACCAGTCCGGATTGTACAGCTAAAGCACTTGCTTCAATAACATGCTACAAAGACTCTTTCATTTGCTATCCATTATCGCCAAGTAGTTGGAGGACAAAATGCCGGCTTAGCCAAAACGCGACCCGACATTGTCCCATGCGGCAGATTAGAATACACGCAGGAGTCCCAAACAGCAGTCCAAAAAGCCCTTTGGCTGTGCTGGTTTAACAAAACAAACTGGAAACGACATCGTTGAACTGGATGGACTTCAGGTTGACATAGCCCGGATAGGCCAGTCTCCTATACTCGCCTTTACAGTCCTTATCCCTGCAGAGTCAAGCACCGTCAGCCGCCTAAGTCCCTAGATCGAAACCATAGAAACAGGAAGAAAGGAAAAAGGGGAATACTCACTTGAAGAGCCAGCACGTGGTGCCTCTCTCAATGGGCCCAATGCTGGAGATGCGGTTGTCGTACAGCGGGCTCAGATTGTAGCAGACAGCAGGATCGGTATGGTAGCGCCAGCACATGCCCTTCCACTCGCTATGCTGGCACATATAGAGCACCTTGCCGCCCTTCCCAACGTCCTTGCCATTATTATTGGCGCGCTTGCTGATCTGGCGACGCTCAGGGGGCTGCTCAGCCGAAGGGTCGAACCTGAACGGCGGGTCAGGCAGGCGCTGCTCATCCAGCTGGCCATTGCTGCGACGACGGCGCACCGGCGCCTCAACCTCGGCGTCGTACGCGCCAGGCGGCGGGCCCCAGACGGTGTCGGCGTCGGCGTCGTCGTCAATGTACTCGGCGCGGCGCCGCAGCGGCTTCGGCGGCTGCACCCGGTACACCTCGTCGACGTCCTCGACCTCGAAGACCTCGGGCGCGACGGGCGGGTGCAGCGCAAACGAGTCGGCGGGGGGGGCGGCCGCGCCGCGCCGCCGCAGCCCCGGCGCCAGCACTTGTGCCTTCGGCGGACGCACCGTGTACACCTCGTCGATGTCCTCGACCTCGAAGACCTCGGGCGCGACAGGGGGGCGCAGCGCGAACGAGTCGGCGGGGGGGCCGGGCTCGCCGTTGCGCCGGAGCAGGTGCGGCGGGTAGGCGTAGTCGTCGTCGTTGTCTTCGTTGTCGGCAACGGGATCGTAGAAGCTGGCAGGGGCGTCGACGACGGCGGCGGGCGCCGGCGGCGGCGCGTTGCGTGATGGGGGGGCTGCCGCTTGTGCCTGCGCCGGCGACGGCGTCCGGTGCGGCGTGTCCAGTGTCGGGTAGTTGGGCTGCTGCTGCTGCTGCTGGTGCTGCTGGTGCTGCTGTTGCTGGTGCTGGGCCATGGCCAGAGAGGCGCTGAGGGCCGCGGTCGCGAGGGCGAGAGCGGCGGCGCGCATTTTGTGCGTGCTGTGGGTATCTAGCTTCGTGCGCGTGCGTGCTGCTTGTAGAGGCGTATGTGTATACGTGCAGCAGGCTGCTCAAGAGCGAGGTCAATGAATACACCCGAGGGCGCGCCCCATTTCATATACATATAGCAGCGCCGGCCGTTTTCAAACGCCTCCAGCGCTTTCTTTGTCTCCGAAGCCCATTGTTCGTCCGTCTCCGTCGGGGGTGGGTGGTGTGTGTGCGGGCTCAATGCGTCAATAGGCAGCAATAGCGATTGCGCGCCTGCTTGCTGTGGATGGATGGATGGGCTGGGATAGCTGGCTGGCTGGCTGGCTGGCTGGCGTATAAAGCCGTCAATAAACCCCACGTACACATACAAATACACACATACATACGCTCAGTCAGTGTCAATAACGCGAGGAGAGGGAGCGGTGCGTGTCAATAACGAACAAACGAATGGGCTTTGTTTGTTGGCCGGCTGGTATGCCATTATTGCGGCTACCTATACACATCCCGCTGTTCAAGCCTCCTCGTCCTCTTCTTCCTCGTCCTTCTCCTCTTCGGCGGCGTCCTCACGACCTGCTGACAGTGCCGCTGTGTAGTGCGTGCGCGATCTTGTTGCAAGGCTTCGGTCGTCTCGTGCTGCCTTGCTGGTCAGCCAGCCAGCCAGTCACTCACTCAGGCATGGTGGGTTCTGCGCTGAGTTGAGTGAGCGAGAGCGAGAACGAGAAGGGGGTTGATTCGCGGTCGCCGCTTGCGGGCGCGCTGCGCTTTGTCCTGTCGTCTGCTGGCTTGGCGGCATGGCATGCGGTGCGGTGCGGTGCGGCTTTGTCTTTGTCTTTGTGTGTATGGTGGGCTTGGCTTGGCTTGGCTTGGGCTTGGCTTGGCTTGGGCGTAGGCTTGGGCTTGCAGCGGACAATGAAAGCGGGGGGCGTTTCTTGCGGGGTTTGTGTGTGGTGTGTGGATTGTGGTGTGGATTGTGGTGTGGATTGTGGATTGGATTGTGGGGGGCTGGTATGTGTGTATGTGTGCTTGGTCTTTGTTTGCGGTTGGGGAACTAAACTCCCTAGGCACTACCTACCATCATATCACATCACATCCGCATCCCGGGCACGCGGCCAAGGCAGCAGACACAGTAAGGTACCTACGGGTCTAAACACACGCGTGTCGTGTCATGCCATGCCATGCCATGCCGTATCATACTGAACAGATTATACGCTATATCTAGCTATGTCGTAGTTGCCTATTAGTTACTACCTCCTCCACCACCACGCTCCATCCCTCTCCCCACGCCCAAAGCCAAACCCAAAACCCCCACTATGTCCGCACGCTTCACCCCTCCTTCACCCACGCCCCCCACCCTCTATGCATCCCCAAACCCCGTCCCCAAAGCCCCTCCACATAATCATAACCATAATCACGCCGCTCGAGTCGAGTCGTAAGCTCTCATATCTCATATCTCATGTCTCATAACCCATAACCCAAACCCCATAGTTCATACCCCAAACCCATACCATACCGTCATCATCATTATCGTTATCTTTACCATCGTCGAGTCGCTGTAATGATGATGATGCCGCCTCGCCCCGCGCCACCGTACCCGAAACCGAAAGAATGGGGAAAGAACATAAAAAGAGCCAGGTAAAAAGAGCCAAATAAAAAGAGCATCAGATCGTGACTAGAATAGAAAATAAAAGAAAGAAAGAGAGGAAGTGAGGGAAAAGGAAGGCAGGAAGAAGAGGTAGGTAGGTAGGTAAGTGGGTAGGTAGAGAGAACGCAATACAAGACGAGGGGCCAGCTAACCGCCTCCGTCTTTGGCGCTTAAACTCCTAGGGCCGATTATTCAAGAAGAAGAAGAAGAAGAAGAAGTAGGGCAGTCCACTCGTCCCACCCACACCTACTCCCACTCCCGCCACTCCCTCGCCACAGCCGCCATCTCAGCCCGCAGGCGCTCCTTCTCCAACCTCAACCCCGCACCCATCCCCACGTCCTCAACAGCACCCCCACCAGCAACCTCACTCCCCCACCCGTCCCCCCTACTCAAGCCCCATCCCCTCCTCTCCTCTGCTCTAGCCTCCACCTCGTCCATCCGCCCCTTCAACGCCCTCATCCTTCCCTGCAGCCGCACCTCCGCCTTCCTCCTCGCCCGCACCACCCCCGCAAACCCCAGCACATCGTCGTCGCGCACAGCGCGCGCCCACGCCCGCCGCATGCGCGCACTATACAACTGGCAGCTGCGGCCGAGGGAACGGTCGAACTCGTACGTCGCAGCACCAGCACCACCACCAGCGTAGCGGTCGAACTCGTACGGCTTCGTCTCGTCGACCGCCAGGCCCAGCGAGCGCGACACAGCGCCCGCGAGGCGCGACCCCGCCGCCCGCGCCGGGCGCACCACCTCGTCGTAGCAGGCCTCGCAGACGGTGAGGGCCGGGATGGCCGCGCACGTGTGCCACGGCGCGTTGCGCAGCTGCGTGTCCTGCTGGCACTCCTGCTTCCAGGCCAGCGCGTCGGCTAGGCGCGCAAAGGGCGTCGGGTCGGCGGGCGCGCGCGCCGCGACCGCCGCCGCGTGCGTGCTGGCGAGCGTGGCGAGATACGTGGCGGCGCGGCGCGAGGACGGGCGCAGCGCGCACTGGTGCGGCGTCGTGGTTGGCGAGAGGCGCGTGAAGAAGCCGCGCAGCGTGGGGAAGAGCGTCTCGAGCGTGCGCACGTCGGCTTGGCAGATGTGCAGGTTGGAGATGGGCGCGTCGTCGTATGGCCGTGGCAGGCCGTACCATACGCGGTGAGTTTCGCGCGTGTCTGGGCATTCGGGCTCCGTGTGCGTTATGCTGGCGAGGGCGCGGATGAGCGAGAGGTCCGGCCGCTGCTGCTCCAGCGTGAGCTCCCAAGCGAGCCGGAACCAATACGAGCTGAAATCGCACTTTTTCCGCAGCTCGCTGCGACGTGTCCGGAAGAACTGTGACCGGAAGGGGTGCCGGCCAATGATCCCATCGAGGCAGTCCGGGCAGACGTCCAGTATGCTGCCTTCGAGTGTGTACCAGTCGTCATATTTGGAAGAGTATATTGACCTGGGGCAAAGTGGCAGATGGCTCGTTGAAGGGAGTTCGCGGTCGACGTCCAACCGTGACCTGCTGTCGCGGGACGAGAAGGGGCCGACGACAGGGTCCGTCTGCGCGCTGGTCTCGGACATGGTTCGCTGCAAGTAACCACGCGGAGACGACACTTCATCACGCATGTCGCTAGGAATTATTGCTTGGGACGTCGCCGTAGACGATCCATAATTAAATCCCGCAGATGAAGTTACGGGGCTGTCATGATTGTACTGGTATTGCTCCTCGGCAGGCATCAACTGTTGGACGTCATCGTCTGGGTACGGAAGCACAGTAGCGGGCCTTGGAGGCGGTCTTGCCGGCGATGGAGAGTGAACATCTATCCTTGGTCTACCAAGATGAGAATCTTCTTCCCTAAAAGAGTCATATCGACTGTGCCTCGAAGAAGGCCTCGACCGTTCCCGAGGGTCATCGAGGGGAAAACTCGAGGTGCGTTCGGGAAGGCTGGCTTCGGCCCACAAAGGCGAGCGTGGAGGGCGTAACTCAAACGAAGACGCCAACGGTGAATCGGCACGGGAAGCCACTCGTGATGGTGGTTTCGAGCGCGGTTCCCCAAATACTTTGGGGGTTATGCTGTCTCTGGAGCCTGGTCGTGGGGAATGGGGCGGCGAGGGCGGCAGTGTTTGTTCTCTGACCAGGGGCGAGTGTGGCCTGGTAGAAGGCCTTGAGCCACCAAGCTGGCTGGATACACTTCCGTACAGCGTCTCAAAGGTCCCTTGTCGAGAAAGCGTCGGCCGCCCCCAAGGCAAGTCATGAGCAAAGAACTGAGATGAACTGGACGGTGTCGCAGCCGCGGATGAGTTGGAGCTCTTCGGTGTGGACCGCGCGGTAACAGGGGGCGGAGTAGAAGGAGCCGGTGATGCTGTCCGCCGTGAATACACCTGGTCCTGTACTTCGTCTCTCTCGGATCTGTGGTCGTCTTTCTTCAAGTCCGCAGAGGTGAAGGAATAGCCGGACTGCCGCGACGGTGGAGCATCCTGGTCACTGTCAAGCGCTAAGTCATGCAGTGACATCCGCAGGTCCTCCTTTTTCAGATCCGCAGGCGAAAAAGAGTAGCGTGAAGGCCTCCGCCTCGTCCGCACACTGACCAAATCTTCGCCATCGATATCGGAATCGTCAAATGTGCCACTGTCATAGGCCGAGTCTGGGGAGAGCAACGAGACGGGCCTTGGTTTTCGGCGTGTCTTCTGATCCTCCGACCTCACGCCATAACCAGTTTCGGCAGCATCTACGGAGAGGTAGGAGTCGGACGAGTCCTGGTGTTTGCGAGGGGTATAAGCATAGGGCGAGGGGGCGCGGCGGGTCAAGAGCGGATTGTCGTCAAGGGCCGACGTCTGCAAGGGCGGCACGAGCACGAAACGGCGGTCCGGGTTGTTGTCGACCTCGACCATGATCGGCTCCTGATCGACGGCGCCCCGCATCTGCACGGCATCATCGCCGTCGCTGCCATGGCCGGACAACGCCACCGACGCGACTTCGCGCGCAAGTGAGGCCACTTCGTCCTCGACGCTGGGTGAGGGTGGCCATTGCGGCTCGGTGCGACGGTCGGCGCGGTGCGAGGCGCTGCGCGACGGCCGCGGCCGGGGCTCGCGCGCGTAGGGCGAACCGCTGTCGTACCCGTCGCCGTAGCCGTAGTAAGCATCGGGCGGGTTGGAGTAGTCGTGGTATTTTACATGGCCGTAGTCGCGCGACCGCGACGTGTTGGGGGCGTAGCGGCGGGCGCTGTCGTAGTCGTAGAAGGTCATGCCCGCGGGAAAGATTGAGACGAGGGGACGGGGGCTCGAGTCGAGGAGAGAAAGCGTGGTTGATATGGTGCCCGAGTGGGGGACGCCTGCCGAGACTCTGCAAGCACGCCCGTCTGCGCGCTGACGAAACTCAGGCGGTGGGAAGATCGAGAGTTGGCTTCAGGCAATCATAACTATTCTGGCCCCATCTCGAGGTCGTCACCTCGATACCGCGCATGACGGCAGACTACGCCACCGCCTACCGCGGTCCACATACGGCACAGTCAGGTTTGCTTTTTTCTTTTTTTCTTTTACTAGGCTTCACTGATGAGCCGCACCCGCACTCGCCATGATCCATCTCGAGGCGTTTTCCGCCCTGATCGGTGGCGCCATGGCGACCTGCATCTCAACCGTGTAATGTGTAATGTTGCGCTGGTTCCTCCAAGGTCGAGTTCGTGCCCGCGTCATGCAGAAGCTCACGGGCTGCGCGTGCCGGCTGCGTCTCGGATAAGCCGGGCGCTGCACAGATGACCTTTCTTGCTGTGGCCAAGCCTCTGTCCTGGCCACTGTCTCGGTCGCGGCCTTCGCCGCCGCCTGTCAGGGCAGCTTCTCAGTCGGGAACAGAACGGTGCCGTTTTGAGAGGTGTACAGGTGGCGAGGTAGTCAAGAGGGAAAAAGCACTGCATGGTAATAATGTTCCGCTGCCCCTGGGCTTCCCGCTTTCCCCGTCGCCGATCCGCTTCGCTTCGCCGTAGGGTACGTGGAGAGTTTCCGCCCACGAGTCCTCTCTATATATAATGTAGGTCGAACCATTACGGCATTACGGCCACGTTACTCGCATCTATCCTGGTTCTCGACGAATAGCCATCATCATATGCATGTGGGTAGACGTGTGCCTTGAACGTGCGCTACCTATGCAACAAAATGCCGTGGTACAGTACTACCAGGGATGAGGCTGGTCTGGTCAGCGCGCCCGCATCTGAAAACCGTTCCTGTCGCTCTCACCTGATTCTCCCATGTCCAAAACGTGCCGCTATGCTGGATGCCTTTGCTCTGTATCACGTCTATCATCCCGGCCACAGACACCTCTGGGCTTATAACACCCTGGACTGCCCAGGGGACGTCAATGTTGGCCATGTCACTGCGCCGATCAGCTACTGCACGCTTGGTTGACGCTTAACTTACGTCTGCACCTCGCCTGGATGCATGGCAAGGATAATCGTGTCGTCGTCCTTTCTCTTTAGCTCCGCAGCCATGTGCTTGCATAGTTAGCAGCGAACAGAGTTTTCGGCGAATGGGAGTGATACTCGAAGCATTTGGTTTAATGCCGCTTTCGAGGCAGCATATGCAGCAAACCTGTTCGTGTCAGCGGATGCTCGTTCCACGGAGCACGCATTTTACCCGTCTTCCATCTCACGAAAGTTGAGCGCCGAACCAGAATCGCTGGACATGAACACAATGGTCCCAATGGGTATGTTGGTTTGCAGCAGCTTCTGCGCTGTTATGATAGGCCCGATGGTGTTGGTGTGGAGATGAAAGGCAAACTCGTCGAACGACCTGCAGTGATTTGTTAGACATGAAATTCCCAACTGTCTCGGCAGCAAAATCCAGGCCGGTTTCGTCCTGATTCACCTAGCCTGGTGAGGTGCAGTCTCTATTGCCAAAAACTGATTGAGATGAGAAGTGGTAGACGACAAAAAAAAGAAACGACGGGACACACAGTTCGGTAGCTCTCTGATGGACCGTCAGTCAACAAGCTAACAGGGTGCAGACTCCAGCTCACATTCGGATATCTCAGGACACCAGCATTGATCACGACATAGTCTATCTTGAAGTTCGGGATCGCGGCGAGCTGGGCAACGAAGTTCTGCAACACCATCAACCGAGCGTCGCGCAGAAAGTTGGAGACAGCAGGCGTACGACGATGCTAGCCTCGGATAAAATGTCACAGATGAACATCTGGCAGCGGCCGGAGTCGTTGCCCGCCTGGCCCCAAAGGGCCGAGGCGTGCTCCGCATACGACTGTCGGACTGTGGCGATAATCTTCTCGCCACGCGCGAGGAGCTGGCGGACGAACTCGAGCCCTATGCCCCGGCTGGCGCCTACAATGACCCAAGTGGTCATGTCCTGGTCGGAAAAAAGAGCATCGGGGATGCGGTTCATGTTTTTGGGTAGAGACAGGACAGGACTTTCGGTGACACGGTCCGGTGGCAGGCAGCCGGCATGCTAGGTAGTCCCGGTGCGCTCGTCGTCGAGGTCAGATTGTCGCGATCGGGAAATGCAAGCACGAGATATAGGCAGAATGACGGATTGATTTGAAGGAGCTGGGAAGAGCGGGTCTCGATTTCAACCGCGGAGCCAACAGGGAAGCTGCAGCTGCAACTAACAGTAAGCATCGTATCGCTCAACCAAAAAAGTCACGGGAGGAGGCGACGGGATTTCCCATGAAACACTTTCGTCGACGAGGCCTCGATGGATGACATAGTTAAAAGGTCGGCACCGCGTGCATGGATCCTGAACCGACGACATGGCGGGCGGGCAGCGCACATGACTTTTGAGGCGGTGTCGATGTAAGGACAAGTAGCTTCAGCCACAGGATGCCGAGCGATGCCGAAAGGAAGAAAGGGAATCGGTCGCGTAATCAACTTGGCCGCATGGGGATCCACCCGATACACTAAAACGAGCTTTGGTCACTGCTACGCCACAGCAGAGAGCCGCTCGCCCGGTTTCTACCGGGCTCCATGACTTTTGGGCCGTTTGTGATTGGCCCGCGGCTACCTCCCCACGTGACCGGGTCTCGATCAGCTCCGTCACCAGGACGACTTTTTCTCTCCTGCATTTCCCCAAAGTCGCCCTCTCCTCTCCCTCATCCTCCCACAACCTCAATCCTCCCATCACCACTTACGACCCCCTTTCCTCCTCCCTCCACCAACCGTCAAAATGGGTTTCGCCGAAGGTACGACCTCCGAATTCCGTTCTTTCCTCTCTTCCTCCGTTTGCGGACTCCAGCGCCATGAAGCGGCTCTCTTCCGGAACGGTGCACTCGACGGCACGTCACGAGTCTCTGCCCCAGACACTCCGGCCCATCCGTCGCCGTCGAGGCAGCAGCGCGCCCGCGAATTGAGCCCTTCATCGCCGTTGCGACCCTGTCCCCCTGTGTCCGCGGAAGAGCTGAGACGCGCCGGAGTCCCGGGAGCAGCAAGCTGACATTGCTCGTGCAGGTGATGCTAAGAAGGGTGCCAACCTCTTCAAGGTGAGTTATAGTTCCGGCAATGAGGACGACGACGTGTCGCGGGCAAGGCGCTGGTGCCGCCAGGCCCGCCGCCCGCCGCCGCACATCGCTCGCCGCTCGCAAAAACAAAGAAGGCCGCCCGCTGACAAGAACCTTTCCACCAGACCCGCTGCGCTCAGTGCCACACCCTGAAGGCCGACGAGGGCAACAAGGTCGGCCCTAAGCTTCACGGCCTGTTCGGCCGCAAGTCCGGCCAGGTCGAGGGCTACTCCTACACCGACGCCAACAAGCAGAAGGGTGTTAACTGGGACGAGAACTCTCTGGTAAGCCACCTGTCCGCAAGAATCGACGGCGGCGCAATTCGCCGCGCCTCCAACCCCCACCTTGCGTAAGTGCGTGAATGCTAACGCCGCTGCCCCCAGTTCGACTACCTCGAGAACCCCAAGAAGTACATCCCCGGCACCAAGATGGCCTTCGGTGGTCTCAAGAAGCCCAAGGACCGCAACGACCTGATCACCTTCCTCCGTGATGAGACGAAATAGACGACTGCATCATCGCACCCCTGATACCATAACGCCTAGAAAAAGAAGCACCATGTCCCATCATCCCTCCTCATACACCACTTGTTCTCCTCTCCATCTCCATGTATTATCATCAGGCATAGACACGCATCACCACACCACCGCTGGATAGCGGCGGCGCAGCACGCTGCGTTGTTTGTATAATACGCATCAGTTTTTTTCTTCTCTCTCCGTCTCCCGTGCTTGTCAGAATGTAGACCGTTGTAGACAACAACATCAAAGTGCCTCTCTGAGCTCAATACCCAGTCCATGAAGACCAATTGCTAGCTCCGCATCAATGTCTCCTCTGCGCATGTGTTTGGTTTGCGTGTTTGCGAGTTTGCGTGTTCGTGCACCCCTGCTACAGCACCCCTTCCGATCTTCGGGCGTCCAGTCCAGCCGCAACGCGACGCACGCCCCTCCGCCGATCCTGCCACTGGTGAAGTCACTCGCGCCGCACTCTGCACTCGGCGCAGCATGCGGCTCCCGCGCCCACGGCCCGCCAGACAACGAACCTGTTCGTCGGCTGCCGACGGATGGGTAAGGTAGGAACGTTAACGTTACGGCATGGGTGAGTGGCCACGTCAAAAGCGCCTGTCTGCATCACGTCCGACGTAGGTATGTATGCAGTTTCTAGCTCTAACTTTAGCTCTAGCTCTCGCAAAACTTGCGTCAGGCTTTGTCAAGAGAGAAAACGCTCTCGACGGAGTGACGCTGGCACGGCTGGCCCACGCACGCAGCTCAGGCCAGCGGGAGCCGCTTCCGCCCGCTTGCGCGAGTCGCGCTCGTTGACCAACCACCGGTGCCAGCTGAGTAGCGACGCCGACGCGGCTTTTCCGAACCGACTCTTCTCCGCGACGGGGAACGGCGGGCGGCGGGCGGCGCGCTCGGCATGGGTGGAGGCGGCGTCGCGGCGTGGGTGATGGATGATGGGCGAAAGGCTTGTTTGTTTGTTTGTTTGTTTGTTTGTTTGTTTCTCTGCCAGGACGTGAGTGTTGGTGGGTGTTAGTGGGTGTGGTGGTCTGAGATGAGGTGAGGACTTCTTCCCCGCGGCGGGTGCACGGCTGTGCTGTGCTGTGTGGGTGAGGGCGTTGGGGTTGGGGTTGGGGTTTGGGGTTTGGGGTTTAAACGGGTTTGGGGTTTGTGGGGAGAGAGGGAGGGGGAGAGGTGGGTGGTGTGGTGTGGTGTGATATGATATGATGGGTTGGATAGGTGCGAGTACGGAGTACGGATGAAGAACGAAGAAATAGGTAGGTAGACGAGGGTGGTTTAGTGGGTTGGTTGGGTGGTCTGTTCTAGGTATGTACGCAGCTCTTCTCTCTCTTCTCGTTTTCTTCTTCGCCGTGACCTACCTACGTACCTACGCACCTCCTACTACAAGGTAGGTCAAGTGGTAGCAGAATCCTGAGTTTATAACTATAGCTGTTTCCGGAAGGAAGGATGGTCGGGTTACGGGTTAATTGTTAGTTAGTCTATATATCGATTACCTAACGCTTCCTTTCCCTCGCTCTTGTTGCTCTTGTTTAGCTAGCTGCTCTGGCCTCATAACTTTGGTCCGTAAACGCCATCTTCTTACGCTCGTGTTGTTGTGCTTGGGCTTTTACTGCTTGCGTGTAGACGTGATATTCTGTAAGCTCGATTGACGCCTGATATGCTACTTATAGAGGTATGGTACTGTTATCGGATCTGGAGAGGGTGTAGTTACTTAGTTATTATGGAAATGCGCCGTGTTTGCTTCTTGTGGTTGATGTTACGGCTGGAGCCAGTGCCGCGCTGCTTAGAACCAGATAGAGCGGTTATATGATGCGATACTCGCTGAAAAGCGCTTGAGAGACAGGTAGCTCGTCGGAGATGTAAACTTGGCCGCGAGTCGAGAGCTTTTAGATAGGTATGTTCGGCAGCCGCCTTTCCTGCTACAGGCTAGCGTGACGGGCGCGCGCCTGACGAGGATCTGGGCCGTGCAGCAGGGCGCGGCATCGCCTTCTACCTCACTTGCACTTGCACTCCATCTACACTCGCATCCACACCGTCCAAAATCCACAACCGCAAGCGACTCGTCAGCGAACAAAATAATCCCCGCTCGAGCCAATAGACCGCGAGCTCAGACGAGCACCTCCGCATCAAAACCCTATCTACCCTCCTCCATCGGGAGTCGCCAAAGCCATCACCTCACACACCTACCATGGCGCCCGCAATGATCAACGTCCTCCTGACGTCCTTCCCAGGCCTGGGGCTGCCATCGACGCTCTCGCTCCCCCTGCCCAGCACAGCGAGCATAGCGGACTTCGCAGACGCGCTCGCGCAGCGCATGCCCGCCGTCAACAACCGGCTGCTAATCACAACCTCATCGAACAAGCTCCTCTCGCCGCAGTCCTCCGCGCCACTAGCGACGCTCCTCTCATCCGCGAGCGACAGCTTCCTGCCGCTGCGCCTGTCCGCGCCCCTCTGCGGCGGCAAGGGCGGCTTCGGCTCCCAGCTGCGCGCCGCCGGCGGGCGCATGCGCAAGAAGCGCGGCGCCGGCGAGGACAACGGCTCCTCGCGCAACCTGGACGGCCGTCGGCTGCGCACTATCAACGAGGCGAAGGCCCTGGCGGAGTATCTGGCTGTCAGGCCCGAGATGGACCAGAAGGAGAAGGAGGAGCGCCGTAAGCGGTGGCAGGAGATTGTGGATGCAGCGGAGCGCCGGGAGGAGGAGATCAAGAAGGGTGGTGGGAAGGGCCGCTTGAATGGCGAGTGGGTCGAAGCGAAGGACGAGGCTACCGAGCGCACCAGGGAGGCTGTCTTGGCGGCTATGAAGGCGGGCGATATCTCGGATGCTTTGGGCAAGAAAGAGAGTGATACTTCGGCTTCTCCTTCCGAGGGCTCCGACAGTGAAGAAGATGCAGCAAAGCCGACTCCAGGCGCCTCGAAGCCTTCGAGCGCTTCGAAGCCTGCTCCAGCTCCGAGGACTTTCTTTGGTTGGGATGAGGATGAGGATATGAGCGATGAGGAAGATGAGGAAGACGAGGGTGACGAGGGTGAGCCTGCCTCGGCTACGATCACGAACTAGAACAAAACCGAGGACTAAGAATTCTCTTACTGGTTCATGGGCGCTATAATGGGAGGCGTTCTGGGGATTTTGTTTTACTAGGCGTTGCGTCTGCGTGCAGATTGACATCTTTGCTGGTTGTACAGCTGCTGCCTGGCTGGAGTGAGCTGCTGGACAAATTGCTAGCTGCTGGGGGAGAACGAAGACCGCGGATCAGGCTGCTGGGCGAGTTTCTGGGGCGATGGAAGCGGGTTAGTTAGGCTATTCAGTCTACCCAGTCAGCGGCTGGCTGCAAGCTGCCGAGCGATTGCGTGTGCGTGCGGGGTTAAGAAGGTGCGGAAGTATAAAAGAGCTGCGAAGAAGCAGGGTGACAGCGAGCAATGAAGAACCGCAGTAGAATGCATAAAAGGCCAGCCGACTGCCCCACGCCCTTCTTACCGTTTGAGTACGATTATGCAACCACTGAAAAGTTACGGCATGGTGGGTATTGCGAACAAGTAGGCACTGTCCTAGAAGCGCCTTGGTAGTGAAGCGGGAACGGATTAGCACGGTAGCAGCAGAGCGAGCAAGAGAAGCAAGTCCTTTGATATTTTGGCCGTCACTGCTCTAGCAGCACGCTGGCCGAGGCGCCAGGGACCGTTTGTGGAGAACCGAGTCCAAAGAAAACAAAAGAACAAAATATCCCCCTTCATAACTGCCAACGTGGCCATTGCTGCCGAGTAGGAAAGAAGAAACCCCAACCACGCTCGCGCCCCAAGATCCAAGGAGAAGGCATTCGTCAGCCAGATAGCCAGGCGTGTCGTTCAGTGCGGAGGCACATGGGGGCCCGACTGCTTGCACGCTCAGTCCCTGGGGGTGAAGGCGTAGTGCTCGGTGAAGGTGCCGGGGCAAGGCACGACCTTCTTCTCATCAAGCTGTACACCAAGGTCGCCGATAGAGCCGAAGTCCATTTCCTGGCGAAGACCACCATGGCCGCTATCGTCCTTCACAGCATGAGAGCCGCCGTCCCCGCCCTTCTCGCGCAGACAGCGCAGCTGGCGCTCCGCCAGCTGGCGCGACAGGTCTGCGCAGATGAGGTCCATGTCGCGCTCGAAGGCAGCCTGCTCCTCCTCGTCGCGCTGCACCCCGGCCTCCGCTTCCTTCGCTGTTAGTCAGCTGCTTCTCGCGGCGTAGGTAGGTAGGTGCGTTGCTGGCGTGGCTGGAGCGCGAGACTCACATGGCTGGCGCAGTGCAGTGCCATGAGAAGACTGAAGGGCAGCAGGATCACGATGATCAGCGCGCAGATGACCAGGATGAGTGTGTCGGGGTCGCTGCAGGCTTCCATGGTTGGCTGAGCTTGGGGTGATGCTGGGTGGGTTGCCGAATGAACTTGTTGCCTGTCGGTGCAGAGCCAAGATTGTGTTAGGTGTGTGTGTCGGTGGTTGGGGAGGGGTTGGGCGAAAGAGGCGTCGTGGCTGCCAAGTCGACGACTGCCAAAGTATCGTGACTTCCCAATTTGGGAAGGTATCGTGAGTGGCCGATCTGCGTCTCAAGACTGGGCAGCACCCAACTTTTGCCCATATGCTCTTATCCAGCTACTACTAGGTAGCTCACCATTTACGTATGCAACCCTCATTCTCAAATACATAGCGTCCGCAGCCTTCTCAATACTTTTCCCAGCATGCTCTTCACTCTCCTGCTACTGTTGCTGCTGCTGCTGCGCCGTCTTGAATTTTGCCCACCCTTCAACTACATGTGAAGTGAAATTCACTATACCATCAAGTGCTCCCTGAGTGGATATAATAGGCTACAATGCAGCAATTGACAATTGCTAGGTAGCTATATAAGGAAAAGTTAAATAAGAGTATAGGGGCCTTTTGGAAAGATATAAGTATATAGACATACAGTAGAATAAGACCGTTCGAAAAGGCGGGAATGCGCGGATATACGAAAGTAAAAGAGCAACCTACGAGGTTATTTTTTTTT